GAAATCTGTCCGACCTTGACTGGTCATATATGATGGACCGGAGGCATGGGGAGCTTCTGGTCGATGTGGGCATCTCATTCACGCCTCGCTCTCCAGATGTTCCTGTCGTCGGGGTGTGGAGATTAGATGCGTTGGAGGCATCGTTTGGTGCAGGAGGCTACAAGCGAGGCGAGATACATCACCATAACATGCTGTCCAGATATGGCGCGCTGCAGGCAGAAATGCAACAGGAAAGGTCGCAGCAGACGCACATAGCATTCAGGAGCACCTATAATCTATACTACGAGTCGATCCGCACGAACAACAACCAGGCGAACTTTGCTTCCGACAGCGATGCATACAAGCTATCTCCTTCATACATGGCTGAATGCTTTGACATCATGAAGGTGGTCGATCATTGCAAAGGGAAGACATACGGTGTTAGAGATGAGTATAGGGTCAGTGGTCACGCAGCAAGGATCATGTTGGACAATATAGAAAGCAAGGTCGGTTATTCATACTCCATTCATTCATGATTTTCATGCAAGCTCAATTACCCTGTATAATTTCAATGCAGGCTATTCAATATCTGCAATCAGATCCAATACTATGGATCCCATCCACAATCTGGTTCGAGCTTATCAGGCGACGTGTACGGGAGATTCAAAGGACCCAAATAAGCATTGTAAAAAAGAACCCTCCAAATCTTGGCATCCTGACTGGTCTGCTAAACCACATGCTTCGCTCGACTACATCAACCCCTATCATCTATGACTCCCATGTCCGTGAATCCCTCACCCTCCTTGAATACAGGAATGTACTCGAGACAGCAGGAATGTTTTTCTTGCAGGATTTTGATATAAACAGCGACACATGCTTGGAGGAGGTGCAGCAAATCGATGATGTTAATGTTTTGGGACTTATGGGCGTAACCGCAAAGGCGCAAAGGGACAGAGCAGTGGGAAGGATGGATGCATGGCGAAGCAATGAGTCAGAATCAAAAGATTATCCTCTTGGTCGGACGCCAACCTGGACTAGCCTCAAGACAGCCATCTTACACTCACCTGGGACGATCATGAGAGAATGGTCATGGACGTCCAGGATGTCCAACATTCAACTCACTGTTGGACGTTTGGTCGTAATGTTCACAAGGCATATGTGGCTCATGCTGACGCAAGAAGTCATGAAAGGCATCATACCCTACCCTAACTCGCTTTATGATGCCATGAAGTGCTGGACAATAACAAGCATCGACGATACACTCGCTTCCGTCGCTTTTGAAGCCTGCAATGCTGGTTTACATGACCATACAGGCGTAACTCCAGGTCGCTTGGGTCCCAAGTCAAGAGCCTTTGTGGACAGATGCTCATTATTTTTTCCTGACCCTGATGCTCCCCATAAGAGCAATGCTCAGTGGTGTCTACTGTGGGAAGGAGATGGATACATCGCAGAATTCCATAGGACAATGAAGACATTAGATGGGGATCAGCAGGAGTCGCTAAAGCAAGGTTTACGTGATGTATTTTCTGAACTTCACTGTCTACCTGCGAGTGGTGCGAGGGTGTGGATCCAAAAGAAGGATGCCATAGTATTCATAACAAATCCTGCATTTTACAGGATCGACCGCATTGGAAGAGGGGGCGAGAGTCAGAGGAGAGCTCCAAGAGCGCGTCGGACTATGAAGGTGATCAAAGGAAAGCGCATATTTGCGGCTGATCTGATGGACTCGCAACCATTTGACACCGATGGGAATTTGAGAAGGAAGACAGAGAGGCAAAAGCGTCGGGAGATTCACAAAAAGATGACTATGGAAAAGAGAAACAAAAGGGTACCCCCACCCCCACGTCCTCGCAAGTCCAGGCCATTCCCAATGGGTGAATCAGCACATGTGGCGACAGATGATGAAATGGATGTGGATTAGAATATATACATGATGTTATATTATATAGATGCAATGAATTTGAACCTAGTCCTTCCCAACTCCCGATGGACATCTTAACTACTAGACTATCTCTTTGTATAGGGCCATGTAGCTGGAGAACATAGCTCGTGCCTTTAGCTATAGCATGGTATTTCCATAGTAGCTCAGAATCCAAGCATGTAGAAAACAGGTGAACCCATCCTGGTGATTCAAGATGAAGCAGATTCTGTGTTACCTGTTCTGACATCTATTCTAGACATGCACCAGTCGCAAAATCACCACCTTCGCCTTCCTCACATCTTTGTCTCTAACTGTAATGACTGGACGGTCTAGTGGTTAAGATGTCCCCCCCTGGAGTTGGGAAGGACTAGATTCAAATCCTTGTCCTGCCATGATTTCAGCTGTCGATATTTCAACCCTATTTTTGTTTTTCTCATATAAATGAAGATGTGTTGTTCCTTTCTGAGGCTGAATGGAGAGAGAAACTTGTTTTTCTACTCAATGACATCAAGGATGAAGGTGGTAATCTAAAGTGTGGTACTTACCTTCTTGGTGGTTTTGATATCTGTCTATCGTCAAATATTTTTCTAAGGCGGCAAGACAGGCCAACCAATTTGCCATTGAGTTGGCTGTGTCTGGCATGGAGGATGGTAGGAGACGAAGCCAGCTCACAGCTGTGTCACGACTCGCATTAATCAAGTATTGCAACACCTGCTGGAGCTGGTTTCATCTCCTACCATCCTCCATGACAGCCAAATCAATGGAAACTTATATAAGCAGTGCCATCTGCCTCGTCCCAAGATTGATTACCACCTTCACCTTCCTCACCTCTCATCCAAACATGTAGCGATTTCCTTGCTGTCTTACTTATCGTCGAAGACAAAAACTTCAGAGCTTGTCATATGGAAGTGGAAACAGGTGAACTCATACTGGTGAGTCAAGACGAACCAGTTTGAACACTGAAAACATGACAGGACGAGGATTTGAACCTAGTCCTTCACAATGAGTTCACCTGTTTCTCATTTCCACATGGCAAGCTATTAAGTGTTGTCCTGCCATGATTTCAGCTTTTTGTCTGAGTCACAAAAGTCATGTTGGTCAGTTCAGTTCAGTTGGCTGGCTGCATCTGTTCAAGTTTCATATTTTGTGTGTTCATGTGATTGGCCAGACTTGAAGCAGAAATTGTTTTGAATATGATATAACCTGCTTAATGCACTGGAAACATGAGTTTGTCCATGAAAAATAACCACCTCATTGTGCTGCCTCCGCATTTTTTCTGCTTATGTAAGCAGACCCACCTCGAGCAATGATTGATTTTTTCAACCTTCATATGACTTGCTTGGCTTCAAATAGACGTTTCACTTGGGGGTATTGAGCCCTCTGAACACGATGGTAATGCCCTTTTCATTCAAAAAAATCACATTTAAAAGTTATGAATGTCTGTAATGCTGTGTTGCTAACAGTACCAACTATTTTCGCTTTTTGACTTGGTGATTCTTGGGGCATTTGAGGTTGGTTGCCACCCCTCCATGAGGGTCAAACTGTTGTTAACAGTAACAACTATTTTCGCTTCTGGGGGTATTTTTGGTTGGTTGCCACCCCTTCATGAGGGTCAAACTGTTGCTAATAGTACCAACTATTTTCGCTTCTGAGGGCTTTTTGACTTGGTGATTCTGGAGGCATGTTTGGTTGGTTGCCACTCCTCCATGAGGGTCAAACTGTTGCTAACAGTACCAACTATTTTCGCTTCTGGGGGCTTTTTGACTTGGTGATTCTGGGGGCATTTGAGGTTGGTTGCCACCCCTTCATGGGGGTCAAACTATTGCCAACAGTACCAATATATCACTCGCATGGCTCGATCTCAGGCTCATTATGAAGGTAATTGATCCATATATATAGAGCAGCAACAGAAATACTTGATCTTGCAAAGTCTTGGTATAAGTGAGTCCAAGTCCACCGCTTTTGCTTATGTAAGCTGTGTCACCCCTGTCATGCTGCCTCACTCAATGATTGATTTTTTCAGCCTTCGTGTGACTTGTCTGGCTTCATGTTGAACTTGATCTAGAGGTTATTGACCAATCTGAATGAGATGGAAATGCGAATTTGATCTGAAAAAATCAGGTTTGAGAGTCATGCTACCCCCTCCCCCCACCTACTTCACCAAGAGGCATGACTTCATGTCAATAATGATGTGAAAAGGATGTTCCCAGTATTTAAGGATCATATTAATAGATTGGAGATGGCTTCATAGTGTTCTGAACCAATATGGAATGTGATGTGCAAGTTTGCCTGATACCCCCCTCAAAGATCGATTTTTCTAGGCTTCCCATGTCTTGCTAGGACTCCACAAGTATGTTTCCTGGGGGTTCTTGATGCCTCTGAACACGATGGTAAAGCTAGTTGTGTCAGGAAAAATCAAGCTGTTGAGATATGCAGGGTCCCCCTCCCCCCCCAAACTCATATATCTTGATATTATGTAAATACCGGTATATAGAAGGATGTTCCTACTGTTTTATGATCATATAAATCGATTGAAGATGGTTCAAGAGTGTTTTGAATCCATCCTGAGACAAATATGGAAGTTTTCCTGGTACCCCCCCCAAAGATCGATTTTTACAGGCTTCCCATATCTTGCCAGGACTACAAAAGTATTTTTCCTGAGAGTTCTTGATGCCTCTGAACACGATGGTAAAGCTAGTTTTGTCAGGAAAAATCAGGTTGTTGAGATATGCAGGGTCCCCCTCCCCCCCCAAACTCATATATCTTGATATTATGTAAATACCGGTATATAAAGAAATGTTCCTACTGTTTTATTATCATATAAATCGATTGGAAATGGTCCCAGAGTGATTTGAGTCCATCCTAATTAACATATGGGAGTTTTCCTGATACCCCCCTCAAAGATCGATTTTTCTAGGCTTCCCATGACTTGCTTGTCCTCTAAAAGTATTTTTCCGGAGTGCTCTTGATGTCCCTAAACACGATGGTCAAGCCCGTTTTGTCAGGAAAAATCAGGTTGTTGAGATATAGAAGGTCCTCCTCCCCCCTCCTACCTCATATATCTGACTATGGTCACTTTTAGCTCAAAACCGATACTGTAAATAATGGTCCTGGTGCTTTTAAGACGTAGAAATCGATTGGTGATGGTCCCAGGGTCTCTGGAGGTCGAAAATATTGAGTTTGGTCACAGGTATGAAAAAGTCAGTATTTGGACTTTATCTCCACATCCCAACCGCCGTTTTCTTTCATTCCGGGCTCATATTGATCCTTGGGAATCCCTCTAACATATGTACCAGCCCAAGAAGAGAAAAAAGTTTTGAACTTTGTAACCTATTTCTGTTTTGACCATATAAGTCCTCTGAACACGATGGTAATGCCCTTTTCATTCAAAAAAATCACATTTAAAAGTTATGAATGTCTGTAATGCTGTGTTGCTAACAGTACCAACTATTTTCGCTTTTTGACTTGGTGATTCTTGGGGCATTTGAGGTTGGTTGCCACCCCTCCATGAGGGTCAAACTGTTGTTAACAGTACCAACTATTTTCGCTTCTGGGGGTATTTTTGGTTGGTTGCCACCCCTTCATGAGGGTCAAACTGTTGCTAATAGTACCAACTATTTTCGCTTCTGAGGGCTTTTTGACTTGGTGATTCTGGAGGCATGTTTGGTTGGTTGCCACTCCTCCATGGGGGTCAAACTGTTGCTAACAGTACCAACTATTTTCGCTTCTGGGGGCTTTTTGACTTGGTGATTCTGGGGGCATTTGAGGTTGGTTGCCACCCCTTCATGGGGGTCAAACTATTGTCAACAGTACCAATATATCACTCGCATGGCTCGATCTCAGGCTCATTATGAAGGTAATTGATCCATATATATTGAGCAGCAATAGAAATACTTGATCTTGCAAAGTCTTGGTATAAGTGAGTCCAAGTCCACCGCTTTTGCTTATGTAAGCTGTGTCACCCCTGTCATGCTGCCTCACTCAATGATTGATTTTTTCAGCCTTCATGTGACTTGTCTGGCTTCGTGTTGAACTTGATCTAGAGGTTATTGACCAATCTGAATGAGATGGCAATGCTGATTTGATCTGAAAAAATCAGGTTTGAGAGTCATGCTACCCCCTCCCCCCACCTACTTCACCAAGAGGCATGACTTTATGTCAATAATGATGTGAAAAGGATGTTCCCAGTGTTTAAGGATCATATTAATAGATTGGAGATGGTTTCATAGTGTTCTGAACCAATATGGAATGTGATGTGCAAGTTTGCCTGATACCCCCCTCAAAGATCGATTTTTCTAGGCTTCCCATGTCTTGCCAGGACTCCACAAGTATGTTTCCTGGGGGTTCTTGATGCCTCTGAACACGATGGTAAAGCTATTTGTGTCAGGAAAAATCAAGCTGTTGAGATATGCAGGGTCCCCCTCCTCCCCTCAAACTCATATATCTTGATATTATGTAAATACCGGTATATAGAAGGATGTTCCTACTGTTTTATGATCATATAAATCGATTGAAGATGGTTCAAGAGTGTTTTGAATCCATCCTGAGACAAATATGGAAGTTTTCCTGGTACCCCCCCCAAAGATCGATTTTTACAGGCTTCCCATGTCTTGCCAGGACTACAAAAGTATTTTTCCTGAGAGTTCTTGATGCCTCTGAACACGATGGTAAAGCTAGTTTTGTCAGGAAAAATCAGGTTGTTGAGATATGCAGGGTCCCCCTCCCCCCCCAAACTCATATATCTTGATATTATGTAAATACCGGTATATAAAGAGATGTTCCTACTGTTTTATTATCATATAAATCGATTGGAAATGGTCCCAGAGTGATTTGCGTCCATCCTAATTAACATATGGGAGTTTTCCTGATACCCCCCTCAAAGGTCGATTTTTCTAGGCTTCCCATGACTTGCTTGTCCTCTAAAAGTATTTTTCCGGAGTGCTCCTGATGTCCCTAAACACGATGGTCAAGCCCGTTTTGTCAGGAAAAATCAGGTTGTTGAGATATAGAAGGTCCTCCTCCCCCCTCCTACCTCATATATCTTACTATGGTCACTTTTAGCTCAAAACCGATACTGTAAATAATGGTCCTGGTGCTTTTAAGACGTAGAAATCGATTGGTGATAATCCCAGGGTCTCTGGAGGTCGAGAATATTGAGTTTGGTCACAGGTATGAAAAAGTCAGTATTTGGACTTTATCTCCACATCCCAACCGCCGTTTTCTTTTATTCCGGGCTCATATTGATCCTTGGGAATCCCTCTAACATATGTACCAGCCCAAGAAGAGAAAAAAGTTTTGAACTTTGTAACCTATTTCTGTTTTGACCATATAAGTTACTGATTCTCTCTCACAGGTGTCTACTAGAACTCAACAAAAAGCAAGCAATAATGTTATTACGCCAAAGTTCTCATCGTAATATCGAGCTTGATTTCCTGGTGATCTTAAGAGTCTAGAGTGACACAATTCGTGAGCGTTTCTTGTATTTGCAGCAGCAGCAGCATTTTCTCACCACTAGTACCACGCTGATCTTACTCTTCTGTTAGTCTTACTCTTTTGAAGCCGTTCAATTGGTGAGTGTTGTTGCAGGTTGTATCCAGTACAAATCCTTACTCAGGTTTCCTCGAATGTCTGGATCAAGAATACAGTCGGGGCAGCCGTCGACAGTACCTTGCACTCAATGCATTGAGCACACACGTTCCGTGCCACGCAGACTGCGTTACTGCTTTTGTTCCATACCATTCCAATGCATCGTATTTGTATTTGTACTATTACGTAATTATAGTAATGATAGCAACTTGAAGTAATAAGATATGAACCGTTCTCGCATGATATAAACCGCTCATAAGGAATGCAAAGATGCCATTAATATTTCTGTTTCTATCATACTCCCCTCACAATTGATATGTTCATTTTGCCAACATGGGCAAAGATTATCAGATCTTGGGAGAGATTAGCAAAAATGGAGCTCGAGGCACATCAGGGCGTTTTTTCCGACACTCATATTGGCTGACATCTTCCCAGCTCCAACAAGGTCCGTTTCTGAGTGGGCCTAAAGCTTGGTGCCAGTGTGTCAGTACAGTCTCACTCAGCGTCTATGACTTATAGTATGGTGACTTGGATGAAACACGTGGCCTCTCGGGCTGTACTACAGCCGCACTTCACTGAACTAGAAGCTGTGCAATGGGAGGATACAACAATATTTGAGCTAATTCGTGAGGATCCAGGAGTAAGTTTCCATCATGCTTTTCCAGCCTCTAGATGCGTATAACGGTTTGTGCTTGTGTTCTAGATCCTCGGACCCAAGGCATGGTATCAAGACCATTGTCAAGTTCATTGGACTCCCCCTCCAGATCATGAACTATGCCGAGCTTTTATTCAGTTCTGCCTGATGAAAATGTGTCATCATCAAGCGTCTATGAAGGTTCTGCTAGCAGGAGTAGCTGAAGGTTTGGTCTTACCAGGCTTGTTGGTGAGCAGCCCCAGGTCCCACCTAATGCCTGACCATTAATGTGTTCTGCTGTTTAGCTCATCACACGAGACCAAATTTTTGAGGATACTACACTCATGGAAAGCGATGATATCATCTTAAGTCAACCATCTTCTGGAGCTGAAGCCCTTTGTCTTGGGTGGAAATCCGCGTTGGTGAACTTCTTCGCCCAAGGAACTCCGGTAAGATCTTCCAATACAACTCATACGTAAAAGAGATTATCTAGAAGAGGGACAGGAGCTGGAGCTTCCGGCAGTAACTGCGTTGCGGGAGCTCCGAGTCTGGTCTCACAAAATCACTAGAGCCAACAGGTCTGGGATGGAACAAGCTATCTTGGCAAGTGTGATGTTTATTTTTTCCGGACAGCGAACGATAGTAGTTCTAATCAGGATCTCAGAGTTCTGGACTGGGTCATGAACTCCTCCGGATTGCCCACCCCCAGGTGGATTTGGAGAAAAAGACCCCTTACATGTCCCTGAGCTTTCAAAGATATCGTTGGAAAGAGAGTCTCCTCAGTTGTTTGGTGGGATTTGTGGATCTTGTTGTCCCCCCTGCTATAGGTATCAGCCAGGTCACCAAACGAAACGCCCTTGAATTTTTGCAACTGCTTTCCTTGCATCGAATGTGTCCATTTCGATCTAACTATGCCTCTGTATTTGCATTTTCCTCCGAGAAGTGCTTCTTGGTTGAAGCCGTTCGATGGATGTTGCCCACAATGGCCTCCAAGGTATCCCCTGAGTCTGGTGCTTGGGTAAAGTTGTTCCCTATATCATCTAAGGTCGCATGTCTTTGATCACACTAGTTCTACAGATATCCCAAGCCTCCTTGAGCCATTTATTTCGTCATATCTGTGGTTTCACCCCTAAGGAATTGGAAGCTCTAGGGCTAGATGAGGAATTGCTTCTGGTTCTGATTCTGTCTGCTCGGCTGAGGCTCCTCCGCCGGAAGGTGTCAAAAGATTTTCATACCCGGTTCCGGCACGAGGTCCATCCTTCGACAGGGGTCTGTCGTCTTTGCTACTCTGAGCCAGAAGATTCCAAGTGCATAAGATACTGGACGGTACAGTCCACCCCTCACACGGAAATACACGGAAAGGTTGTCACACCATATCCCGCCAATGATCCTGATCGCCTTACACCAACACTGGTGAGTATGACTAATCAGATGACTTTGCAGGGCCTCTCTTATAAGTTTTCATACAGGGCCTTGAGAAGAATGCTGACTATGTGCATTTGGCCGATCTGAAGTTGCGAAAAATTGCCAGCCGGCCCCTGGTGCTGGCTCGTTGCCAACGTGATGTCACCCTGTTGATCGAGGCCGGCTCCCCCAAGAAAGTGTTGGCCGGTGTTTCTTTTAACACCTTTTCAGCCCAAGATCTTCAGGAGATGCGATGTGATGCCTCGGCTTCCAAGGAAATCCGAGCCCTTAAAAGGGGTTACCAGTTCCAGAGGTTTCGCTGGGGCCAGATGCATCCCATAGGCTCCCGAAAACCTTGTGGGGGCAGACCTGGAGATACCTATACTGGCTATGCTGGCATGGAGGTGACTGATACTGAACACATTAGGCTGCTCTTTTCTCATGCGGCTGTGAGTGAATGCTCCCTCTGGTCTCACACTTAATCTGACTGTAGTTATGAATATTCCCAGGATGTGGAAAGGATGGTGGCTGCTGTTGCTCCATTGCACCCTGATGCCACCAGAGAGCTCCGGGATTTGTCTGCTGAAGTCAATTCATTGGGGGGAATAGGAGCCACCGCCTATTACTGTTGGAACTTTGTGGCTCTTCAACATGTCGACCATGATGCCACATGGACAATATCATTGCAGACATGCAAGGAGGCCAGACAAGATGAGTTCAACTTTGTCCTGATGGACCTGGGTTGCTATGTGGAAACCCGTGAAAATTCATTGTGGTAAGCAGTCTGGTTTAGGACATTACACTGGCTCAAGTACCCTAGGTGGTTCCATGGCTCCCAGACCCACGGCACTGTAGTTCCCAGATTGTCATCCATGTCATCAAACAAAAATCTATCCCAGGGCATTGGAGTTACATTACCCCTCGCCTCTTTGCAAGGAGCACGTAACCAAAACCAGGCAAGAGCCGCGTTTGTACCGTTGGCACAAAGATGGAATATGAATTAATCCGGTCTGGACCTGTTCCATGCACCCTTCTCCTTGCGATTTTCAAATACATCTGCTAGTCCAACTCACTTTACGTTTACCAATTGGGGGTTATACCCCAGGTCAGGTATGATGGTACGATAATTCTTGATAATTCCTCCTATGGCCAAACCAGTTAGAATCTTGTAATATATACTGTGACAATGTAATGTTCTGTTACAATGACTTTCATCGTTAATCCCTGTGACCACGATAAAGTACATTTTTTGGGAGCCGAGTAATATGACTGGGCCATTTTACAGTGTCCATAATCTCCTCCAACCTTCGTTTTGGAGAGTTGATGCCTCTGATACCAGAAAGCATGTATCCGCCCGAATGAGATGCTCCTGAACAGAGGTGTAATGATACCTGGAGAAAACAAAAGTTGGCAGGTTAACAATGAAAATATGAAAGCTTACCCAAGAAGATGTCGTGCATAGAGTCCAGCGCCGACTTTTTAGATGGTACCCAGCCTGATTTGAGATTAAGGATGGACCATCAAACTCTAAAATCCTTCAGGATTAGATCTCGATGTGCCTGGGTAGCATCCTTCGAATAGAAACTTTGTCGGAGCATTTGGTAATCGTCTTTGGGGATCCAGGCTGCATAGTCGAGCAGAAAATTAGCAAGCAAGCAGCGAGTGAATGATACCTACAATCATCGTAGCCCTCTGGAGTATTTGACTTTCACGACCTCAACATAGCAGAACATGAAATTCGCAGTCTGCTCAACACACTGTGGATTATACATTAGGAAGCTTACCAGTGGCTAGTATCTAGTAATCTAATTGAATATGTATTGTGGATGGATGACCGGAGTAATATCAACTGTGACTATTAGGATGTCCAGACAGTGAGTGCTTACATTGCGAGCTATGGCAGCACTACAAAAACTGCCATGAACACCAGTCAAGGTATCACGGATGGCAGCTTGAATGCAAGCCTCTCTGGTGGGATGTCGGGGACCTTTCCCCTTCCCACCGACTAGAGTTCGAGCCATTTGTGCATCGAGTAGATGTGTCGCCTTTGTTTTTTGTCCAAATGCATCCGTCTAAGCCCGTAAGACGTTTATTATTTCAAATAGATGTAGTAGTTTTGAGGATCTGTAGTAGGAAATGTGTGGTTTTGGGAGGCTGCACGAAATGTGGTGCGGGAGCAAGTGGTAACCAATAGTAAGCTGAGCTGTGATCATGTTCAGACCGAGTCGGGCCGGTCGCGTCAGAAGGTGTTGAAAAATTTCCCAAGGTGATGTCAAGCCTTCAAGCTCAGCACTAGTACTCATCACTGAGCATTAAACATGGAAAGATGGCAACAAATACCTGCGCCTGCATCTGCATCTCCTAGTTCCACTTCACCTCCGTCCGAATCATGGGATTTTATGCAGGTATTCCGCCAACTTGTGATCCCCCCGCCCCGAGATTGCGTCGCTAGCGCCACAGTCAAGCCAGTGAGTCAACGTGAGCTGCACAGCAGTGGTCCATCTCTCCAGGAGCTTCACAGCCTGGACCTGGATACTTTCCATCTAGCTGAGCCAGAGCACACCCGGATGTGGGCCAGGGAAACTTTGAGCCACCATGGCCCAGTGAGCCCAGTCCCAAACGCCCTGATCTGGACCGCTGGGATATTGCGTGGAATCCTTCCCATCAGGTTCGTCGAGGAGTCAAATGTGGTGGAGTATCTTAAGTTTAGTTTTATGGCGCCGGCGGGAGGTGGGGCTGTCTGCTTGTTCCAAAAATCATGTCAGCCAGATGCTGCAGCTTTGGGCTTTCCATCAACAGAAGCCTGCACTGCAATAGTATCTGAACCAAATTCGGGGCAATCGGGAAGGCCTGATATGTCGTTTATCTGGAACGGCAACGTTTGTTGCACGATGGAGGTTAAAACGCACAAGGCCTCTACTGCTGGATCTCCCCAGGTGGATATGCTGCAAAAGCTGGGAGGCGATTGGAGTCAGTGGCCCAAGGCGCTGTTCCAAGATGGGAGAATGCATTTAGGCATGGTGTATGACATCTTGTCGAAGCGACAACAGCAGAAGAAGGAGAGGAAGGATGAAACTCCAGAAGACGCATCTCACGGCCCAGATCTGTCGGATGTGTTTGAGCACCATTGGCAACGTAAGGTTATCCATACAATATACCAGGTGCGATTTTTTTGTTGAGTTTAACTGCTACGGTACTCACCTGGGGTCTCCAGGTTTGGAATCAGCTCGTGAGCAGGGAATCAGAGCATGGCATCATCTCCAATGAACATACCTTTGTGCTGGTTCACCGCCAGGGGCACAGTCTACAGATTTCCCCCTCCTACCGATATCAGCCTGCTGATGAAGAGGAAAGGGCCTTCACAATGTCAGACTTGAGCTTTTTTATAGCCCACTCGGTGATGAGTCGGCTGGACCAGCAGGGTAAATGGCAAGGGGCCCCATCGCCTGGACCTCTGCCTGTCTCATTGGCTGTACCCCAAGCTACACCCGGTACCAGCCGACATCACTTAAGTCCCAGTACCCAGCCGACTACCAGTACCCTTGATGGCAGTGTGATGCCGGTAGGAGTCTCCCACACCTTCTTCCAGCAAAGACCTGACTTTTTTCACTCCTAGAAGTACTTGTACCCCCCTGTTTGGAGGTGGCTTATGTCATGTTGGCAATTGCGTCCACCAGTCCAGAGGTGGAGATCCTGTAATGCTGCCCCAAAATTGCCAATCTCGTCATCCCGTCCAAATTCCCCACTTCAACTTATCTTCACTACCTCTGGGTGTCCATCTTTCCCCCTTCAACTATCTGTGGTGGATAAATTCAATTGGGACTGCTCCTTTTCAACCCCCCTGGTCCTAGAAAGCCTGATCTCACACACCCAGCTACCGGTCTTCCGCGGACACCTGAATGGATCCAGTGTTGTAGTGAAAATGGCCGAAGATGATCTTTGCAACGAGTTGATGGATGAAGCCCAGATTTATCAAGAGCTGCAACCTATTCACGGATCTGCGGTTCCTACTTGTCGTGGAGTGTTTTCTGGGGCTGGAGCCATGTTCCTTTTGATGGATGATGTAGGGGCTTCACCGACTTCTTTCATGTCCCTCTCCTTTGATCAAAGGTGGGTAAGTTTCATGGGTCAGTCAACCCCAAAATTTCACCTTTTGTTTCAGGTGTGGTGTTCTCAAATCACTCAGGGCTATTCACCGGCTGGGAGTGATCCATAATGACCTAGCAGCTTCCAACATTGCGATCAGTGATTCTACTGCGATTATTCTGGACTTTGGTCAGTCGGAGATAGGGCATGTTTGCCCTGGCGCAGACCTTTGCCCAGAGTTGATTGAGGGTGCCGCCGCTTTGGGAATAGATCCCACAGATGTCATCTAAGTTGTATCCAAATAATTTGCACAATTTTTAGTTACACCAAAATGCCATGGGTGAGTCAATTGTACATCGTGGAACTTGTATGCCGGTCACCTGGACAAAGTTTGAGGTCTGGCATCATTTTTGTCTTCAAAGGACTCCAACCTGGGACAGAACAGACCTTCAAAGCCATCTGTTTATTCTGTGTCGGAATAATCTGTAAAAGAAGGGGGGGGGGGCAGACCCTCGTTGAATTTCAAACGGTGACAAAATGGCACCCAGCATCGTGGCACAACTTCCTGATGCGTGAAATTATATTCTATTTAGGCCTGCAGGAAGTCATCCATTATCTATTATCACCTCTAATTACGAGGATTATGTGGGAGTCACAGGTGTTCTAACTCAGAAGTCCGACGAGTTGTAACCCGATTTGGTTTGAAAGGTTCATTCTCGATCGGCATAAAATGTAACCTCACCTTCCTGTCTTCTGCCTCCTTTGAACCCGACCAATGGAGCCAGATCCCGATCAGCTACCTGCGCCCTCATCTTTGAATCGGGATACTGTGAAGCTGGAGCCGGAAAGTATGATGTCTATGGAGCCAGATCCCGATCAGCTACCTGAGCCCTCATCTTTGAATCGGGATACCGTGAAGCTGGAGCCAGAAAGTATGAGGTCTATACCCTCATTAGCACCTGACCGACGATCTTGTGTCTCAAACCTATCACGCTATGTGGAAGGTATCGAAATCATCGATGCAGACTTGGATTGCCTACGAAGTAAAGGCATTAGAGTCACTGGAACGGTCATGAATGCCTACGCCAGTCTTGTACCTGATAAGGACAGCAGTTTGACTCGAGCAGGATGCATTATTCTGAGCTCATTTATCCCCAACTTGATTCGTGGTGAAACCTCGTGTAACACTACCCTAGAAAAAAGTGTCCCTGTGGTAAGTCCATCCGTCAAAGCCAGTTTTTTACATACTCACAGCCAGCCAACCCCACATACCAGAGGTCCAAAAACAAGATTCTCGCCTCCAGGTGTTGGGCTTTTCCACTGTGCGGAGGGTCTCCCCCCCATTGGGTCTTGGGTTGGGTCGACTGGCCAGCTCATGAAATAGGGTTCTTTGATAGTCTGGGCACCAATCACGAATGGGCAGACCAGGTCAGCAGAATTTCTGATGGATCTACAGCCCGTAGCCCACTCATGTGATGGTTTCTCAGGATTTGTGTCTAGCTGCAGCGGGCGTGGAGCACTGGCTTAAATACCACCAGTATCCAGACATCAAGTCACTAAATGATCGATTCAAAGATTGGACACGACAACACCACGCTCCACCGAAAAATCAGAGACAGGGAGATAGTTGGTCTTGCGGTTTTTTTGTGATGATGGCAATGCATAGATTGTCAGACTTGGATTTCTCACATATACGCCGAGATAAAGTGAATACCACACGGTTGTCGGCTCTGCGGGCCATAGAGAAAATCCGGTAAATGTTTCTGTCCAGGTATAATCCACGACTGGCCTACTGACACAAGAGCGGTAGTTTGGTCGTAGTACCCCTCCGTCATAGAAAACGTCGTATGGGACCCAATGAAGAAAATTTAGCACCTCAGGAACCTCCAACTTCGTCTTCCATCCTCAGGCACAATATCATTTCCAGGGCCCCTGAGGGTGGAGAGGTTCAGAAAATTATAGACACTATTTTAAATGCCAAAAGATTGGTTGTTTTTTGTGGTATGACCATTCCTTCTCCATGACACCCCACCCTCAAGAATTCCTTTGGGTGTTTTTTTTTTTTACTTTCTCCAGGTCTAGGTGCATCCGTTCTTCCTGGACTCTCAGGTTCATCCCTGGGTGATCTGCTTGGATTATTGCGTCCCATTATTTGGCAGGTGTGTGAATGTGTTCTCTATTTATGTCATTGCCTGTCTTAGGTGTTATTATTCTGGCAGGACCGGGCACAATCATCGCCGGTGTTTCAGACCGTGTTGCATCACCTGAATAACCCCTGTGTCGAAAACCAGTTTTATCCGGCCATGCATGCTTTAGATCGACGTGGCAATCTTCTGCGAGTTTATACTCATAATATCAATGCCATGGAAAAGACTGCCGGGCTGTTGACATTCGGAGTTCCAAGCGTGGACCAGATAGGCCAACCTGACTGCCCACGATGCATCCCATTATTGGGACGCCTGGACCAGATGTCTTGTACTCTTTGCTGCAAAGTCGCATCAACAACCAGTTTTATGGATCAGTCCACTTCAAATGGGCTTCCAGTATGTGTTCACTGTCAAGCTCGTGGCTGTGTTGGACACCAGGGTATTTGGCGTCCAAAAATTGCGGTTTGTAAAGAGGAGCACCCGGACTTGAATCTTGTCGTTACCCATGATGAGAAACAGGTGGATGTGGTGTTGGCCATAGGAGTCCAACAAGTCCCTGATGATAGCCTCCCTGACATTGTCATGAAATTGTCCCAAGCCGCCCGGTCAAGAGCCCAGGATGGAGCACTCTCATCCATCATGATTGACCTTGAGGTCCCAGCTCATGAGAGGCCTGGAATCCAAGACCTATTTCAGGTTTGCCTGGAATTGGACCCACAACACTTGTTTGCTAGAGTTGTTGAGGCGGCCCATGAGGCTGCTGCCAATGACCTCCATAGCAATACAATGCTGATACACAAGACAGTGGCATGCATGGGCTTGCCAATTGATGATGGTGAGGAGCATAATGAGGAGGCATTATTGATGTCGCTGCCTCCTTGGCATTTCCCCTCCCCTTAGGCAGGCAGATACCCTTTGCTATAATATTTTAGATAGCCTCTAGACTTTTCTGAGATCATGGCAAGGTTGACTAGTGTATACAGCATGACTTTGTACTGATATAACTATAATGACAAATGACAAATGTCGAATGAACTCAAGACAATGACTATATTATTATAAGCCACTTGGCTGGTGTTGTGCTGACTCACAGGATCTACTACCCAGACTAGCAACTATGCTTCTGTGTCAAACCACTCACTTGAGGACATCCGTTCACCATTACATGGCTCTTATCTGCCGCAGTATACAGCACCAATTGAACTCACTCCATCTGCAAACCGGAGTTTTGGTTCCCCTGTGTTTTGGCCCACAATTCATCATATATCATCAGGGATTTCAGCTGTTCATGTACTATTTGCCCCTACGCACCACTTAATTCATGCCTGCTGCTCTTCACACTTCTTCACACAGTATAGAATGTACAATAATGACTGATTTGGAAGGAAAATTAGTTGACTCAATTTCCCCCTCACTATTAAGCACTCCTGATTTTTATCTACTGCTATTTGTACAGCATTGTGATGACAGGCTTGTCGCAATCCAAACAAAACTCAAGTTGGTTGTTAACTACTAACTACAACATGCTCTGGATTTATCTGTGGCCATGCTTGTGTGCAGGGGCAATGAATCACTTCATTTTTAAAAGGTCAAATAAGACCTTAAACCCTGATTTGGCATCCTCATCAAGCACACTCATTCTGTCCTTGTTTTTCATCCAATAGACATACTTGATTATTGTATGCATGCTGATCTTGACCTGCTTCTGAAAGAGGCTTAATAATGTGTTGCTGGAAAGATTGATAGAACTTACCTCAACATCCTTAGATGCCATAATTTTACTGACCTGCAGTTGGATGTCAGGTTGGAGACCATTTGTTTTCCAATCGTGTCCAAGGTATGAGAAGAACCTCACAAACTATATTAACAAGGTTAGTTAGTTGTAATCATGTATCAGACCAGACAGTCTAGCCAAGAAGACATAATAAGATACGCTGAAAGACAGACCTTATCATTCCACTCCAATTCACCCTGGTTAGATGAGTTTTGACATGCCCCAGCCACTTTAGACAGATTTGCAGATATTGTTTCCGCAGCCTGGGACTTGGACTGAAGTTTTGGAGATGGTTTTGGAATATCTTCTTTGGTCTTAGCCTTCTCCTTGCCCTTATGTGCTGGGATTTCCATGACCTTGGACTTTGGCTCTGGTATTGGAGATGATTTTGAGATCTCTTTTGTACCTTTACTCTGCTCCTTGGTCTTGGTCTTGGTATTTACCAGTCAGCAATACCGACCAATCAGCATGATATACAGAAATCCTCACCTGTAGGATGATCTGTCTTTTTTTAGGAGACTGCAAAGATTTGCCTTTTCCTTTCTTGGATTTGGATTTGGATTTGAGTATACCAGGCACCAGAGTGACTGATTCAAAGTCAAATCCCAGATCAACCTGGTTCTTGGCACAGCTAAAAATCAAAGTACCCTTTGATATTTTACATGTGATCTGGGAGGGTGTATCCAATCCATCAGATGCAGATGAGCCAGAGGTGATCGATAAGGATGTGTCCTGAGGTTGAGAAGTGCTAGATGAAGGACTGGCCATGGTTGTTTGATTCTCCAAGGAGAAATTGTCTTGTAAGTGGTTTTGGCATGGATATGAAGAGGATGGTGAAAAGATTTGAGGCTGATCAAATTTGTCTGGATGCTCTGAAGTTGCTGATGATGAAGGTGTCTCAATGTACTCTGGAAAATCCTGAGATAGGAAGATAGGAGTTGATGGCTCAAATGACATGGATGATTCAGCCATAACAGCTGCCTGTTGCTTGATAACATTAGACTCAAAGATGAAATCCATGTCAGTGTCATGTGACAAGGTGTTAGACTCATTCTCCAAATCCAACAAGGTCGTGGTAGAGTCAATGAAGGATTGGTCTTGTGAAAGAACAGCTTGACCTGGTTTAAATGTCATTGCTGAGATTCTTTAATTAGCTTTGGTCCAACTTGTACTCACCAGTGCCAGAAGGTCCAGATGAATGACTTGATCTATTATTGCTACGTAATTTTATGGGAGATCTTGTCTGCAACTGAGGCACTGTGATGATGCTGTTGGTGACTCCTTTTGGTCGGCCTCTACCCCTTTTCACAATATTATCAGTGACATCTATAGATGCTCTAGAAGATATGAATTATATCAGCCAAGTCTCCAGACTGTGATGTGCTCATCTGAAGCCACCTACCCACACGTCTCTGTCTGGAAATCATTCTAATAGGGAATATCAGCTATCATTGTCTTTGAAATATAGTGAAATCAAAATACATACCATAACCTTGATTTCTTGAGGTGGCTGATTGTGGTCTAATTCCACCACCATCTTATGGATCATTCCAGCACACCAAGTGTCTGAACAGGGTCCAGGTGACTCTACATGAGGCTCCAATGCTATCCCAGCTATAGTGGACTGCAACATAGCAGCCTGTAGTTCTGCAGGACCTTCAGGTAAGGTTCCCCATAAACCAGGAATCTGCTGCTCCTTTGCCCAACGGTACCAGTCTATGATTTATTCAATAAATAATCATTAAATTGATCATACTCAAGAGAAATCCCTACTATATGTCTGTGGATCATCAACTTCCATGCCCATCATAGATGATTTATGATCTGGATCCAGGGACTTGCAGTAAAACATATATGCCAGGAAAGAATTGAGAATAGGAGACATCCATGATGGTGCGCCTATGCCCTGGACTAGATTTTGGCTATTGACCTCCTGAATGAAAGCCTCTCTTATTTTGCTGAGCAGCATGAGTTCACGTCCAATGGCCTCATACTTGAGTAGCAAGAGGTTCTTTTTGTGCACAGGAAAAAGAGGTTCAGAGTGCCGCAATAGTTGTTGAAGACATATAATGATATGATTGAGGAATCTCAATCCATTGCGGTAATGAGCAGGAATTAGAGCCAGGACTTCAGGACCCTTATGAAGCTCAAAGGTCCTGGTGTCTGGTTTGAATTGTCCAATATTATAGTGGGGAATATCTGCCAACCCTGAAGCTGTAGGTGTTGACTGGTGCCACCATTCATCAAAGTTTTGAAGTTGAAAGTGGGGTGATGAAGACATGATATGGTGGCCTGAAGTCTGAGGACAGAGGTGCAAACAGTCGGGTCCTGACAAAAAGAGAAAAATTATATACGTCATTTGATCTCTAACCATTTTTGTATCATGTTGTAACATTCAAGTATTTGATTATAGATTTTGGTCAATCAATTGCAGGCTTGATTTGCTTCACTGATCGACAAAAATAAGAAAAGAAAAACACAAAGCTTGGTGCAATTGAAATATACAGAGTACTCAACTGATATGAATAATACTAATGAAAGTCAGTTTGCATGTCTACCATACATATTTCTACTGTGAGAGGATCTGGGCTCTACTATGATGATGTCAAGATTGAACAAAAATGAACAAACAATACTGCTACAAAAAAGACCTTGTGGTGGGAGAAAGAGGTGACTTCTTTCATGAAGGATGATTCAGTAGTGAGGATGAGTGTTAGGGTGACAAGCTTGTGAAGGGGGGATGGAAGTATCAGGGTCTGAAAAAAAATATTTAGCATACCCTCTGAAAGGCAACACTACTGCCTTTTGAGTCAAATGTAAAAAAGAAAAGTTCAGGCTAGGATTCAGTAAGGGTATTCTCACTCAATACAAGACAATGACTGGACAGCTACAGATGCACTGGAGATCCAAAAAGCATGTCTTTTCAGAATTTTTCCTGAGGTGGTGAAGCAAGAAGACTCCCTTGTCCTTCTCAGCTCACCATGTTTCTACCCCCTTGACATGCAAGTCGCATTTCCTGCTTATTGACACATATATTAGTTTACTGGTAACTTTTCTAATAAGTCTTGTTGTACTTACAATTTGAGGAGTAATTAGATATCCTATACATAAACATCAGCTCTCTCAAGCACAGGTTGGGGATGATCATCAGATTTGGCACATAAAAGCCAAACAAATATGCTAGACCAAGAGTTAATTTAAAGCTGATCACCCTTGCTTTCTATACTTGTTGCTCTGCAATCACACAAAGTCTGAAGGCAACTTTGTTGATTTTAATAGTCGCTACTATCAGAGTCTCTATCCTCCTCATTGCCTCCCTCTGTGCCTCCATCATAGTCAAATAATGAATTCATCTCAGAATCATCATCATCATCTTCTGCCTGATCATCTCTGTCCCCCTTGTCAAACAATGCATTTGTCTCAGAGCCACAGACATTGTAGTCATGACTATCATTCTTGTTCTGATTGGTGTCACCTTCACCTTCATTTTCATCTTCCTGTATCCTTATGGAGCTTCTCTTGGGACTGGAAGCATTACTATGTTGTGCCAGTGTCTTTTGATTATTGACATTTTTCTGATGATAAGGGCATTAGTCATCTCTAGTATATTGAGTGATTTGATCCTACTTTGATCTGCCTGGTTGGTGGCTTTCTAGCACGCTTGACCTTGGCTGACCTGCGATCGATATGGGCCTTCCTTGGATGCTCTGGTTGATTTCTCCGAGGATCCCGTCCTTGCATTCTCATGACTTCAGCACGAAAGTCCTGAGCTCTCTTGATGACAGCAGGCCTCTTGATGGTGCGCTTTTGTCCTCCAACTTTTTGTATGCGGTAGAAGCATGGGTTGGTGACTATCTTGATACTGTCCTGGTCACAAGCCAATGTCCAAGTGGAGCCTGGACTTTTGGCAGTAGGTTTGTTGGCATCAGGAAGACATTGAATATTGGCAAACAGTATATCCAACCGATCTTGGAGATGCTGCCACTGGGCTTCAGATAGCTGAGAGCACAGCTCATGATATTGTGAAATGTAACCCTCTGTCCAATAAGTCTTCCATTTTGATGACTGCAATGGAGCAGCATCTCTGTCAGGAAAAAATGTGGTACGTCTCTGGACAAATGAGAGATGTGGATGACCAGGCTTGTCTCCTTCTAGTCCAGCACTACATGCCTGGAATTTGATGGAGATGATCCATTTATTGACACGATCCAAGGACCAGCAGGTCATGGCTTCCTCCAAAGTGTCACAGATCCTATTGTTGGTGGTGACAGCATCAGCAAATTCATTGGTGGTCTGGGTTCTACCCAGCTGCAACCAAAACTCCCGAGTGAATTGGACAAATAATAGGCCTACATCTGAATCTCCTGGATCCCAGATGGAGTCATAAATCCAATGCCTCATCAGAAGTTGAGGGTGTTGCTCAATCATCTTCACCACATCCTTCCAGCTGGGTTCTGGGCCAATAGGCCAGTCATCTGAATCTGTGATGGGATTTGGCAGGGCTAGGGTCTTGCGCCGACTTTTTACATTGGCACCCATGGTCTTGCGGACATCTGCACTGTCTTCTGGAATGATCTGATTATCCAGGTCATAGAGAAAGAGCATGCCATCACGGTCACAAACTCTTTCAACATCCAGGCTTTTGAGGGACTGACACAGATGAGGATCCATCACGATAGGAGTAGAATTCAAGCAGCGCAGCAGGTGACACAAGATGCTGGTTTTGGTGCCATAGTTGGGAGGGTTTTCTGTTTTTAATGTTTTTTGGGCCCGTCTCAAGCCCTCCAACCTGCTGTCCATGAGGCCAAACCAGACATGTGAAGAAATCCAAAGAATAGGTTGGGACTTCAGAAAAGCTTCAGCCTGATTATGGTCCATGATCAATCTAGTGAAATAGATAGATAGACATCAGAGACTTACCCTTTCTTTCAACTGGGGAAGAACCTCCAGGGCTGCTTGCCCACTCATCCTATATTCATCACGACATCCATAACCCCGATGGGATGGCCCTCCATTGTAGATTTCATGAATCCATTGGCATTCTTTCAGATACCCCTCTGTAAGATTGTAGGCGTCCTTATCAGAAACAAACTTGGGTTCATTATTGTTGGGTCTGATGGCCTCATAGCACAGCTGATATGCAGATCGGAAGCAGATTTGACTGTGATATGCATGTTTCAGGGTCATCTCTGCCTGAATGCCTCCATACCGACCCAGAGTGCCAGTATGATGAGTAGTGCCTTTTTTGAAACCTCCCTCCTGAAAAGAAGCCTGCAATGCATCAAGCCTCCAAAGGCCTACAAAGTTTCCTGTAGGGTTGAAGCTTGCACCCACATCCAAGTAGAGTTCTCCATGGGTCCTATCCATCATGTAATCCCAATCCAAGTTGGAGAAATTTGCTTTTAAAGCCTCGTATGGAGAGGTGTATCTGCCATCCTGTCCATCTTTTGTCCAGAGTTTGATGCCCTTGCCTTCTAAAACAAAGAAAAAGGATCCATATGATGCCAACATAGGGGACTGATCCACCAGGGTCCTCATGTGTTTTTGAATTTTCTTGAATGCCACTTGGGAGAAGGGGATGGCCTTGGGTCTTCGACTGGAGCCACCTTTGCGTGATTTGTAACGAATCTCATGCACTGTGGTATCCACATAAGGAAGAGAAGAAGTGGGTGCCTCCAGTGATATAGAAGGCAGCACCACCTCATTCCAGAACAAATCAATGACATCTAAAGGAATTCTTGTTGCACGTCTGGAGGAGTTGACACGGTTATGAATCATGCGGGGAAAACAGAGGAGAAGATTGGAGGTATGATTTGCAGTGCTCAACACTCCAAATGGCACATGAGGTATAGAGCTCAAAGGGATAGACTTGGTCCACCACTCCTCCCTTTGAGTACCATCTAAACCCTGGTCTTCTGTGCTTTGGGGCATGAGAATGTCGACATAAATATGATTATGCTTGTGGATAGGGACTTGCTGGTCAATCACTGGAGCCAAGTAGATTCCCATGCTGAGAGCTGGACGAAAGTCATGGGTGACCCAGATGTAGCTGTCAATGTCTACAGATATGGTGATTTTCCTAGGAAATTGGAGGTCCAGCTCTAGGTCCAGTATAATCCGCTGGCTTCCTATGGGATCAGCTCCATAAACAAATAGACTCTCATATACTCCAGTGTTGTGTGAGGCCAAGCGCTGGGCATCTAGCAACATCTCAGATGCTCCCATGATACGGACATCACTTGGAACAACCACTCTCTTATCTGCAAAGAGGGAGCTGCGTGACAGGCCATAGCTTTTTGATCTCCAGAAACTGACCTGCTGACTGGGATCATAAGTGTCAGAGACTCCAACAGTCATCATGTGATCTAGGGGGTCTACTGGAGGACCCAACCAGAACATCTGGTAGAAGCTAGGGAAAAGCCTGAAACCATAGTCTCTGAAGAGCATGGCTGATCCAAGAGCACTGATCCAAGCATTGCGTGAGGAGGACCAGATCTGACCAGCATCCATGATGGGTCTCATAGACTCTAGGGTAGGTCCACCCCAGTACTGATCAAATCCTGCATCAAAAGGGAGCCACCTGGATGGCATAGTGGAGGTATCACGGAGATGGGTGGCAGTCAATGAGTGGAAATCCAAGAGTTGCTTTAAATTCTGTGACATCTTGTTACTGTGGGCCAGATTTGTGATGGGGTTGGTATCTTCAGGATCAGAATCCAGACTATTATCATTTTGGGTTTCATTAGGATCCTGTGAAAGACTGGTGGAACAACAGTCAGGACAGTTGTATAACATGGTGGCAAGTTTGGTGATGATAGCCTGGTTATTTTGTCTCTGGATGGATTCTTCTAATCTCTTGTCCACGATTTCCCGAGAGATATGATCTGTTGGATCCCAATCATCTGGCAGGTGGCTGCCCAGATACAAGTAATGGCTCCACTCTCTTCTACAGCTGAGTTTCACCATCTCAAACATTCTAAGGCGAGTGGTGTGTCCACAAGGTATGGTTGGCCTCTGCAGACTTCCATCCAGATGGTAGGCCAGCCCATTCTCTAGAAAATGCTCCAGAATAGAACTTGAGACCGGTCCACAATCGCAATCTATCTTCTGTGGTAGGCGGAATCTAGGATCTTCATAAACATGTACAGCAGAGACATCTCCATGAGGCCAGTTGTGCAACATGGCCACACGTTTCCAGTATTCTGGACCCTGCCATTCCTCCCAGTTGCTTTGGAGACTGATTCCAGGTGCAGTGTCTGAAATAATGGTATGCCGCCCCAAAATATGAGCTCGTTGCTTGCAGTAGTCAAAGATTACCACACAGTAATGCTGTGATGTAGTCAAGATGAAACCAACTTGAGCAGCAGGATGTTCTAGAGAAGAAGACATGAAGTGTCTTTGCTGAAAAGTCTGGATTTCATCCAAGTTTGGCATTTGACCTATGTTGTTCACTAATGGTGAAGCCACAGCCACCATATCAGCATACCGCAAAGGACCTTTCCCATGAGTTGGGTACCACTTGGTCATCAGGAAGAAATTGAGAACCGCGCCACCAATTGACATCTGGGGGTTTAATGTCTGAAGCTGCTGAAAAGCTGGAATCCACAGGGATGGTCGTGCCAAGTTCAACATAGGATCATTATCTGATATAGCTTTCAGTTAGAGGTTCAGAGTCTAATGATCTCAGAGTCATTCACCTGGTGCCTTAATCTCATCTTGAAGCTCTGGAGTGACAAGATCTTCAGCCAGACCAGATCTTGTCCATGAGGGACCACATTCCTCTGAGCTCCCAGGTTGATAATCATCCATAGGACTGTCATGATCATCTTCCTGTGAATCAGTGCCAGATGACATCTCATGTTTTTGAATATATCCTCTCAGAATGTCTGATAAATCATCATCTATAGCACTTGACTGCTGCATTTCACTGTTGGATTTCTTAGATGCCTGTAGAATAGAAGGCCGTTTTCCAGGACCAGCATCAGATGACATTTCTGAGCTTTGGTCTGATGACAGCTGCAACTGAAGCCATGCACTCTGAACTGGCTTATAAGTCATAGCCATGAATGCTGCAGACAAGGCACATTGTATTTAGTTCAACTTTATGTGTGAATACAATAGAAGCAGATGACACACCAGATTCTGTGTTGTTTGAGATATGATCAATGTCATCAGAATCAGAAGACAGGTCCATATTTAGCCACCTTGAAGTGTGCTGCAATGAAGAGGATGAGGATTTAGGCATGCCAGATTGGTGGTGGTAGTGGTGAATTTGTAGATGCCTGGATGATCTGAACTAATAAATGTGGGTGGTCTTGAATAAGTGGTCAGGGTACCAAAAGGTAGAAAGATATGCACCCAAATTTCTGTCTGATCTGATATCACAGATTCAGTTGATAAGAAAGTTAGACTCAGATATTACATAAGGTAGTGCTCATGCACATCCCACTAACATCACATGACCAAGGGTGACTTTTGCATGACTTTGGAGTGTACAGCTAGTGGCCATTGCAAATGTCACTTTTTTTGCAAAAGGAATTTCACAGTCTTTGTATTTGTATTTAGAACAACTCTGTGGGGCTGGATTTTTGAAAAATTGAGGATTGCGAGTGCCATTAGAAAAATCAGTCTTATGGGCTTGGAAATGAAATATAGGAGGTAACACTACAAAAAAGGTAATACTTCACCTCTGTCATCAGACTACTGCACCACAGACTGTACAATACACCAGTGACCTGAAGAATTTCAGTGAATGTGCTACAAGGAGGGCAAGCAAAAATACAGAGGTGATTAAGTTTCTCCCTTACACTATCCTTGCTGAGCTCAAGAAAGCTGGACTTTAATACTAGTATCTGTTGGAAGTCAACATTATCATCACATCTTATTTGGTCTTTGTTACACGAGACTTTTTTACTTTAGCTTATAACCTCCTTGTTTCACATTGTTTATACCTCAGCTGTTCTCTCCGCAATGCTGAGGTATGTATTATTTTCAACTTGCACGCTGTCTCATTTCTCACTGTATTTCACTTGTAGACTTGTTCCTTAGGTATTATTAATATAGCTGTTCTTTCCACAATGCTGGGACTTATTCCTTAGCCTCACTTCAACAGTATCATTCACCTATCATTTCATATCATCTATCATGCCTAGCATATACAACATTTCTGAGTTCATTGATTAGATATAACTACATAGATACTATGATACATACAATCACACAAACCTCTTATTCTTTTGGATCACATACTATCACTGCATACTGGCATTGGTCACGTTGGATCACACAGTGTCACATGTTGGTTGGTTGTGCACGAGCCCTAACTTACTTGTCTGACTTCATTTGACCAAAAACTTTAATCATATATATCTGAGATTTAAGTAGCACATACTCCAGACCATTATCTGCCAGTTCAGTGGGCAGTGTACTAGAGCAAGATGCCAGTGCTACCCAAGGGGATGAGTCAACGGCAATTTGATGCCTTGCCAACTACACATGCAATCAGTGAGCATCTTTTTGTACTTTGATAATTTGTTTCTGATCCAGTGAAAATAATCAAGTTTATGCCATGTCAGATGAAGATATGGAGACAAAATATGGATATGAAGTGGGTCAAAGGTGTGTTTCTTCTGAAGTACCTTTTTCTTGGATTGATGTCAATGTAATTCATCCAAACCATGTTACATGTAGTGTTGCAGTGTATGCCTATCAGAAAGGGCGTAGGGGGGTGGATGAAAGTGATCTATGGTATGGAAAAATCGAATCTCTACGGGTGGACAAGCGTGCAAAAGCTTCACAGGTCCGTGCTCACAAACAGCTGACCTATCATGGCATTTCTGTTGAATGTACAATTGGTTTTTTTACAGCCTTTTTGGGTCAAAATCAGATGGTACTGGAGTGCAGACTTTCAAGAGCCATCATTCAAAAAGGCTTCTCAATTAGATTCAAGATTCTTTTGCATAGGAAGCCAAGAGCTATTGGAATCAGATTTATCCGAGTGGATGGAGGCTGCAGTGTTAGCTGGTGAGGACACAAATATTTGGTTTTTTACTGATGGCAGAAACTGATCAGGCTGATTTCTTAAAAGATGTCACAGAGGTAGTCAAGTTTGATGAGATATCTGGGGTGCTAAAACCTTGGGATGGTCTATACACCCGTTGGTCTGCAAGCTCTTCACCACCCAAACTGCAGGTCTGTATTCAGCTTTAAGTTTGAGGTTTGAAAACACCATTGATTTACATTTGATGATAGGATGATTCAATTCACTTGTCATGCATCTCAACTTGCAACAAACCCTACAGTCCAGACAAGGAGATCCAACGGTTCTGCTCAAATTGCAACTGGTGGTATCATATTCAGATGTCTTGATGCACTTTCACCATTGGGGTCTATCAAATCTCACTTGCCACCTACTGAAGTCCAAGCTCATCACAAAGTAGGACCAACTTTTCAAAGCACTCATTGCTGTCCGGTTGAACGTGGTATCACAGCTGGAGTGTTTGGTAATGGATGGGGAATACATCAGGCACGCCAATGGTACAACCAGTTGGTGAATGAAGGACATCATCTGCCTGATGACTGGATCATGCAGATGGATCAGATTGATACCAGATGGATTGCCCCCACAAAAAATTTGGCCAATACCACCTATTACCAATGTCCTGCCTGTCCAAAATACTGGTTGTAAGGATTGAAATACAAAGTGCTAGCTAACTTGTCACTATCACAATGAATGCTGAATTTGAATCTGAATCCATTGCATCATTCATAAAAGGTCAAACAGAACTTTGAACTCTATTTTGGAGTCTTGAGGAAGTTATCAGCCTCTGCTAGGTGCTTTAGGAATCTAGCTGACCATATCCATCTTACTTGCACTAATTTAGTAGGGCTAGAGTTAGAATATTTGCTTCCAAAATATAGACACTTGCCAGTATAACCACAATATACCAGAGAGCATAGACAGAGCATAGACATCAGCAAAAACTGAAACCAAAGCCTCTTTCTAGCATTTCAGAGGCCAAAAAAGACAATGGACCAAGTCTTGGAACCCTGAGATTTTTTGTAATATAATGGATCAGATACCAGTCTGGTGGTTGGGAGGTGATATGACATCAGAGATGCCAGACTTCAGCAAACATCTAACCAAGATTCTCCTCACCATTATCAAGGTCACAGAAGATGATGGATCAAGTTTTGAAACACAAGGAATTTTTTGTGGTGTGGTGGACTGGATATCTATTATAGTAAGGAGATGGTCTGATATCAGAAAGTTAAGACTCAATCAGCAAACATCCAACCAAGGCTCTCCCCACCATTTCTAAGGTCACAGAAGATGGCAGACTAAGTTTTGAAACACCGAAGATTTTTTTGTTCCATGTGGGCTAGCTATATGTGGTGGTCAGGGGGTGGTCTGAGATCGATATCAAGAAATAACCATCCAAGCTTCTCCTCACTATTTTAAAAGTCACAGAATATGAGAAGCCAATTTTTGAAATACAGGAAGTTTTTTTATAAGGTGGTGGGCTGGCTGTATTATGTGGTGGTTGGAGGATGGTCGGAGACCAGAGATGCTAGATATCAGCAGACATCCAACCAAGGTGTTTTCTACCATTTTAAAGGTCTCAGAAGATGATGGACTAAGTTTTGAAACACCGGGAAATTTTTGTGATGTGGTGGGTCAGGAGATAGTCTGACACTGGAGAATTCTAACATTAAGAAATACTCATGTGAGGTTCTCTCCACCATTTTGAAGGTCATAGAAGATGATGGACTAAGTTTTGAAACACCAGGAATTTTTATGGTGTGGTGGGTCAGATACATCTGGTGGTCAGGAGATGCTCTGACACTGGAGAATTCCAACATTAAGAAATACTCATGTGAGGTTCTCCCCACCATTTTAGAGGTCATAGAAGAAAATGAGCCAAATTTTGGACTACCAGTAATTTGTGACAGAAAGAATTATATTGATCATCATTTGAGTCAGAACCAAAACCAGTACAAGTAAGATGGGCTTTCTGGGGTGGTTGCACTAGTTAAGAGTTGGACTAGGGTTAGAATATTTGCTTCCAAAATATTGACATTTGGCAGTATACTCTAATATACCAAAAAGCATAGACATCAGCAAACATTGAATCAAGTCTCTTTCTAGCATTTCAGAGGTCAAAAAGACAATGGATCAAGTCTTGGAACTATGGTATTTTTTTGTGATGTGATGGATCAGATACCAATCTGGTGGTTGGAGGATGGTCTGATGCTGAAGATTTCAGACATTCACAAACACCAAAATGAGGTTCCCTCTACCATTTTAAAGGTCACAGAAGATGATGAGCCAAGTTTTGAAACACCAGGAATTTTTTGTGGTGTGGTGGGTCAGATACATCTGATGGTTAGGGGATGGTCTGATGCTGGAGATTTCATACATCCACAAACACTCAACCAAGGTTCTTCTCACCATTTTAAAAGTCACAGAAGATGGGGACTTCCTGTAAGACAAATGTCTGTTACTGTTCCTTCTAATGCAATCTGGTGCCCACAGAAATCAGCATTCATGCAAATGTCACCTAAAGTCACAACATGTCACACACCACAGCTTCAAAGTCAGCTTGGAGGGAGTGCAAGGTCAGTTAGCATCAGAGTATAGGGGTAACCATCATTGGTGCTGGAATTGTTTAGAGAATGCAGCCAATTTGCAATTTATATCTGCATGACTTTTGCACTTTTAACTGTCTCACTTGATTCTGCTTCAATTGCTGTCATTCTATCTCATAAAAAACATTTTGTCAAAGTGCCAACTTCTGCAGGGCTTTGACTGTGGTGGAAGAGATAGAAATCTACTAGACATATTTCTAAATTGTTTTCTGCCGCTACCTCCACTAGCATGTTCTGTAATAATGGTCCAGATCAAGATAGCTGATGTACTATGTCAAAGTTCCACAAACTCTCTGGTCAACTCTAAAATCCTGTCCCATTCCTGAATCCTGGCATCAACGATCAGGAAGAGTCAGATCTGTACGGCTGTGAGCATGTTTGCTATGAGATTCTCTAGGCTCCACCATGATGGAGGTTCAGGTTGGGCAGAGAATGAGCAAAAAATGCTGCTACAGTAACAGAACTGTGTGGTGGAGAGAATCCAACATGTAGTGTTGTGATGAGGGTGTTTCTAGCAGCAGATTCAAGAAGATGTTGTCCCAAGCCACAGTAGAACAGCAGACCCAGCTTCTGCAAACCATGACAGTAGGACAGGATGTGCGAGATCCCCCATAGAGTGGCCCTTGGAGCTTCTTCCCAAAATTGCCTTGTGCCCAAGAAGAGATGTTGAAGATACGGTAAACTAAGGGCCAAATTCAGCAAGGCATTGTCATCAATCCTACAAGTGCCCAAGTCCCCCAGCTCCAGAGCAGTCAAATAGACCAGGACATGCAAAGCAGCCAAGCCATCACTTGGAATCTGAAGAATGCTCTCATCCAAGACAAAAAAATCTTCTTTCCATGGCATCTTCAATCTTAACCCTACCAGATCCTCCCAAGCTGGCAATGCATCCTCATCATCATCAGTTGGCCTGAGAGATATAAGAGCATCAAAGAAATGCAGGACAGCATCTGCTGAGCAGTATTCCTGGTGTACATTGATACTCAGTCCTTGCATGGTGATGGGGTGATTAGAGAACAGAGATATAATGGCTGGAAATCCTATGTCGGTGGATGTGGCCATTGGATGATCAAATGTTGGAGGACGCTCATCAGGTTCTACCTGGATGCTGAGAACCTTGGTGCGGATGTGATGATTTGGAATGTGAGAGGTCTGCTTCATGGATGATGATCCAGGGATGATGACAAGGGTTAGAACAGTGAGCTGGCATAAAAATGCTATGGAGGTCATCACGGTGGGTTCCACATAAGACAAGGTAAGATGCCGGATAGGGAGGCTATGGGAAAGGGAATTTAAAACAGTCCTGGTCTCAGATGAGTTGGCAATGTAGACCAGATTTTGCAGATGCGGCAATAAATTCTGGATGTTGGGAGGAAAGAGCATATGAGGCGGAAGTATCAGGGTAGTCAGTCCTGGATGCAGCAGCCTGTCCAGACATTGGATTAGGCAGTCTCTCCTGTGTTTCAGCTCCACATGGCTGAGAAATGGCAGAAGAGAATCCAAAGATCTGATTCGGCCATGCAAAGCCAACAGGCTCTGAAAAACATGCTTGTATGGGGATCTCAATGCTTTCTTCTCTGGACAGATGGCTTTGACTCTGCGTGCATATAAATGGAACCTTGCCAGATCTGAAGGCTTGAATGTCCTGAGAAACCTCTATTTCAAGCATCAGCTGCCAGCATGCTACAGGCTCAGCAACAGTATTGGGTGACCCACCAACTCAAATCCACCATTAGAATTTTGGTGATTGTAAATAAGATCCTCCGGGAGAAGATGAATGAGAGGTTCCACTGAAGATAGCTGTTTCCATAGAAGGTGAAGTACGGCCTCAGAGATGGTCGAGGATGTTGTGGCCAGTCCAGCAAAAGCACCAAGTCTACCAGAATTTTCTGTGGAAATGGTAGTATAGACCATCTGCAAGATCATAAAAATTATATCAGGCATCTTGAAGATACGATGCATCTCTGAAGGTAAAGATTATATCTAAGATGGACAAGCTTATGGTGGATGTGGCCAAAAATGCACATGTGATTTGCATCAGATCTTGTCCAGAATAAGTAAGTACTAATCAAAGTTTGATTTTTCTGAACACAATAAATCAAGTATCAGAATGATGGAACTGTGGAATCCTCAAAGCACTTGGGCATGGAATATACCAAATCATTCATTTTTAAGGTCACAAAACATGGGGGACCAAAGAGCCTATGAGGCAACAAGCTGGATGCATTTCCAAGCAAGGTTTGAGACACCAGGAAATTTGTGTAAGGTGATGAGCTGGTCACAGGACAGTCTGACACCAGAGGTCATGTGCCAGAGAAAACACCCAAACAAGTTTTTCCCCACCATTTTCAAGATGACAATTGTGAGACATCAGGAAGTTTTGTGAGATGTTGAGCTTGGTTAATCTAGGTGTGAGGGGATAATCTGGAGCAAACATCCAAAAAAGCTTCTCCCCATCATTTGCAAGGTCACTGAAGAGGATGGACCTAGTTTCAAAAGACCAGGGATTTCTTATGAGGTGGTGAGCTTGGTGCACCTGAAAGTTCAGAGATTGTCTGACACCAGAGGTCCCATACTGTAGCAAACATCCAAACAAGTGTCTTCCACAATTTAAAGGCCACAGAAAATGATGGTCCAAGTTTTGAGGCACTAGAAAGTTGTTCTGATGTGGTAAGCTTGGTGCATCTGAAGGTCAGAGGATAGTCGGACACCAGGGATCCTATACATCATCAACTACACAAACAAGTTTCTCCCTACCATTTTGAATGCTGCAGAAGATGATGGGCCAAATTTTGAGTTTTTTGTGAGGTGGTAAGCCTGGTTCACTAAAGGATCAGAGGGTGGTCTGACAACAAAGGTCCCACATTAGTCCCCCTCAGGAAAATTCATCTTAAGTGGTGAAAGAAACAGCAACAGACAGAAATTGGAAAGTGGATATAGAAACCATGACAGACATGGCATTAGAAATAAATTATTTGCAGTACATGAATGACAATCATACAAACTGAATTTTTGCCTCTACACATCACAACCATATTACTCCTACAGCAACTGGTGGCACAAGATAAACAAAATAGAGGACCAGAGATGGAGAGATGGTTGTATACTGCTGTCCCTGCAAGAGAGCAGATGATAAAGTTGAGAAGCAAGGATAGAGGGAAACTTATGTACCACCAAGAGTCATGCGATGGAAGATAATGCTTGAGAATCATTTCTATACAACCAGATAAAGTTTTAGTCGATGGTGACTTTTTATCATTTTGAATGTCACAGATGATAGACCAAGTGCTGAGACACTAGGAGATTTTTGTAAGGAGGTAAACTTAGTGCACCTGGTGATGAAGAGATAATTTTACACCAGAGATCCTATACATCAAAAATACCCAAGCAAGCCTCCCTCCACACCATCTCCAAGGCCACTAGAGATGATTGACCAAGTGTTGAGGCACTAGTAATTTTTTATCAAGTCATAAGCTTAGTGTATCCGGCAGTCAGAGGATGATCTGACACAAGAGATTATACACTGTAGGACACAGCCAAACAAGTTTCTCCCCAGCATTTTCAAGGTCACTGATGATGATGGACCAAGTTTTGAGGCACTAGATATTGTTTGTGAGTCAACAAGCTTGGTGTACCCAGAGGTTGGGAGGTGGTCTGACACCAGAGGTCCTACACTGTATAAAACATCTAAACAAGTTCTCCATTACCATTTTAAAGGCTACAAAAGATGATGGACCAAGTTTGGAAAGACTAAGAATTTTTTGTGAGGTGGTGAGCTTGGCACACCTGGGTGTCAGGGGATGGTCTGACACCAAAGATCTCAAACTGGAGCAAATAGCCAAGCAAGTGTCTTCCTGCTATTTTCAAGGTCACAGAAGATGATGGACCAAGTGTTGAGACATCAGGAATATTTTGTGAGGTGATGAGCTTGGTATACATGATGGTCAGGAGCTGGTCTGGTACCGGAGGTCCCATGCTGTAGCAAACTGCAAAACATGTTTCTGCCTACCATTTTAAAGGTCACAGAAGATGATGTACTAAGATTTGAGATCTCAGGAATTTTTCCCAAGGCATTGAGCTTGGTACACCTAGAGTTCAGGAGATGGCATGACATCAGATATTCTGAACATCAGCAGAGACAAAATGGAATTTCTTCCCAATATTTTCAAGGTCACTGAAGATGACAGATAAATTTTGAAAGGACAGGAATTTTTTATGCAGTGATAAGCTTGGTATACCTGGTGGTCAGGGGGTGATCTGACTCCAGAAGTCCTACACTGTAGCAAACATCCAAACAAGTTTTTCCCCACTATTTTCAAGGGTATGGAAGGTGATGGAACAATTTTTGAGACACCATGAAGTTTTTATGAGACAGTAAGCTTGGTAGATCTGGAGGTCAGGGGTGATCTGATGCTAGAGGTCCTACACTGTAGAAAACATCCACACAACTTTCTCCCCACTATTTTAAAGGCTCCAGAAGATGATGGACCAAGTTGTGAGAGACCAGGAATTTTTTGTGAGATCATAAGCTAAATGTCAGAGGATGATCTGACACCAGAGATCCATCGAGTTTCCTTCTGCTATTTTAAAGGTTAGTGAAGATGATGGACCAAGTTTTGAGTCTCTAGGAATTTTTTGTGATGTGGTAAGCTTGGTACATCTGTTGATGAAGGGATGCTCTTCCACCAGGGATCTGTAAGACCATGCTCAAAAGGGTGGATTATGAGGGCTTGGCTTCAGCTCATGCTCTGCATCCCTTACCTGAGTACATGTCCTTAATTTCCAAAGGCTAGAAACAAAGTCAGGTCGAATATGCTAAATCCCAGTGGGCTTCATAGGAAAAGTGTAGGGAAAAACAGAGGGTTGGTCTGGTGAAAAATAGGGGATGCATCAACACACATCCAAAAAAGCTTCTCCCCATTATTTTAAATGTTTCTCAAGATGATAGACCAAGTTTAGAAGGACCAGGAATTTTTTGTGAGGTGGTAAGCTTGGTACACCTGGAGATCAGGGGGTGGTCTGGCACTGGAGGTCCCATGCTGTAGAAAATAGCAAAACATGTTTCTCCCTATCATTTTAAAGTTTGCTGAAGATAATGGACCAAGTATTGAAAGACCAGGAATTTTTTGTAAGGTGGTGAGCTTGGTTCACCTGAGGGTCAGGGGTGGTCTGACACCAGAGGTCCTATGCTGTAGCAAATAGCAAAACAAGTTTCTTCCCACCATGTTAAAGGGCATGGAAGATAATGGACCAAGTTTTGAGACACCAGGAATTTTTTATGAGATGGTAAGCTTGTGTCACCTGGGGTCGGAGGTGGTCTGACACCAGAGGTCACAAACATCAGTAAATAACCAAACAACTTTCTCCACACCATTTTGAAGGCCACAGAAGATGATGGATAAAGTTTTGAAAGATCAGGAATTTTTTGTGAGACAGTGGGCTTGATGCATCTGGAGGTCAGGGGGTGGTCTGGCCCTGGAGGTCCTACACTGAAGAAAACATGAAAGCAAGTTTCTCTCCACTATTTTAAAGGCCAGTAAAAATGATGGACCAAGTTTCAAAAGGATAGGAATTTTTTGTGAGGTGGTGGGCTTGATGCATCTGAAGGTTTGGAGTAGTCGGACACCAGAGGTCACAAACATCAGCAAACACCCAAACAAGTTTCTCCCCACCCTTTTAAAGGCCACAGAAGATGATGGACCAAGTCTTGAGACACCAGGAATTTTTTATGAGGTGGTGGGCTTGGTGTATCTGGAGGTCAGAAGGTGGTCTGATATCCAAGGTCACAAACATCAGCAAACACCCAAACAAGTTTCTCCCCACCCTTTTAAAGGCCACAGAAGATGATGGACCAAGTCTTGAGACACCAGGAATTTTTTATGAGGTGGTGGGCTTGGTGCACCTGGTGGTCAGGGGTGGTTGGACACCAGAGGTCATAAACATCAGCAAATACTCAAACAACTCTCTCCCCACCATTTTAAAGGTCACAGAAGATGATAGGATTAGTTTTGGATTGCCAATAATTTTTTGTGATGCTGTATGTCTTCTCCTCCCCCTACATCCACCCATGTTGGTCAAAGATATTGCAAAATTGGTTCAAGATCATGTAGTTACATGACTATGATACATATAGAGCCATCCTAATAAGATTCTAGCCTGTCCCAATAGGGTTATGGGATCCTAATATAGATATTTGGTAGCAAGACATGGTCGGCAGTAAAATGATCATAACTCATGTTCACAACCACCAATTTCCTTAAAAGTTGGTGCAATAGCATCCCAGTGATGTGATCCATGATCTGAGATAGTCAGAATGGCCAATAAATGTACAATGTTATATATAATATATAGCCATAGGGTGTATAGAGTTCAATACAATACTGCAAGGTAGACGCAGCTCATACACGGATCAACCCGAGCCTAGTCTAGCTGGGATTTAGGAAATTCAAACTGTTCTGGTTTTTCTTCATCTTGCATTAGCTGGCTGTATATTGTGCTCTGTTTTTGAAGTGAGGGTCCATACAAGAAAAGAATCTTTGATAGTGGGTTAGTAATGAAGTACCGAGACATCAAAAAACTCACGAAAGGGACTGGAATCAGCAGGACAGCAACACCACCAAAGATAGTGTTGGGCCATTTGTATGTCAGCTTCTTGAACATTATGTGGGAGAAGAAGGGGAATCCAAAGCTACCCATATTACCTATGGTTGCTCAGCACGTGCATACAAAATATGATTAACAACGTACGAGCTAGACCCTGGTCCGCCAAAGCAGAAGATGCCATTGGACCATAGCTACATGAGCAGAAAATGTGAAACACAAATCACAGTGGAGATGGTACGAGGTACTTACCAGTCTGCCAGATAAATGAAAACCACCTGGTATGAAACAAATGAACAAAACATGAAGATCTGGTTAGAGTGGTGTCTGACGAGCATTCCCGATCCTCGTATACATAGAAACGATAAACACACCGATAAACCGACAACAGGCCACATCCAGAAGATGCAAGAGTCCGCTGTTCATGTATAGATGAATATAGGTAGCAAGAGTGCAACTAAACAAGCGATGTATAGCCTTGCTTCAGGGCCCCTCTGAGACACGCATTTCCTAAACAGATCAGTCAGGTGCGGCGCATAGTTTTATTGTTACAATTGACTCACCAGTACAGCACATCCTGGTAGAAATTGGCAAGGAGTCCCAGGATACTTCCCACACTGCGAGGACGAACTAGATGAGAGGGTCAAACGCTCAACATCAGGACACTTACACGACGATAATGAACACTAATCCACTCTGCCCGACGTTGAAGTGATATATGTGCTTGGAAACTCCGGACACAGATCTGCTCGCATTACTTAGCGGCAAGTCCTCACTGGAAGTAACATATTTGCATACCCGATCTGGACGTAGAGCACGCCGGACATGAAAAAGACCCAAATCTGTGGAGAGAACTTCAGAAACAACGAAACACAATGAGAAAGGTTACCAACGCATATACTAGTCACGATGGGTTCAGTGAGAACAAACACTAACCGCCATCAGCACCACCTTGCATAGCAATCATCAAATAATGTACTGATTGGCCGAGTACACGGCATCTTAATCATGGCACTCAATTCGGCCGTGTCTCCTCTCCCCAGACGTGGTACCGGTCGTCCCCAGTTTCTTTACAGAGTTTCTTGGCCATGCGTCGAAGGATGATTTGCGATCAGGTCTCCTCCATTATAAGTAGGCTGAGAAGGAAGTAGGTCCCCTGAACACTGCGTTGATTGTTATTGGAACATATTATAATTCAGAAAAAGATATACGCACATCACTTGAATCCTGTGGATCCATCTCCATTGGAGATGAGCGTTTAGTTCCAGCCAAGCCGAGATAATCGATCCCAGACCAGTGGTAACCATGCTCACCATGGAGAAAACAGCCATAGGCAGGCTGCGCCTGGAATAGGGTGATGGGGTAATGCTTGCAGGGGCATGCTCGACGCACCAAATACATATGTTCTGTCTGATGGCATTGGCACTGTTGCACCGAGTGAGGTCACTGAAATTGAGGGCACTGTCACAAAGACGAACATCAAGGACATGGTGGAGGCTCTTGCCAATTGCGAAAATGTGATCTTGGTAAGCCTTGATGAGCCAGTTTGATCCATTCACTAACTTAGATCCCAGGTCGTTGGGTACGGCATGGCTGTCACTGAGGCTCAATATTCTATAGCAGAAATATGTGCTATGTTGAGAGCGAAGGTTATCAAAGTGCGCTTCACTATTCACCCTGTAGCTGGTCGCATGCCTGGCCAGTGCAACGTCCTGCTTGCCGAGGCCTCCATGCCCTATGACATCGTCTTGGAGATGGACGAGATCAACGATGATTGGCAGATGTGTACTGGAATGCCTTCAGAAGTCGCTACACATAGCAAATTCTGCTACGGAGGTGATTATCACCGTCCAGCTTTATTGCGACATGCTTGATCAATATATTTTGACCATGGTGTGCCTGCAGTGAGTACTCGCTGTTCCAGCATCAATAACGATGTATTCACGTTCGTATAAGATCACACCTAAATTTATAGTGTCACTTGTTGAACTCATCGCCTCCTGCATCGACACAATCACATCGCCATCCTCGTCCTCGTCATATCTCCACCCCTCACAAAGAATAGAAGGTGTTGCAACACCTGAAGTCATCACTCGGCACTTCCGCAGTACCCTTGCGCATATTCATGGGAAGAAAACAGTGGAGAACCCAGGACAATGGGATGAAGTCAAGGTAGTGGGGGCGTTCCTAAAGATGGGCATCACGCGGTAGCTGCTGCGTGACTCTGAGCGATCATGATTTGTTTGTACATAGCGACAGACGCGGTACTTGCTTATCTTGATGGCCAGGTTGAACTTGGGTTGGATCATTTGCGAGCATGCTTTGTTCCAACTTGCCAGCGTTGTTGTCGTCTTTAATTAGTATGTACTTACGAAGACTGCTTCTGGTGGGTCATGGTTTTTGTATATAATGTCTTACGCTTTTTACTTTCATGGGGACAGTTCCTGGGCCGAAGTGAGTGCAATGTTTTACGTAACGCGAACTCTTTTTCATCCGCACGTGTATTGATCGATTGATCCACTCCATACTCATGTCAAAACGCAAAAATCAAGCCGACCATGAAGATTCTGGCGGCGACTCGGAAGACGTATGATTCCATATGAGGTTTACCGTGATAATGACCAGCTCTCAGTAGACTCTGACGTTCATCGATGTAGATTTCGGCTTTTTTCAATCTCAATCCAACGTTCGACTATCACACCATCAAGCGTCTTCTCGATCAACTCTTCAGTGTAGATGCTGAGGGTCTCAGTACGCACGCCCTTACGGACTCGGTGCTTTCACAGCCTGACACAGGGACCATGATCAAGACTGATGGAGAGGATAGCGGCCCATATGCATTCTTGAGCGTTTTGAATATCGGCGTACACAACGTAAGCATCATTTCGTCTTTTTTCCGTGACATCATCTAATAAGGACAATACCAGGACAACATGTCGATAAAGTTGCTCAGTGAGTACATTCTAGCAAAATCGAAAGGAGACAATGCCTTCCACGAATCACTATCGACAATACTGCGTGATCCGCAGTGTCAAGTAGGACTCGTTCTATGCAAAAGGCTGATCCATATGCCGATGCCAGTGCTACCTCCCGTGTACTGTATGCTCGTGGATGAGATCAAGAATGCAGTTGAAGAGGTATGTCATTGATTCTTACCCAGGAGTTCCTGTTAGTTATACTGGTCTCTGAGACATTTTGCACAATAGTACTGACATTGTCGCATCTTCAGAAGCTTCAAGCAGCTCACGACATGACCAGGTCCTGGAGCTCAAATCATCTGACTACTGAACATAAACCAGGTGCCCTCGTTCACCACCCCAAGTCCAGGACAACTGCGTCAGCCGCCAGCTTTCAGAGTCCCTATTGGGTGTCAAGGGTTCCATGCTCAGACATAAGAACAGCCCACCGCCAGAAGTTAAGAAAGAGAAACTCCTTACACGCCTGAAGCTTTTTCTCGTATGTCACTGCCACACTTGATCTTCTCTCACTGATGTTCCATCAAATAGATCGTATCCTTCTTGACGCTTCATATTTTGAACTTTGCAACTACTCTCTCACCCGCGACCATTTCGAGATACCAGACTCAGGCCTTGATCGACTCTGCTGTGAGCGACTCGGTGTCGCACAAAGTTGACATTACGTCTCCTGCCATTGCCACTGTGCTCGCCAACCTTGCCGCTATCAACGTAACCTTCCAGGTGGAAGAAGCCAACGTATCTGCTCCTGCCGATCTCCTTGTCAAGATTGCCCCGCCCCTGTATATCTGTGTCCCACCACCTGGTCCAGTTCATCCCCGTGCACTCTTCAGATCTACGGAGGCACTCGAGAGCTTCATGACTGGTTGGACAACACTCGTCGGCGACCCCATTCTGTCAAAGTGCATCGTGCTTGTGCTTGCTGCCAGCGTCCTATCCAACGGTTACCTTCTCAAGGGTATTTCTGACGGTGCCATGCGTGGACTAGTTACTATGTGGGTGAGTTACTCACCACCTACACCGAGAGCGATACCTTCCTGTCTCGGGATGGCGGTTTCACATGGGAAGAAGTGCACAAGGACACGCACCTGTGGGAGTCCGGCGACTCAGGGTCTGTCATCGTGATCGTGAACGACGAGGAGCCGATGGACCACGTCTTGTTTACCGCAGACGAAGGCCTATCAACAGGTTAAGTGTGCGGAAGTGACTTCCGCGCGAAGGTCTAACAGTCCCTCATAATTTTGTACTAGTTCATAATGCACATTCAATAAAACCTTTTTAATTGTTTAACTTTTAGCTCTGATCTTACAGCACTCTAGAACATAATAGCGAGTATATCATACGTTCTGGAAGGGCGATACTCTCGTTTCCACTATGAGGTGTGCGTATCAGGAAGGTAGTCATCTCCGTAACCACATCATTGGCGTGATTGGGGTGTTCGCCAGAGAGACGTTCAGTGACTAGTCGATGTACATTCAAATATACGCTGGTTGAAAGATTCGCAGCCATTGCCTCAAATTCGCCAAAAGACAGGACGCCGGAAGAATGTTCATGCATGACTTCGAGGAGCATAAGAGACGTTCATCTAATTCCAGAATCGGCGTGACAGAGGTTGGTCGAGCCCAAGCATATGATTTAGGCGAAAGTGTATGCGCCGACATCCACGTTACACGCAACCTCGGACAAAATCTCAAAGAAAGCGGAGCTGTTGGACGATGAGTCATTCGAATCGATGAAGGAACGTCGAAGGACCTCGCCAAGCAAGATTTTATCTGCTTTTTTGGAGGAGATAAGTGAACGAAGGGCTTTTCTACAAAGAAATGAGTAGATGGTATATTTGAAGAGGGTGAATAAGTACCTTCCACATATGACGACTTGAGGGTAAGAAGATTGAAGGATGTGATGAAGGCGGTCCAATATTTGTACAGCTTCCAGAGGTTTCGGAGGCTCCTGAGGGCGATCCATAGGTGATGAGGAGCTGATGGTTTCGGAAGGATAATATGCCCTTTGCTGCTAACATGTCAGCTATGAAGAATAACACATAAGACTTTGCTTACGCAAAGGGCAGCGAGGGTGCCCACGGCTGCATTAGAGAACAGTTTAGTCTCGTGTTGAAACCTTTCAGCAGAGTCTGACTCGGCTTGCGGGTCATTCACAGCCGCAGCCGCAGCTCTTTGCATAAGGATGGATCGCTGCTTTGCTGATTCGGACTGAGCACCATACTGGCACCATTCCTCACAAAGCTTGTTAAAGAGTCACATACGTGTAGGGTGAAACGAAACGTTCCGAGTCGGCGAGGTTCGCCAGACTATCGAAGAACTGTTCGATCATACCGCGGAAATAACGGCGCAGGCGCTGGAGTACGTAGTTGTCACGATACTCTGGAGTAACGAGAAAGGTTTGCATGTTCCGAATGAATTTGAGTGCATATGAAATTGCGTCATGTTTTGCAGAAGATCTTTGGTGCTGCAATTGAGGAGCAGTGATGAAGTAGATACGAGCAACAGCCGAGTGCAAACGAGCTTGACGTCGTGAACGTCCACTCGACCCAGGAGATCCAAATTTCGAGCGGGCGTCATCATGGAATTGAAGGAGAGCAAAGTGATTCAAATCCTCTAAAAGCTGCGAGAACCCACTAGATGGAAAAGAGTTGGTACTGATCACGGCAGCATCACGAAATGTGGCATATTCCACATCTAAGAATGGTGTCAGGTACTTGAAGAGGCAGGCTGTGGTTGACATCCGCTCTCGCTCAAAGGTAGCGTCCGAAGGAGCTCGTGAATGTTCTCGACCGGCTTGGACAGGAGCACCCCCACGGCTATCAGACACAGTAGCCGTGGCGCACAGAATCTTGATCCACAGATACCATTGATCGATCAAGTTGATGTTGTCTTTGACTTGCTTGTGCCCCTCTTTATCGGCGGAGCCTGGCGCCCTAGAGACGCCGGACGGTAATCGTCCGCTGAGAGTAGAGAGTCTGGCAAGATGCAACATTGAAGGATGGTAGCGAGATGCTGCAGCCTCGATCATGGCACGACAATCCACCACGACTTTCAGCGGTTGCTGGAACGAGGTTTGGATGAAGCTGGGGAAAACACAATGCCATATTTTCTTGTCCTTGACATAGTTGCTATCGGCAATCCTCAACAGCACATCCTTTCGTCCAGCTCGATTCCACTGTTGCAGGCGATCCAGCTCTGAGCTGTCTAATAACTCGTCAAAACCCTGGAAATGAGGATTATCACGAGCATCTCAGTCGAGGAGCCCGTTCAGAAGGATCGAGGAACCCGCATGGGCACCCTCGACCGCATCTATATGAGCAACGAATGGTGCAAGTATGCGGATGAGCTTAACCCCAGCGTCTGTGAGTGGTAAAGAGGAGTGCAAGCAGCGCGGCCACGATTGCAAACATATCTGGAGCATAGATATCTACGACACGAAATGATTGGGGTAGGCAAAGGACCTTCAGGACGGCGACAAATTACGATGTTGTGGGACTCTTCATGGACAGAATTAAACCGCGACAGCGACCACTGTTTATCAAAGATAGACATCTGACCCACAGACTGGCTCGCTGACCGTGCGATCGCGGTAATTACAGCTCCATATCTGTCAAGCAGCTTTTGAACTCTGTGTCTGGATACCACTGCAGCCGGAAGACCGTCAGAAGATGAAGGATAATCATCTCAAGATGGTACAGCAGTGAAATCGACACTAGACGGCCATGTAGGAGTTCACTCCTCGCGTTCGAAGGCGTTTAAGGTTAGGAGGATAGCCTGGGCCGATACAGCAACGCGTTTAGGAGCCAATATACCCGTGAGATTACTTATGGATGAGGAATTCACGACAGCTTCTTGAAGTAAATCCATGCAGAATCCCAACCCATAGTCGAAATAACGCGACAAGATAAAATGCACGATGCAGATAAAGGGCTCAAGATGCTCCTCGTGGTGGAAAATTGATGACCGTCCAGCAGGGAATATGTGCTTGAGGAGGGAGTCCAACTTGGTGGTGCTCGTCGCCAACGGCTCCTGGCATCGATACAGGTATGTCCAGATCAATCGAACGATTCCATTCAAGACAGGAATCCGATGAAGCTTCTCCTAAATTAGGAGTCAGTAAGAAAAGCGTTTAACTAATTGAATTTGAACCTTCATTTTTGACAGCCCATACTCAAAACAAGCTGTCCAGTTGCAGAGGAAGTATTGGTGAGGCGCAACACAAAGGCTCGTGACAGCCAATGGATAGGCGATATGCCAATACCTGGGCTTACTCATCATCTCCTTAGCCCATCTTTTCGATCGCCTTTTCCTATTGTGGATGATCGACTTCGGCCTGCGCCGTCTTAAGGTCATGTTAGCGTGTATCAGTACCAACCAGGGGATAGGAAGTACCTTTCCAATGAGGTGTAAGAGGCGAGTCAGCGTATCGGCGAAAGCGATCTTGAACCGAAGACCTATATTATACAGCGTCTTGTACAGGTGTCCCAACAGCACAGAATATGCTTTTGGTACATCAGCGTGCCTGGGTATCTGGTTGCGTCAATGATCCTGACAAATTAGAAACACCAAGTACCATGAATAAAATGTCCGCGTGGGATTACGGTCGGCGCTTCTGGGTACCTCTTGAGTCGAAATCAAAAAGTCGGATGACAGTGCCGCAAGAAGTGGCCGGACAACGTTGTTTGGCATCATGGCCACCTTTGCTATCTGTTCGGTATCAGAGATATGTTAAGATGAAACCAACAAGGGAAGCACCTGCTTCTCATCCATCTTTCCAATATTGAGGAGTAGACGCACTATCCTCACGCCGTCGTCTCCGTGTCGTTCCCGAGCCACTGCCTCCAGCACGCGCCTTCGCAGGCGTTTGCTAACTATTTCAAATTCAACATGTACTTCGTTGTCGGCTAGACTTATGAACGACGCCGCTTTACCAGCTGGCGTCGGATTGTCTACGCCGGACATTAGACCAAGATAATCCTTGACAAGTGAAGCACTAGAGGCTTTTTTGGTTGACGAGACGAGACCTATCGAACTTTAGCGTGGCTCGCATGACAAGAGCAGCACTTTGATTAAAACGCTCTCCTACAGCCATCTCGATGAGCTGGCAAATAACATCAGTATGAAGCCAAGAACGGGAAGCAGATACTGACTTTGTTACGGATATGGGTATTGAATTTGTCAAAATTCACCTGAAAGTAGAGATCATCCTGGAAATTTGAATTGAAACAGCTGACTAGTACACTGATTGTTGAACTCACGTCAACCATGTCCTCTTCTGTTGCCTTTTTTTATGAGTCGTTTTGTACCCACCGAAAACAATAATCGTTGGAGTTTGCTCACCTGGATGACCGATGGCTGATCAGATCTTTCGGCTTCCGCTTCTATGATTCTGCGTTTGCTCACAGATATCGAGACTGGTAGGTGCGCGGCAACTCACCAAGCCCACGCTCTCTGCTGCTTCCTCCTCCCGTTTCAGCCGCGCCTCCGCAGTCTCTTGAGCCTCTCGCAACTCCTTCGCTGTAGGGAAACCCGCTATTTTAGCTTTCTCTTCTGCTTCGTATTTGATACGTTTGTCCCTGGGTGAGTAATGTGGATGGCTTAAGATATGCACCGGATATGAGCTTGTATAATGTTTGCGAGTATAGGCTTGAACCTGGGTGCGCCATTAGCAACGGTTACAGATCAGAAGAAATCTCCCGACTTTTTGGGTTTTGAATTGACAATCGTGAAATGATGTCAGGTGACTGAAGTTTGCTGTGGTCTAGTATTAACTGCACAATTTCTGCACCCTGGTGCACAGGTGTCAATTGAATCCGATGAGAGAGAAAAAGAGGGTACGTACAGATGGTCCAAACAATTGCTCCGCCGGAAGTGGGAATCGACTATTTCAATTGCTGGGTCGAGAGCACCAGGAGCGTACGAGGTGTGATTACCAGCGCCTCGTTCAGCCAATGGCTTTGCTACCATCTCCTCCTCAGCCTGATTCAAGGAGCACGACGGAGAATGCAGACGAGAGGGTGTGGGCATCGCTCTGCCATCTTCTTCCCTGCATGCCAGCGCGCGCGCGACTGGGATTGAAGGGCGTGATGCGAATGATACGACTGATGCGAGATATGGGATTGATGGGTGCGATGGGAATGATGCGACGCATGAGAATGGGCGGTTGTAATGTGAAGGAGATGTTGGGCCGCCACTCACAACCAAGTGCATCTTTTCCTTTTCCCTTGATTCCCTCTCTGCCACCTTGGCAGCCTTGCATGGTGCTTGACTGGGAGAGTCGGAGGGCGACAGGCTTGATGCATGATCGTGCGATTGTGGAGAGAGAGGAAGCTGGCTGGTTCAGCCTGACGGACTTAGCAATGTGCTGGGAGGTAAAGGAGGTAGTCGGTAGGGACTTGCGATCTTGATCCGGCTCGTAATCGGTGAGGGGACGAGGGCATTTTATCAGGTGCTGTGCTGCGTATTGTATATGCCGAAAAGCAAGGATAGCGTCGCCATTGCATTGAAGGCAGAGGACGTGAGATACAGGAATAGATCGAATGTGATAGAAAACTGCAGGAACGATGCGAATCAGCGGAGGGCGGTAAAGGTTCGTGCAATGCGTACCTTCTCGCATTCCAGTGTTTCGTATTCGGATAGCGAGGATGAAGCGCTTGTTGACGAGTTTCGATGCGGGAAAGTGTGATTTGATTTGGCGAGAAAGGGTGCATCGAGCCAGGGGAGGTAGGAGCGATGACTTGGGGGTTGCTCAGGTTTAGACGTGAATTGAACTCCACAGTCGAACCTCGATACTGAGAGTATCTACAAATTGCAAGTTTAAGTGTCTCAAGCCAGAAGAAGCGTTCCACTTACCTGTCCTCAGGCGTTATACCAAACATGAATGGCACATCCCATATGACATCCATCGACTGCGTTCAACCCAATGACAACGCCCTTCACAGACAATGGAACTCCACCTGAATCTTGAACCATAGTAACCCTCTCTCCCAAGGCAAAGCGCTGGTTCTGGAGTCGATAGATAGCGTGCGATGGTTTCAGAACTGCATGACGAGGGATGTTCTTCACGATGACTTGCTTGAGTGTTGCCTAGTCTGCTGCTGCGCGAGTTGAAACCTGTGGCTCAGATATCAGCGCTTCAGCATCGAGCGTACACTGTGTGAAAATTATACCATGTCCGTCTCAGATATCCAGCTTTCGAGGGGCACAAGGAAAATGCTGCGCCACTGCTCGGAAAATTGGTCATGGCAAGGAGACCGTTTTACCCCTTGCCATGACGAAGCTGCCAAGACACAAACCTTCGCCGAGAGCGTGGAAAATTGGTCATGGCAAGGGGACCGTTTTACCCCTTGCCATGACGAAGCTGCCCGGGTCTGGACAGAGCACGTGATCTGGAGAAAGCCGCAAGCGCGAACTTCTGAGAGAGAAGAGAAGAGAAGACACAAACCTTCGCCGAGAGCGTGATCGGCCTGAAAACGTGCATAGATCAAAGGGTCCGAAAGAAACACGACCGTGTCAACGTTCGCAGGCTCACGATCCACTCTGAAACGGTCACCTATGGAAAGCCAGACCAACGTCCAGCGCGAGGACGACGATTGAATCTGCAAACCATGAGTCGTTGCATCAGCGCAAAGTAAGAGAGACACGATTGGCACGAAAAAGAGAATTGTCCTCTCCCGCAGCACGCGCGATATCCTTGATAGATGTAACAGACACACGCAGACAGAGGTCCAGACACCTCTCGAACTATATAGCCGAGAAGCGAATGATGTTCTGAAAAACCATGCGAGATCATCGTGCAAACTTCGGGAGCACCTAGCGCAGCTCCTGCTTCAACACCAACTCCTGAAAATGTATGTCGAAGCAGATTGATCTTCATCTCTTCTCGCGACGACACCACTTGCAATCCGTGATTCTGAACGAAGCACGAAGTATGTATAGCATTGGCAGTAAATATAGGAGCTGAAAACATGACCTGAGTTCGAGAACACCCCATGATGATTGTTGATATAACCGAAGCGTATTGTACGAAGCGTATTGTATAAGTCGTTGTACACAAACAACATCATGTGACCGATACAGCGTAGAAAACGATGAGAACATGTAGTAATACAATTTGAAAACTGAGTGGTGAAAACGCGTGGTAGTGCGACTTGAAACACTCTACACGAGACGCGCAGTAGAACGAGACGTATTATGCGATCCTTCCTCTCTTCTTGCTCGGCCCAGCTCCAGCATCCTCGGTCTCATCAGCTACACGCTTGAGAAAGGTGTGGTGCCATGAGCGGTATCGGTCGAACCCCGTCTGCTTCACTGCTGCCCGCAGTTGTGTGGTGCATTTCTTCCAGTTAACTACCTCATTTGGTGGAGACCATTCCTTGACAACCTGGAGTGAGTCGCTGAAAAAAAAAATAGAACTGATGAATTTACGATAATCAGTGAATACTAGTGCTTACAGGAGCGTATCGTCATGCGCATGCTCAGTGCGTAGGTGTTCGGAAACTGTGTCACGGACTCTCTCAAGGGTGCGTTGGAACATCCGTTGAACTTTCTCCAGGCCCTCCTCGTCTCGGTCCGGGTAGAGTACCTGGAATGTGAATAGTTAGCGTGAATATTAGACGACAGGGAGGTATACGTACAGCGGTCGCATGATAATTAGGATGACGCGATTTCAGGCTCAATCGTCTCTTAGCAGGGCGAATCCACGTGGTTACAGTGATTGTTACAGGGTGAAACCACGTATGAGACTGCGACGCGAACCCACCATTTTCCGACCGTGTCAACTCTCCGATCTGGACGCCCCTCCGATCGAGCTCGTTCTCGATACCCCATTCATATGTGGGTGAGGTGTGTTTCCGTGCTTCAACGATGTTGATGTGGGTGGCGGCTAAGACGTGCGGGTTCCGATCGGCGAATTTTTGCAACTGCGTGATGGCGCCTTCAGATGTCTGAGAAACAGACACCTCGAATGGCCAGTAGGGACGGATTTCAGCATCGCGCGTCTGAAACATCAATACCAAGTCTGGTATGCCAAGGTGGTACTTCTGATCACTGGAAGGGAGTTCTGCGGTAGCGGGCGCGTCTAGCATATGCCCCATGTGGATAGGCAGAGAGACCTCGAAATCGTCAGGAATGACGAAAGAATCAATAACGATCCCCATCGCAGTGCGCAAAGGCACTAGGATCGCCTCGTGTATTGCGGAGGGCAGGGTGGCGACGATTTGGCGAAGGCTGGGGATGTGTGACGGTCTGAAGCAAAGTGCAAAATCAATCAGCTCAAATTCAGAAAAGGACGAAATCACTCACTTGCGAACCAGTTTGTGGTCAGATCCAATAGCATTCAAAACATATTGATAATCTTCTTCTGAAACGTTCGAGAATACCTACACGGCAATCAGCCTGAGAAAAATCAGAAACACGCAACTTCTCGTACCTCAACTTCGGGCCCATCGTCACCGTTCCAAAGTCTGCTGATAATCAATTGGCGCAAGCCTGCAGAGTTTGGGAAATAAATTACATGGTCCGTGAGTTGCAACACACGTACCAGGATCCTGTGTGTTTGATTCCACATCTTCGATATTTCCTGGTTTCAGCAACTTTAGTATTGAGTGGGGTTCGTTTGTTACTCCCAAACTCGAAGCTGACTCTAAAACAACGGCGCTAGCTGGACTTTTCGCAACACTTGTTGCAGGTGTCAAGTGCTTTTTGACATTCCTGGGATCCTGAATGCCTGATTCCACATTTTCGATGTTATTTGGCTTCAGCAATTCTGGTATTGCCTGGTGTTCATTTGATACTTCAAGGTTTGAAGCTGGCTCCCCAACAACGGTAGCTCGACTTTTCAGGCTTGTTGTAGGGGTAGAGTGCTTCTTGACGTTCCCTGGGGACGGTCCTCTGAACGATCCAGGAAGTATGTGGGGCTGAGACTGCCAGCCACTGTTATACTGTAACAAACGGACGGGAGGCATGATTTCAAAGAGTGATTTCTTGTTGAAGTCACACCTTATAAGCGAAGGCTGTGGCGCAAGGGGCTTGGCCGGCGTTCAGCTTTTAACCGGGTTTCCCACTTGCCACTAAGGTCCAAATATACATGTCTTACAGGTTCATCATTATTTGCACAGCCCACCGCAAATACTGGCATTGATACACTGTCTACCACCGAGGCCGGGGAAAATATTGACGCTCGAATGCGTTCGCCTTCACCTATTAACTCTACGATGTCGATGACCATAACTGATGCAAGGCAAAATCTACCTGATTCCCGCTATTATCAGTGTTCTGCCGGTCAGTGACCGCAGTGTTCGTTCAGTGAATGCAAAGGGTGAGAAAGTCAGTGATTGTCGGCAACATTCACCTGACTGTGAATTCGTAGGGTGCCATGAGTCCTTGTATTCCTCATATAGAAACATGTAAACATAATGATCACAGATAATAGTAAGCGCTTAGCGCTGCGCAGCTCCGCTTAGTACTATCACACATTGTAATAATCCATGCAGAATCCTCGTGCCCTCGCCTATATAGTCAAGTTTTGTGGCTCTCAGCGTGGAATGTAGCACTTGCTTGTTTTACTCGTTCTCCTTCGTTGGAACTGTCTCATGGCTGCTATCAGCAAGAAGAAGACTCATAGTACCAGTCGGGGCTGGTGGTGGGCGGAATTTACAGAACATCCTGGCTATGAGAGTTCTGAACCGGCATCAATGGTGCAGCAGAAGGCAAAAGTAATCTGCACCAGATTACTGTACAGCTACGCACTTAAGTTCGTCACACCATCACAGGGCGAGCGAACCGAACCTATTTCGTGTGACAGTCACACGCATTTTGAGGTCATCGAACTTAAGTTGTGACATGCGGTAAAAACACGAAAACATGCAGTAAAAACACGAAAAAAGTCCTAGTGCTGCCAAAAGTCCTTATATTGAGTATTTGCAATGTGTCTCTGCGCTCGTACAAAGAAAGAAATACGTCTGCCTAATGAGACTCCCAGCCCAGTCGGTCATCTCACCCAACGAACCTATGCGCAACATGTCACACGTCACACACCCCTTCGAACTTTCGAACCTAATGTTCATTCGGTCACACCCATATCAGGTCGAACTTAGGTGCGTAACTCTACAGTACTTGAACATCACATTGCAGCAGAACGGGTGTGTGATGAGCGCGAGGTACGGCTGGGATTGCGGGATCATGCACGAGACGAGTGTAGTGATGTTCCGGCCCGGCTTAGGCTCAAAGCCCCGGCTTAGGCTCGGCTTCGAAGGGCTTAGGCTCACAAAAATTCAGAGCCTAGGCCGTGAGCCCAAGCCAGCCCAAAGCCGGGGCTTGGGCCCAACCAGGCCGCGGCTTTTGGAAGCCAACAGATGCTCATTAGTGTAGGCTAGTAGTAACAAGCAACAGCGTGAATACAACGTATCTAAACGTCCATCTCAACATCCGACACGTCCTCGGCATCATCACCCAAAAGCATCATGTCCCAAGCTTCTTCTCCATCCACAACATCACCAGTCTCTGCGTCCGCTTCCGCTTCTTCGTCATTGTCGTCCAGGTAATCCAACTCAACGAGAGATGATGGTTGAGGCTCCCGGAACAGAAGATTGTGTCGTAGCGCACATTTCACAGACGGCGCTGATGGTATGGGAGAGGTGGGTGGAGATTGCGTGATTTCGGTAGTGGATGAAGTGGAGGTATGTTCAGCAGCACATTTAGCAGCCTCCGCAGCGTGGAACTCGTTAATTGCCTTGGTTTGGGATGGCAGTGCTGCCTGCTCGGCATGCTGAAGAAGGGTGGCTGTAGGTTTCGTTTTGCGCACGGGACGTGCAACATGGTGCTCGGCATCTGTGTTTGTCATGGGTGGGTAGCAGGTAGGGATGTTAGAGGGACACGTACCAACATAAATCGATTGAAAGATAGTACTGGGTGCGCAATCACGCAGACACTTGTGAAGGCGAAGCACAAAAGGCTTTAAATTTACTAAAAATATCGATTTGCGCAACTGAAACCTGGTAGAGTGAGTTATGTCAAACTCGCAAAGCACAGGACATAGTGCTGGCAGCTCACCGTGGCTTTTCCGTAGCAACAGACAAGAGATAAGGCCTTGAAGGAGGGTGAATTGCTGGATATGTTGGACAGTGCAGGACCATCTGAGTTGAAGCTGATAAAGTGATGGAAGTCAGAAGCTTAGAAAGACAAAAATAGAGTCGGGAAACGTACCTCCGGTGAGTGCCACTGAACATGCCAAAGCCACGGCTTAGGCCGCCGGCTCAGGCTTTTCGAAACTCAAGCCCAGGCCCAAGCCTTCCTCAGGCCGTGACTTAGGCCTGGGCTGGGCCCGGCTTATTTGGGCCCGGCTTGGGCCGGCCCAGGGCCTCAAGCCGAGCCGTGCACATCACTAGACGAGTGTGCAATTACAGGAACAGGTAAAGTCCTCTCAAATACCATCTCGTATCTGTTACTAATGCTTACTATTGTAATATGGGCTTGGTGATCCCCAACAGATGTGCAGTGGAGTTTGTGAGCGCAGAGGGCTGTGGCAAATTGCTGCACACCTCATTCGAGCTGTCAAGGATGAGGAGGCATTCACGATGTCCGAAATGGTGGAGGCAGCTGCTAATCCTTCTGACTTTCAGCGCATTCCTATCAAGGATCTCTTTGATTTCTCTCGTGCTCAAGAATGGCTCGGATCTTTCTACCAAACGGCCATACGAGGCTTGGATGCTGAGATTGAGCTGTATGAGTTGTTGGATTTGGACGCCGAGGGTATTGATGACACAGAATTCCCGCAGGCGGATGAGATTTTGAACGATTAAAACTCTTATGACAAGTTCGTGCTTAGGCAGGCCATAGCCAATCAGATGTGATTATATAATGTTTTCCCTTGGACTCCTGGCACTAGTACTATTCACGTTCACATGTGACCATGGGGACGTTCACCAGTGAAGGTACACTGACTTTGGCGAATGTTCGGCGACTGGCAGAACACTAGCTATTATCATTGTACTTTCAATTATAAAAACAAACATTTCTTGCTAATCATAGCGGTACAGTCTCAGGAGTCTGAACTTGAAGACCTCAACGCGGTTGCTTCTCTCGATAGCAGGCCTGCTGTAAATGGGGCAAGTCAATCGCGCTGATAGGCTGCATGAAGTTTCTCGTCGCTCACTGGAGAAAAGGAGGTGAACATACTGGACATCGATTGTTGTGACGAAGACCTGCTGAAGCCTAAGGAGGCAGTGGGAGTACACTTTCAGGATGCTCTAGATCTGTTGCCCACGACAGTCTGCAAAGGCTCAACTCACCTGATCTTATAAAGTTGTCAGCCTAATAGCATCTAAAAATGACCGGCTTCTTATTTACTCGATGTTTAGCGGGATATCTAATACACCATTTCATAAGCATTAGGAAAAGGAGACTATGCAATGATATATCCTACCTATAGTGGCCTTGCTTGCAATGATTATATCCAGCGATGAGTAAGCGGGAGTTTAGGTGTTCAGCTGAGGATCTTCTCACTGCGCTGACGCAAAATGCCCGGGTAAAGGAGCACCGTCACACACCTCACTAACGCCAAATGCAGATGATGTTGCACAGAGAGTAATTGAGCTGCTAGCGTAAGTTCTAACACTTACTTATGCTAGGCTGAAGACAGAGTGTGACGATCTCAGTAGGGTACGGTTGAAAAATCCCCGCGACTTTTCAACAGCTGTTTATAAACAGACTGAGGCCCTCAGACCATTTATAAACAGGTGTTTTAAACAATTTTCAACTAATAGTTATTAACCGCTGAAAAATATTTATCAACAGTGTGAATAATGTTTTCCCAGTGAAAAAATGTGGAAAATTAGAATATTCAGTCAACTGGCCTCATTTTCGACAATGGCGCTTTGTTCTGGTCCATCTGAAAGTCCTCTGAGTTGTCACTGTCATGTCCAGTGTCCTCCATCAGTGAACCCGTGAGGAAAGTAGATAGCAATAAATAACAATATATAGTACATAATCACGAGAACTAGCATAATTTTGCTATCGACGATCACATTGTTATGTTTGGCCTTATAGAGGAAAGACGTGTCCCTGATTATCGTATAAAATTTTATGAAATGCCATAACGAAAGGGAGGTTCACAACTCTGAAGCATCAAATAATTGACGTGAAAATATAAAGCTTTACAATGCTTTATCTAATTGCAAAATTTACATGATATCTGTCAGAATGATTGCAACAACCTGCCATTTTGTCACCAGCACCAAATTATTCTCATCCTCAGCACTAGTGCCTCCGAAGTCCAGTTCGGTCAGGTTCATGGCCCTATATCTGTGAACCCTGAACTTGACCATTGGTCAGGTTCAGGCATGGTGGCCGAACCTTGGACCACACGCCTTCGAACATGTTCGGAAGGGTTCAGTTCAGGTTCAGAATGTGTCCAAACTCTTGAACCATTGTTTGAATTGCAAAAAAATCTTAAAATTGACAAAAAAATGAGAACAAAACTTGCTAGTATGAATAACTACTAAAACTCTTCCTCAACGACAATGCGGCTATCGTAAGGAGCAGCAAACTCAGCCTGGGATGTTGCAGAAATGTGGCCTTGACAGTACACGCTCTTGAACAACTGGAGAGCCTCGAATATTGCTGGCTGCAAACGGCTGCGACATGTGGTTCCAGTAATGCCGCCACTTGAAAATGCATGCTCGGATGCAACAGCAGATCCCTGGATGGCAAGGTAATCCTTCGCGATGCGGGAGATGGTCGGGTACTGGATAGAATGGTGCTTGCAAAGTTTTTTGATGGTATTAGTATGCAAACAACATAAATCAAACAATAAGACGTACCCCCCACCAGCCCACTACATTGTCGACATCCTCAAGTGGTGCATCTAGGTAATCCTCAAGTTCTTGATGAGGCCTTCGTGTGGTTGTGTCGTTCAGGACATGAGTTAGCAATGGTCAATTGTGATAAACAGTGAACGTGTTGTGAATGTACTGGCACCTTGATAAGTCGCATTGCTGAAGGGACCAAGAGAAGAACACGGATGAGGGTAATGTAGTTACTGCAAGTAGGCTAGAAGGGGGGGGGGAAGACAGTAAACTGATGGGCAAGCACAATGCTTAAACAGAAAACCTTACCAAAAACATGAGGCTTCGTTGCCAGTTCGAGAATCTAAGTTGGATAAAAATACATCAGGTTCAAACCGGTCCAGACATGTCTGGACCGGTTCACGTGCTCCAGGAAAATACCAAACCTTGAACCTATTAGGGGGTTCAGTCCAGCAGAAATACCGAACCTGTGACTGAACCAATGGTCCAGTCCGCAAAGGTTCGGGACCAGACTTTGGAGGCACTACTCAGCACTCATTTTGTGAAGCAAATTAATTTTATTTATATTTAAATACTACATATGTAGTTACAGGACAAAAATAAAACAGGGAAAGATAGCAGAGAGATGAATGAAAGGAGGGACCAAGGCCAGCAAGGAACCACGAGAAAAGGCCAACAAGGAACCACGAAAAAAGGCCAGGAAGGAGCCACGAGGAAAGGAAAGGGAAGGACCACCATGAACGGCCAGAGGAAGGAGCCATGAGGAAAGGACGGACCACCACGAACAGCCGGGAAGGAACCACGAGGAAAGGAAGGGCCACCACGAACAGCCAGGAAGGAACCACAAGGAAAGGCCAGGGAGGAACCACCACAAATGGCCAAGGAGGTACCACAAGGAAAAGGCCAAGGAGGGACCACCACAAATGGGAGGAATGAAGATGCTGAGTCGAGAGGTGGTGGTAGTAGCGGTGAAAGAAGGATTGAAAGGAACTTGCATGAAAATTTCTGTCCTGCACAAACAATGACAAATCAATTTCAACCACTTGCGCTGGTCAGGAAAACCCCAGCTTATGTGTGAGCGTAGATGGCCAAATATAAAATTCAAATTCAACTTGCTTAATCTTACTTAATCAACTCAGCCACATTTGTTTCCTCTCTCGTGCATCATCCACATAGTAAATCTTGTATTTTTTAGTGCAGTCTGTAACAAAACATGTATGCTAATACAACTGAACAACTTTTTTCTGTATATGTCAAAGTTGAATTTCTGGCAAAGTAGGCTAAGTCACTAAGTATGACTCAAGTCTGTTTAAGGCAAGCTTAAGTAAGTTGGGGTTTTCCTGGTGGAATTGAGGTTGTCCGAAAATTCTAAGGTAAAATTTGAGGCTAAGGTGATAGTCACATGCATGATCTTGGATGACATTGTAATTCATGCAATATTTGAACTGATCTATATAGTTTTGTAAGTCAAACATAAATAAGGTAATATGATGTTGCTCAACAAATGGTACCTAATTACACCATCATACCTCACTGGTTGAAACTCTCATAAGAATATAAATTAGGTTACAAGTGCTAATGTTTCTTTCCACGATAAAGCCTTATATCACTTGGTAGTTTAAAACATAAATGAAGGGATATGGTATCAGTCAACAAATATAACTTAACTATGCTATTGCATATTGATTGCTGCAACAGTGCAATGTTGTAATCTTGTCGCGAACTCCTCATGGTAAAATGAATTTTCAGAGATTCATGGCTATGTACCAATAACTAATATTTATTGCCATATACATAGGTATATTCAGCCGTAGCATAATGATATCATCTTATACTTCCCATGGCTACAAAATCAAGGACTCATGAATTCACTGATGTCAGCAGGCACCACCAGTCCCTGTAGCTATGATGCATCAAGTCTGCTAACTACAAGTCAGAGGTGATGCATCAACTATGCTACTTAGCCTTCTTGTGATGCATTACAACATGCTAGTTAGCAGTCCTACAGTATATATAGCTCAGTCAATTACTTTGCAGCTCGGTCATTTGTATTTCGGTCAATTTTCCAGTCGAGTCTTCGGCAACTTAATTCACTTTGAATGTCAAATAACAGCCGGTGATGGATTGAATATCAGGTACACTACTAGCTAGGAACATCAATCAGGTACAGCGCAGAAGTAGGTTAGAGAATGTCGGGAATCATGAGGTCCGGTAACGAATGTTCGGCCAACTGAGGTGGCGGGTCAATGGGACCTTCCAGCAAAAGAATACTGACCGCGGGCCAAAGCTGAATAAGCGCTGCGAGGTCATGTGCCGTTTGTACTCTGAAGAATGCGAGGACGTCAAGAATAAGGTTGAAAGGAGATACCAAAAGGCAAAGGCAAAGTATGCAAAAGCACGTCTACGCCAGAAGTCGGGGAAGATGCCAAAAAATGACGACGCAACCAAGATTAAGTACGTACTTCTGTCGTTGATCACATGGTTGTATCTCAAGCGCATTTAAAAACTGCAGGGCTATCCGTGAGCTTGGTCCTATGCTTGATCGGATCCTGAAGTACCTTGCACATGCCACGGGTGGGTGGAAGTTCACGATCCTTATGGGAGGGAAGGATCCTAGCACTGGAGAGGTGTCTGTGTTCAAGTGAGTGATGCGTGTTCAAGTTGATGAGGAAGTGCGCTTACCTAATATTATGAAGCTATCATATTGGCGAACTTGAGAGTGGGGCGCAGTTTGATCAGACTTACGCCAATTTTGATGCGGTGCAGGGTGCATTCCTAGCCTTCGTCAAAGATGCTCTCGGTACGTCAATATAAGTGTCAGTTCGAAAGCATGCACTCACCTTTTCACTAGCATTTGAGTCGACACTGCCCCAAGACTCAGATGCTGAGGAAGCAGAAGATTCATCATCAGACTCGCATGACGGTTCAGATGAGGAGTGGGCGACAATGAGTGGCAGTGAGCATGGTGGTTGTCATGTGGAAGAAGAGGACTTGGATGATCTCCTACCAAACAGTGCCCATCAAATCAACACTGCGGGCATGTACCGGATGACTCCTCAGTCTGAGTCATCCATCGAAGACGATTTTGGCGCCGCCATAGCATCAACTGATGCATCACTTCCATGTGCGTGGGTCTTAGGTGATGCATCATCTGGTTCTCAGCTCCCAAGTGATTCCCACTTGGCTTCGTTCAACAACCCTCCCAACCTACCTGTGTTTGACCACGAAGTGTTTACTGCTCTCATCAATGACCCAAATTTTAACATCAGCATTTTGGACGCTCTCCCCGAAGCCCCCCCCCCTTCAATTCAATCCATATCCTGAAGTCTTTATCCCTCCAGCTCCTCGCACTGATGATGCATCATCTACACAATATCCTGAAGTTTTTATCCCTCCGGTTCCTCGCGTTGATGATACATCATCCATCCAACATCCCCAAGTCTTTATCCCTCCAGCTCCTCACGCCCATGATGCATCATCTACTCAATATCCCGAAGTCTTTATCCCTCCAGCTCCTCTGGCTCCTCCGGCTCCTCCTGCTGATGATGCATCATCTGCCCAATATTCGCAAGTCGTTATCCCTCCGGCTCCTCATGCCGATGTTGAAAATATGGGAACACCCAATGAATCTGATGGTGCTGGCGCGGCACCAACTTCAGCAGTCCAAGCTGGAGCTCAGCGTCGTTGTGGAAGGCGCACACCACAACATTCACAACTGACCATGCCCACTTCCTCGGCAGATGAGATCCAACCACTCCCAGATGGGCATCGCCGAATGCGCAAACCCTTCAATGCAAGAGAACGTGACCACGATATTGGCGGGCCAACAAAGTAAGTCGGTCCTTTATGTGCTTCAAGTTGCATTGCACTTATATGACTACATCCTAGGCGTGCTCGGCATAAATAATCAGTAAATAGTGTCTTATCTACATATCTTGTTGCGAGATCCATGTCAGTAATAGTGATTAAATTGAATGTTTCTTGTTGTACGAACGAAATGTAAATGTCCGCTATCATATTGTTCCGCATGCCCGGTGCAAGCAGACATACAGGAAGACGCTCAGTTCGAAGTTCATACATTCAAGGCGCAGCGGTGTTTCAGTTCTGCGGGATAAATTCATCCTTGCATACATATTTTACAAAGGGAGCTGGACTTAGTGGTAAAATTTTGAAAAATGATGTCATGCACGTATTTGACTTGAGCACAAGCCTTCAGTGAAGACTGTGGAAAGGTAAGAGGCCTTTCAAAAACGAGTTAGATAGCCAGATGGCCAGACGGATGCCTGGATCTAGTGTAAGTAAGCAAGGTACAGACAAGGGAAGCAAGGTACCAGGGTATAATGCCAGCGAACGGATGCTGGGTGCAGCCCAATTTGGTGCGGGAGGATGATGCATCACTGATGCATCACATTCCCAATAGGGATGAGGTTGATGCACCACTGCTCGCTATCATAGTTGATGCATCATCAAAATATGCTAGTTAGCCTGTTTTGATGCATCATTATGACAGTATAGCCTGCAGGCACATCATTGGTAGGTGGTTTGACTCCTGTGGTAACAGCATGAAGGTCTCTGTCGATGTCATGAAACTTCACCATCAGTTGTCGGTTGATATCCTATAGGTTCCTTTCGTGGTCTCATCTTTTCAGCCCATGGCACATACCAGTGAATAGATTACTTATATCGCACATGTAACTTCAATCCTGTCCATTTGTCTAGCATGGAGTTAAAATTAAGGCTGTGGGGTCGGAAGGGTCCAATTGTACTTTTTCGAGCCTCAGAAGTTCATTCAAAATGTTCCCACACACCCTGGATTTATCCACAATTTTCAACAGGCCTTGAGACACGATGACTTTTCAACAGTGTTATTAACAGTTATTAACAGGTATTATAAACAGCTGTTGAAAAATATTGACTTTTCAACTGTACCCTAGATCTCGATTCTCAGAACATCATTCGAAGATAACTAAAGATTTAAAGCATTATTTAGGGGGGGGGGTTGGTTCTGTGGATGTTCGGACTTGAGTGTTACCTCATTTTCGAACCGATCAAGGCTCCGAGTTGGAACAGCGCACCTGATACTCCGTCAAAATACAGCTTTCGACGTCCCATTTCGAGCCTTGATTTCAATCATGGATGGCACTATGAGTCTCTCGACTGATTTTCCTTTTCTTGTAGTCAACACTGCAGCTAGCGATGTGGTTCTTGGTTCTGACTGGGCAGCATATTGCAGCAATATAACTTACAATCATCGTCTGCCTACGCACGAGTGTTGTTTCGGTCAGTCCGCTTTTAGTCTGTATGGTCTATTATTGATCGTTGTCGTCACAGTATGTTCTGACGCCATCACTGTTCTTTGCCGATCCTATCCAGTTCTCACACATCGTTAGAGATCACGGACTGCAGATAGAGCCATCGCGAGAAGAAATGAAGGTGAAGCTTTTTCCTTGTCTTCGGCATTGTCCACTATCATGATGATCAGTGATACATTCAACATTTGGCAAAGAGTGAAGTACTGTGCTTAGCTGGCTAACTGGTGGCAGGCCAAGAGTGATAATTGCAAGGTATCACAACCTGCGTACCACGGCCTTCGCGAGAGCATCATCTGATATCTGAGGTCGTACCTGATGCTTTTCCTCAAGGTTATTTCGATTGCACTGTCTATAGACAATCACTTGTCCATGGGAAGCTGCCCAGATTTTGCACAGCCATAATGATAGCATGGACCCTGCACCGTATACGTTACTAACTATACCCATAAATGCTCACACCAACCTTCGAGCAAACTGATGCTCGCCGGAACTGGCCGCATGTATTGAAATGTGAGATGACGCGAGGCGCCTTGCCAAGATGATGCAGCCCGGCCAGTGCTGGTACCTCTCGAATGCACGTGCTGTGATAGACTCTGGCCTCTACAGTAATAGTAACATGTGGGTAGCAGTACTTTGGTGGATGTTCCGAGTCAAAGACTCATACTATGTCATATGTCATATGTCGAATGAGTCGAACAGCAATATTAATAGGTGTGGCGGCCAGGACTCCAAGTACTAGTACGGCAGCAAAAAAACTACATAAATGAAAGAGAAAAGCATATGAGAGATGGACCCAACTCCGCAGGACTACAGCTGACGAAAATATGAAACTATGGATCTTAGTACGGGTGTAGATGATAGGGCCGATCATCATGATCAAATGACGGCGCCAGACTGAGTGACTGTTGAAGATATGGGTGGTAGTTCTCTTGTATCTCGAGTTGGGGCGGCGACTGTACGAAGTCAAGCCCCATCTCGGGTCGCAGATAATGTGAACTGCCAACGGGTCGTGAAAAGTGGGAAGGGCCTATGAGCGACTCTTCCGTGTCTGCGAAAGGTGGTATCGATGAGCCTCCTGCGGAGGCGGAAAACGGGGAGGGGTCTATGAGCGGGTCTTCCGGGTCTGTGAAAGGGGGCATCGATGAGCCTCCTGCGAAGGCGGAAAATGGGGAAGGGCCTATGAGCGAGTCTTCCAGGTCTGCGAAAGGAGATGTCGATGAGCCTCCTGCGGAGGCGGAAAATGGGGAAGGGCCTATGAGCGAATCTTCCAGGTCTGCGAAAGGGGGTATCGATGAGCCTCCTGCGAAGGCGTGCATTTGTGGAGACTTGGAAGGTACATCTAAGTATGGCTCAGCACTAGTCGAGTGCAATGACATAGTGGAGGACTGCGAGATACTATGACAGTTCAACTTTAACTTGAACAATTCTAGCGGTTGAGACATTTCAGATGCTGACGCGGGTATGTAGACGGTCCTGGCGCGTAGATTGTTCAATGACTCCGTCATCACCTCCCTGTAAAAGAATGACTATGGTGTGTGCATATAGGCTGTAGAAATCACTTACATTCCTCTTAGGTGGATTTCTGACAAATGTGCTTTAAACTCCTCCCCATGGACTGGATGCACATAAGCGCACTCCATGGCCTTAATGACCTCAGAGTGCCAATCAGCGTATTTCGCCCAACTGAATTGAGTACGTGGATTGACTATACGGTCAATTGCAAATCGCAGCTAAAATATACAGTACTAAGCATTAGCTATACACGCGAGAATAGCGTATCACTCACCGCAACCGCTGACCATGCCAACAACATGATTGGGGTCGTGGTTAAACCGCGCCTGAGCGTTTCGTCGTAGAGAGGCGAATCGGGGTCCTTGTACCATTTGTAGATATGGCCGTCTATGAAATTTTCATTGTTGAACATAAGAAGCTTGACGATATTGCTGTTGATTTTGTACCCGTGGAGAAAGTTTGTAAAGAGGTTTTCCTTCGACAGATCAAGAAGTGATGATTGACGTTTTTTCATATATTCTTTGCGGGCAGGAGCGGTCATCTGAGAATCGTTTGGTGGTTGGAGATCATACTTGGACGCAAATGCTGCAAATGCATCGGCGAGCTTCGTACGACACGATTCAAGTGATAGAATCAGATCAGAGGCTAAAGACTCTGTGAAAATGATATCTGGGCGTTAAATCAGTCATTGGTGATCCGACGCACAGGCTCAGGCTGCGGGATGACATACTACTACAGCATTTCTGGTTTGCCTGCGCAACCACCTCGGAAAGGTATACGTCTGCCACAGACCTTTCGGCTGCGGTGGCGAACGGTAGCCAACCCTTCCATGTAAGCATGTCCATTTCAAGCTTTTTAAATATCCACTCGATTGCGATACGTTCACGGGCTGTATACTTAGTAAGATCTAGTTTCGGCGCTTCTGGCTGTTTGCCTTTGCGCTTGAGCTTTCGGTCGCCATGGATACCGTCGAGGTCGTCATGTAGTAAACCCGGTGTGATGTTATCAGAGACCTGGGAATTTGTGCGGGATATACTGGCACTAGTGGCACTGTTGCGTGGATAGGGATGTCCAGTGTGCGTGGACTTGTGTGACGACCGTTCGGAAACCGCTCGACACCGTCTTTGGTCCTTCTGATTTGGGAGGTACTGAATCGGATCGAACGACATAATTTGAATGTTCTGAAGAATGGGGAAACCTGAAGGTCAAATGTTCAGTTAAATAGTTATCGAAAACTGTCATCGTGGTACTACCACAGCCAGCTCTTCAGTGAGCTTGGGCTTCCACGCCACCGTGGCGATCAGTAAAAATCGTGCAAACGTATTAGAATACTGGCCGTAGTTGAACAATAAGCACCATCTCCGATGATGATATTGCTCCCATACCTTTCACAATCAAGGGCTTCAGTGCTAGTAAAGGGCCTTTGCATTACGATTCTCCCAATCGAGCTGTGCACTCTGACCATGTAAGTATACGGGATTTTTACTCGTGTATAGTGTGGTGCGGTAGAGGTCCTGAGATCAATTCGAGAAGGTCACAATTAGTCACATGCACGGCTCGTGGTGATTGAAATTCACCTTGCCGCTGCCAGCAGCCTGAGCGTGTCAGGTAAACGAAATGAATACAGCGGCGTCTTCAAATCAACGATCAGTCAGACGCGGAGATAAACCGTTTGCCGTACGGCACCGACTGAATATCACCGAGACATGATGAACGGGTACAAAAACACGTCAAACAGTTGGATGCCATGGCGCAAAGCATCACTAGCAGGGCCAGGCCCAATTAGTGCTTCTAGATCGAAGCCTAGTCTCCACATGTTCGCGCGACGTAGCGATCATTGACGTGTTCATCATCATTGGTGGTGCGTTTAGTGTGTGAGGAATGGAAGTTTGGTGCGGTTGCACAAACCCTAGAGGGTGCGGTGGTTGTCACTAAGCAGCCATGTTTATGCATAAATATGAAACCATACCCTTCCCCCACTGACATGCGGCGAGACAGATCCACGGCACTGTGCGTGCTGACTCGGAGGGAGTAATAATGCTATACGAGGACCATCGCAGGAGTTGGGAGTCCGAGTCTATTATCAGCATCACCCACATATTCAATTCGAACCGGCAACGATATGATATAATATTGATGGTACTCACTGACACATCAAAATGCATTGGCGCGACTCCTTCGTCAGGTTAAATCTGACTCCCAAGGCCCTACCGTGACTACTAGAAGTGCCAGGCCTCGAGAACCCGTCCGAATCAGAGTCATCTCCCGCTGCCGTGACTAACTTGAACTCGAGTACGAACAAGTTACCCCTTTACTAAGTGAACGGCGATGGTACTGTCGTTTCAAGGGATAAATTGAACTGAAATCAATAGTAGTAATGTCATGATTGGAATAACAAACTTACTGTATCTCCAGATCTCATGTAATACATTATCATTTACGCTGCTGTGAGGAACGCGGCCGTCAGTGGCAAAGAATATCGAGTCTTTCTTCCATGCGATCAAAGTTGGAACAAGCGTATGAACGTTGTCCCTGTCACGGGTTGCCCGATTACATAATATTTATTATACTTGGCATGGGTTTAGGCCTTAGGCCTTAGGAGTCGGAGTGTCATAACTTATCACCAAGGGAATTTGCAATACACAACGCCGCAAAAAACATGACCTACAGCAAACCTACAGACCCATTGCCTAAAGGTAGCGGGAATTTTATGACTACTGCGTCTGTGCTCCCCTAGTGCTTACGAACCACAAAAAGAGATCGAAAAGATTACTGTAAGATCCCGGCTGCGGTTCAGCTATCAGCCAGTTCGTAAATTTGGCTAGACTGGACCACATCGACGTCTGGTTGAAATGCACCGCCGCTTCTTGCTGCGTGGGGTGGTGGAGGAAAATTCCCAATGCTGCGGGGGCCACGATATCGGCAAACTCGCACGTGAGTTCTTTTCCTGCTTTGGTGAACTGCCGGTGTAGATCATCGTTGATCTGCGGGACGTGACAAGCATAGCATATCTTCTTATGGTTCGTGCTGTAAACCAGCTCCCGCCGCCAGTCTATGTACTGGCCCCAGGATAAAGCGGGCTGAGACGAAAGGCGCAGGCACTGGCTAAGCGCATGGTCCGCCTCTATTTGACCTCCCCAGACTTTACAGAAACTGCAAGTGTGCTTTAGAAATTCCAGAGCCCCACGGATGCTATGAACGCGGTCTGTCACCGCCTGCTCTCGTTCTGATCTGAGGTTATTGGAGCGCTTCATGGCTTCGACAAATCCTATATTTTCTGCCGGTGCGAATCTGTATGAGGCTGCGGGGATTGGAGCAATACAGGGAGGGAGAGAGGGTTTGCTGAATCCAGATTTAAGCCTAGGCGCAGGGGCGATTCGTATGTCCGTGGGATTGTGGTTAGGATCGCAGGCACACACGCAGCAAAGCTGGTTGGAACTCAGGGCGCGGCAGCTGATTCCAATACCGTCGTTATGTAAAGTAATCCCATATCGCAAGCACCGTTTCAGACCGTACAAGTAAAGGTGCTCATACATTGCAGATCTTGCCTTTGTGGTCCGGGGGTGGCGCAGTGGACGGCTATGCCGTGGGAGGAACAAGGGCATAGCATTTAGCAGGTAAGCCGTCTCTACCAGCCCTTCCCTGTCCTTGGATGAATTCCAACATCTCCCAGGGCCGGTCAAGATGAATAACGAGGCGGACATTGGGGTAGTCATTGCCTGTGCTAAAGGCGCTGGTGGCGACCATGACTTTGCTGTCCCCTCTCACCCAAGAATGGTAATACAGAAGTTCCGATCCTCGTCCGTCATGCTGCGCCTATTCCCATTATAAAAGGAACAGTCCACTTCTTCCGCCACTCTCTCTCCAAGGGCAAGAGTAGGGACAAATACCAGAGCTCTATCACGGTTCTCCCAAGTAGCCCTCTCCCTGTTCCAAGATACGCAACAGCTCTGGATATGAGATCTGTGGGCGGTACCTTTTCAAGGAAGTAGGTCAGCTCCTCACGATTGGTACACTGTCTGACCACCAAGGCGTCCTCTCCCAAACCAAAAGATGACTTGAGATCAGAAACAGAAGCGGGTGGCAGGGTGGCGGTGAGAAGAACCATCTGTACAGCTAGGCTGCGAAGTTCATAGATGTGTCGTAGGGCCTCCCGATAGTCATTGGCGATAAGAGGAAGATGAGCTTCATCAATCACAAGCCGGGCTATGCGCTTGCGCTGGTTGAGAACTGCTATGGATTCTCTCCAGCCTTTTGTACGAGCCTGGTCGGCTGTAACCAGAATGAGATTTTCTCTCGGATTGAGACCGCCTTGGTTGGCACCATAGATCTGGAATGGCACCCTCATGCCTTTGAGCCGTCGCTGAAAGTCCATCATCAAAGAGTTTAGAGGCAGGACTAGGACTGTAGCGCCTCTGTCTTTCTCCAGTATACTTGGAATGACGGCTAGCATAGATTTACCTCCACCAGTACGAAGAACGGCTATCACATCAATCTGCTGGGCCAGCACTGCAGCCATTGCCTGGCGTTGTTGCTCAGAAGCCCAGGCGACTGATTGATCATGCAATATTGTTCTCATGGCTGTCAGAGCATGATCTACTATGTCGATGTTGGGCGTACGTAATGCTATGTCGTCGTATAGATCAGGTCAGATAATATTCATATGAGAGCTAGAACTTACGCGGCGGTTGGACATTTGATGAAATAGTCAGTGACTCTGGTTCTCTGGGATTCTTCTCCATGTTCGGGACTTCATCGACGCAACTTTCAGCCTCTGAGGCATAGTCCTCTTCTGACTCGTCCTGGAACTGATGTTGATGGACTGGGACGCTGTTATGCATACCCCCGGAGACCGGCGGCGGTGTGACTTTAGGAAGACTAGCCACGGCATTGAAGATAGTCGCCTGTATCGTACTGGTGAGAACTGGCATTAGCAGCTCGATTACTCTGTGCGCGACATCATCCGCATTTGGCGCTAGTGAGGTGTTTGACGGTGCTCCTTTGCTCCGGCTGGCATCCTGCGTCAGCGCAGGGGGACTGTGGTTATGGTTGGATCGAGCTTCAGCATACGGAAGCAAGGCTCCTCCTGGAACGGTCTTGCATCTGATCTGCCACGTGGTACTGGCATTCAAGAACAACGGTAGCACGTCTTCAGCTGGGCCTGCTAGAGTCTCCACGCTGAGTCCATACAAGCGATTCTCTGTTGCGCGTGAATGTCCGGCTTGCAGAGCGTCTACAGTGTCTTCCGTATCTTCTTCGAGAAGATCTTCAGCTGAACACCTAAACTTCCGCTTCCAAGCAGTCTGTATGTGCCTCCACGAATTGATCGTTAAACCGTAATTGAGGGCTGGAAGGCTGTGACGTGTCATAGCGGAGGATAGGTCGCTGGAGTTGAACAGTCTATCAAATTTGATAAACATTTGCTGGCGATATAGCTCCTTGACCCGGGTCGTGTCGAGAAAGCAGACGGAAGCAGCAAATTCTGCAAAAGGTCTGGCAAGAGCGAGATCCTGAACGAGAATGTCGCCGGTGACCGCGTCTAAGCTGTGTGGTATCAACTTGTCCTTTCCAGTGAGGGCACCCGTCTTTGAATAAAGACAAAGCATCGCCACATGTTTGCCTAGAATGACGAGATTACGCGTTGGTCGGGTACTGGTATTGCGATACGTCATGGCCGTCAGTTCCGTTCCTCGTCCAGGAGCTCCACTCAGCATCTCACATCGAAGTAGCAGAAGGCTGTGGAAATCGGCGTAATCTTGCAGCCATCTCCTGAGGTTTCCTTTATTCCATATCATTTTGCCCTCGCGTACTACTCCAAAGTGGCCAAATATATCTTTATTGTGAAAGAATGCGTCCAGTAGCCGGTCTCTTCTAGCAAAGCACGGGTTCCGTGGGTCAGACAGGAAGGAGTATCCAACGTCTTTGTTGGTCAAGTCATCAGCGATGGCGCGGTAGTCGATCCTAATATGCAAGCCCTTTAACACGGAGTTTTCCCACAAATCCACTAGTTTGGCCTCTGTGTCGGCCAACATCTTGCGCACATCATCTAGGTCAATGCGATTGCCTTTGTAAAGCATGGTGCGCCAGGTGGTTGCATCAGTCCACCAGATACTAGGAAGGCCTGCAGCGCTATATGCAAGAGATGAGGCGCGATGCTGCAAGGAACGAAGACGAGAGAAGGTGTAGTGATTATGTTCCGTCAGATGTGGCTCTAGTTGATCAAAAGCAGCAGATTCATCTTCTGCCTCTCCTAACGCCACTCTGTTTCTGATTTCAGTGAGAAAGGCCAGTCGGATACAGTACTCGTCCTTGGCTATAATCCCGGTGACGTCCTTGGGCTCTTTAAACGACCCATCTTTCTGCAGCGTCAGAAGCGCCAGACAGCGTTCTGTGGGATCTGGTATGAGATTTTCGGCCGTCCGCTTCCATTTCGTGGTCCAGATGTACATCAAGATTTGGTGGACGATAAGAGATATGTCGCATAACTGGCATGGGGAATTTCTGGCTACGCTGCTGTCCAAGGCGATAACGAGGCGCTGTAAATCGGGAGGCATTGGAATATGATAATCGCTGGACTCATCGCTGCGTATAAGCATTGCAAGCAAGGCCACTATAGGTAGGATATATCGTCGCATAGTCTCCTTTTCCTGATGCTTATGAAACGGCGTATTGGATATCCCGCTAAACATCGATTAAATAAGAAGCCGATCCTTTTTTAGACGCTACTAGGGATGCTCACAGCTTTATAGGATCGGGTGAGTTGAGCCTTTGCAGAGTGATTTCGTCTGTTGTGGGTAACAGATCTAGAGCATCCTGAAAGTATACACCCACCGCCTCTTTAAGCTTCAGCAGGTCTTCGTCGTCATCGTCCTTAGGTATTGCCACCATATCGCGCAGACGCTCAGTCAGGTGACCGCACGAATGCTCATGCCACCGGGTGGTGAGCAACCAGGGGCTGACCATGCGGTCATCCTGGGGCACGGTCGGAACAACTAACTCCTCCCCTATCTTGTTCAGGATATCGAGAATAACCTGGTCTGTAGTCGTGGCACCTGCCTCAGAGTCACCGGAGACCTCCCATAACAATTGGTGTCCAGTCTGTCCGCCTCCTTTTTGGAAACGCTGCGCTTTGCAAGGTCTCCATGCGTTAGCAGCGGGTGCGTCTTTATGTTGACCAGCATGGTGCTCCCCGATTTTCTTTGCTGACAACAGAACCTTGCTACAGTGGTTGCACGCAAAGGCCTCCTGGATGGATAGTCCCTGTACGGGCGATCTAACAGATGATACTATAGGTAAGTCTGGTAGGACCCCAGCTTCCGATATAGCTTTGCGAAATTTGGTTGAGTCAAATTTCAAGCCCTGATGTTTCTTTACATGACTTGCCGCATGCTTGGCTAGTACGGCCGTTTCGCAGAGTTCGCAGCAAAGGAATTTGAATTCTGCATTCACCGCCAGGTTAAGAGTATCGAGGTATGAATCACGGATAAAACTTGGACCCTGGTGCGGCGGCACAGATGCATCTGGCGAGCGGGGCCTGGGCAGGATAGACAGGGAATCAAGTAGATTTTGCCTTGCATCAGTTATGGACATCGACATCGTAGAGTTAATAGGTGAAGGCGAACGCATTCGAGCGTCAATATTTTCCCCGTCCTCGGTGGTAGACAGTGTATCAATGCCAGCATTTGCGGCGGGCTGTGAGAATAATGATGAACATCCGCAATACTAGAGGATAGTAAATTGTGCCTCACCACGGCCACCATCCTTAGGATAGGATCGCATTCTTTCAATGTAGGAGAACACATTATGGCATCCTATTGACATAACGGAAGGCTCCGGTGAGCGACGAGAGACTTCATGCAGCATCAGCGCGATTGACTTGCCTCATTTACAGCAGGCCTGCTATCGAGAGAAGCAGCCGCGTTGAGGTCTTCGAGCTCAGGCTCCTGAGACTGTACCGCTATGATTAGCAAGAAATGTTTGTTTTTATAATTGAAGGTACAACCATAATAGCAAGACTTGCGTCGTTTGCGGCCCTGAGCTATCGGACCAAGAAAATCAGTATGGGTTAAATAGTGATACACCCATCCTACCTTCTCTGGAACCCAATGGCAATTTGGAATCTTCTTCTGATGGGCTTTGAGACTGTCGAGAGTAGAATAACCGGTCGGACGGGGGCAGTTGGGATCAGAACAGTAGCATAAGAATACTCCACGAGCATTTCGATTTATGGTGATTTCCTCTCCGGACAATTTGAAAGTGATAGTCGGCGTGCATTTCCTAGTATGTGTGTTATAAGCATTCTTGGCGTCGAAAGATGCGGAGCAGAAAGAGCATCGAAAGACCATGGATCAGGTTGCAGAAGTAGGGGAAACGATAACTATTGGCGTAAAGTTAACAGAGCTTGCCTTTATGTTACTAGATGCCAGCAGAGAAGCGCAAGGGTTTGTACCACGCCCTCGCCCTAAACGATACCTCCGTCGGGTAAGGATGCCTTCCCTAGCTGAGTACAATTGGCCTTAGTTCGCATCATGCCCTAGCTCTAATTAATGCCAACCCTGAGGCCCCATCAATATAAGGATGCGCACTAATATGTCATAAGCGTTCATTGGGTTCGCGCCAGGCCTTCGCTTTAGTTGATACCGAACCCTGAGGCCCCGTCGACAGAAGAACGCGCGCCAAGCATTTATTGGTGGCATACATACATAGAGATATCCTTATCAACGTGAAGATGGCTTCTTGGACAGCAGTCATAACAGCTGGGGCACAGGGTTTCGCTAGCGGTCCACACTGCAAGGCATATTTACATAAATCAATGCGAGGATGCTTTCCCGGATGCTGGCAACAGTGGCTTGGTCCTTGGATTAGTAGAAATGAACGTCAGCGTGTACTTTGGATCAACACCATGTTTGTCATTGTTTGGTCTACTGCGGATGACTTATTAGAAGAAATCATCATATTGCACATTCACACACTGCTACTGTTCCTCATAATAACAACATGGGCAATCATAAACGATCGTGCACTGGAACGTGGACTGGGACTGCCATCGACAGTATTCGCGACACTTTGGGAGTCTATTGCGTTACCATTTGCTGCTGAGAAGCAATTTTGCCGAGTATGGCACTGTTCCTTCACTAATACGTGCTCCGAGCAGCTTCGTATCCTCACCCGTCGGTAGTTTTGCGATAGCAGTAGCATCTCAAATACATTTCCAAATTCGACCACTCACATTGGGCCAGCCGCCAGTCTGAGGTATATTTCCTAATTCGATTTAGAAATGCGCGCCTCCGAAAAAAGTAATAGCTGCAAGCTAACTTGATTACCATTATGTCAATAGTGCTAGTGTTGCCGGAAGGTGAGGCCTTGAGGCTGTTGCCTTGTATCAAGGTCAAGGTGAGGCTTACCTCGGTTACTGTTACCCAATTTGTTCATCAGGTTGGCGCCACCCCACCTTGAATTAAACCTCACCACGGAAAATAAGTCAGGCCACGTGCATGGTAAAGCCGGCTAACAAGCAAATTTCTAATGCGCGCGCATCCAGTGCACATTCTTTGAGATCCAAACTAACTTATGATTGCCCATATGTGTTGTTGTTACGAGGAACGGTACTAGTGTGTGAATGTGCAATGGGTGTATATTTCCTAATCCAATCTTGAAATGCGCGTCTCCAAAAAAAGTAATAGCTGCAAGCTAACTTAACTTCATTACCATATATATAGGTATGTTTTCAAAGCGACTGTGGGGCGCGAGCTCATGCGAGCAGCGGCGATAACCACCAGCCACGATCCTCACCACAGAAAATAAGTCAGGCCACGTGCATGGTAAAGCCGGCTAACAAGCAAATTTCTAATGCGCGCGCATGACTTTGAGCTCATGAAAGCAGTTTAACAACATCCGATGTTGTAAAACCGTTAAAGTAGTTCATTTTGTCCGTTTTGACTTTTGTCACACTTTGGTTGTGTTCCAATTTTGCATTTTCGGGCCATGAACACGAGTCGGCCATCACATGCGAGAGATGACACAGCTAACAGCTTCGCATCCGACAAATGCTGCATCAAGTCATCTGCAACGGATTTTCACGCGAGCATGTCAACTGAAATTGTATGCCATGAGATCAAGTATATGAGATCAACAAAAAGTAAAATAGACTTTCAGACCGATCAATATCGCACTGACGATATCCTCAAGTCATGCAACAGAAAATGCCAATGAAGGACAAGCCGACACTTCTCAAACTATATAGCTGAGCAGTGATTGAAGTTGTGAGAGATCAACGTTCAACTCGCAAGCTTCAGGGGCACCTCACACGGCTCCCGCCTCAACGCAACCTCCAGAAAAAATGTGTCGAAGGAGCTTGACCTGTATTTCTTCTCACGACGACACTAGCTGCAGTCCATGATCTCGAACTATGCGTGAAAACTGAATATCATCGGCAGAAAAATAGCGATGGCGATATAGGAGCTGAAAACATTTCTACTTTAACGCAGTCATCAGATTTCGAACTAGAGCCGAACAGAATGGTAGAACGACCATTTAGTGAGGAACCGTGTTCAGAACCGTCATTGTCAGCACATACTGAAACAACATTAATCAATCACGAGCGATAAAAACAGAAAACGAACAGACCGAAGCAATACTCAGGTAGACGGATCTCCTCGTGGTTCTCCGCTATATCTCGACAGCATGCCCGTCGCTAATAGCTGCGTCAACCACAAGGAAAGGAAAATCGGTCGATAAATCCGTAACGCCATCCGGGATGAAAATAAACGCTCGAAATGGGAGGTCAAGTGCGGGATTTCGAAGACCAAGACGCTGTGTTAGAAATTGCGATGTGACAGAAGACGATGAAGCAGCAAGATCGAGAAGCAACTACATCGACACCCTCAAACGAACAGAAATCATGATGCTAAGCGAAGCCATAGAATCGATAGCCACGGGAGTCGGAGTGCACGAACCACGGTGGGAACTTGACGCCATTTTGACCGCAATCTCGACGTGTTGCGTACCCTGAATGACAGGGCGCTCCGCTCGCCGCATACATAGTGTATGAACTCCTCCTACGCTTGTCGTCCAGCGCAAACGCCCAGTGCATGCCAGCAACTGCTGACGTGGCTCGGACGAGTACGGACGACGGACGACAACAGAAGGGAATATGAGGAGAACGAGGGAGAGGAGATAGACGAGACGAGACGAGCAGGAAGGACCTAGCAAGAACGAGTGATGGCGAAAAGTAGTGATGGCGAGGATGGGTGGTAGTGACCCGGTGTGGTCGCTCTGAGTCATGGTCGAGTCCATCCCATCCTGCCAGTTCTACCGAAATTTGATCGATTGTACCTAGTTTGTTTTACTCGTGATCCACTAAGCTCGAAATGCATATTAATCAACCGGGTAGACAGACCTTGCGCAGCTGACACGCACTGGGCGGAAACTCCTGAAAAACGTGGTAGGGACATGCTTGTACGAGAGGTTGAGTATCGAAGTGATACAGAAATTATTAACTCACGGAGACAACGTTCAGTCACGTGTCACAGTGCCGATACGGTACTCAGCACTCAGTGCTCACTTGACTCGTTCCACTGGCAATGATCGCATGGAACTTGGAAGAAAAACCCTCGCAGCAGCGCAAGTGATAATGTATTATATGAGATCTGGAGATACAGTAAGTTTGTTCCAATCGTGGCATTACTACTATTCAATTCATCCCTTGAAACGACAGTACTACTATCGCCCAGGGTTCACTTAGTAAAGAAGTAACTTTTTCGTACTCGAGTTCAAGTTAGTCACGGCAGCGGGAGATGACTCTGATTCGGACGGGTTCTCGAGGCCTGGCACTTCTAGTAGTCACGGTAGGGCCTTGGGAGTCAGATTTAACCTGACGAAGGAGTCGCGCCAATGCATTTTGATGTGTCAGTGAGTACCATCAATATTATATCATATCGTTGCCGATTCGAATTGAATATGTGGGTGATGCTGATAATAGACTCGGACTCCCAACTCCTGCGATGGTCCTCGTATAGCATCATTACTTCCTCCAAGTCAGCACGCACAGTGCCGTGGATTTGTCTCGCTGCATGCGAGTCAGTGGGGGAAGGGTATGGTTTCACATTTATCCATAACCACGGCTGATTAGAGACAACCACTGTGCCCTCCAAGGTTTGTACAACCGCGCCAAACCATGCCCAACTTTCATTCCTCACACACTAAACGCACCGCTGATGACAATGAGCACGTCAATGATCGCTGACGTGGCGCGAACGTGCAGGGACTAGGCTTCGATTTAGAAGCACAAAATTGGGCCCGATCAACTATTTGACGTGTTTTTGTACCCATGATCGTGGTTCTTCTACATGGTTCATCAGTCAATGGTCATTTCACAGTTCCATCCGGTTCTGGTTTGAAATATGAGGAGCAGAAGGCCTTGTGAGATATACATTATTTTCAGGTCCCATGTCCCCATCGCTGCTTTCTGCCGATGGCTCTCACGTCTCGCGTGTTGTTCGAGACCATGGAATACAAATTGTGCTCCCCAAATGGTACGATAACTTGACGGTCGCCGATGTATGTGTACTTCTGTTCAGGTTCTCCTGCCTTGACTGTGTCTACCACACGCAGAGGACTTCTATCGGGTCCCTGCGACCAAGGATGAGATCGGGTGAGGGATCCTATGCGGGAGGGCGATATCCTTTTTGTACCGCCCTAGGAACGAGATCAGTGCATATCTCTTCTGTCCAGCTGTACCACCCCATGGGCGTTAATATATCACCGTCAACTGCGAACTTCTTTTTTTTGCTAAGTACGATGGATTGAACAGCGCTGTAGTACCCTGCACTCTTACCCATCAAGACCAGCATCCACTAATCCTCGCACATGGCCAAGAACAAGAAGGAGAAGAATCGAAGTACGAAAGGCAATGTAAGTATATGTTACATTCAAGCAATCTCGCTGTTACTGACAAAAATACACAAGTACGCGACTTATCATAAAACTGAAGTTTTTTGCAAGTGTTCTGAATGTACTGGAGAATGTGGGCCCAAGAGCAAGTCAGTACCGAAGTGGAAGGAACGGGAACATCGCAAGAAGGAGGCAAAACGCAAGAAGGCCCCCAGAATTCGTCCCGAGTCCATCAAGACTATTGAAACACTTGCCGCACACCAGATAATACAGCAACCTGAAGCGGGGCCCTCTCAGCGTGTCGCTGAAGGTGAGCGGAGACTGACCATGTTTTGGTGGACGGATCATCCTGATCAGCTACAGCAGCACACAACCATCCTTTTGGATTGTCTGAGCCGCCCGAGCCACATCGCTCACTCTCTCCGCAGCAGACAACCGAACTTCAAGCTCCGGACTGAAAAACGGTTAAAAAAGAACTCCAACATGAATGAGTTTACTTCATTATTTAACCCGGTCCCTCATGTCAACATCTGGCTTCTCTTTGAGCCACCTGATCTCCAGAAGGGTTATCTCTCGTGATACGTGACGCTGTGCATGAGATATGATGAACATGACTTGCCCAACGTAACATCTGCCTCCGATATCTGCTTGTACGAGAGAACTCGATGCATTATTCAGTGAGGGAGATGGTAGGATGCGACGTCCATCAACGACGATATGTGTGAAAGTTCGAGCACGGCTATTGAGGAAATTTGGGTCAATTGCGTTGGTTGATGCTGCGCGCGAGACAACTTTAGCATTAGGGTAAGAGGATTCATAGAACTTCATCAGTTGGTCTTGCTGCTGCCGAAAGAGAGTTGTGAAAGCAGAGGCACCAAGCGAGAAACGTGCATTGACTAGTTGATCCCCATCAGGTCAGCATCTAGGGCAACATGCAAATATTGGAATGACGTACGGTCTTCCGCAGCTTGATCCATTTCATGAGCGAGAGAGGCTACCGTCCCACGTGTGTCGCCGTCAGTGACCAAGATAATTATGACAGCTTCTGACAGCAGCTCATTCTCGGCTGATGATTCCTCTTGCACGTCAGATGCAGCATTTGGATTTGCAAGCTAAAGGAAGAATAAGGATTAAATTTGATGTGTAGAATATGACATACCATATCACGCAATGCAACATCCTTCTGGAATGCACGCATGAATGTAACTTCGATCTCGCCATTGCTGTGATTATTTGTTGAGTAACTCTTAAGGACTTTGTTCAAGCGCTCGAAGAGAAACGTCCAAAAGTTGTACACAGGTCCATAGTCTTGTAGTTGATCGAAAATATGGGTTACCCAGTGATGTGTGGGCTTCACGTCGTCAGGGTAAAGCTAGTAGTCCATGTATGATCAAACCGGACATGCTTAGAGTATATCGACGCACCTCAAGATATTCCATAAGGTAGTTGCGGAGCAATTCCTTGGCGCGTAGAATATCAGCATCTCTGAAGGAACGCCCGAGGATGATTTTGAGGGCTGTGGCAAGTTTCAGAAAATTATCAGGAGCCGAGGGATGCATCTGAGGAACAGGCTTTGTTAATGGTTTATCATCACCCTTTTTCGCTTTCCCAACGGTGAGACGAATGAGCCGTTGTTTCTCTCTGTTCTCCCAGGACGTTGATGCTTTCTCATATGTAGCATTGTTCTTTGGGTACCACTCCTGCCATATAAAAGGTTTCTTTCAGGTAGTAGAATTAGCTCAGTTCTTATTGCGCTACGATAAGCTGAACATACCACGATAGGACAGAATACTAATGTGAGTCCCTTCCACTCGTCTGAAGTCAACGAACCTCCTGCAGGATAGCCCACTTGTTCGGGCAAGCGTCCAACCCAGTTTGGCATTTCAAACTGGTCAAACGGACATACATATGAGATAGAAGCTTCAACGAATTGATAACACACCGTCGCTAGATAATCATGAATCTGATCCAATTCACGTTCATTTTTCTCTGTCCGCTTTCGTATAGTGTTGGTTTGAATCCATGAATCGTACCAGTGACAACGTATGATACCTGACAGTTGATATCAGTGATGACAACATAGGGAGCAGGTCGACTCACCAAGAAGGAAACTGTGCATTGGGTCGATGACTGACATGCGAACTGGGTCAAAATACTTCAAGCGTGAAAGCTCAAAGTAGCGTGCGCTATGCAGCTTAAAGAAGGCCTCGCGTTCCTTCTCGTTCAGGTCCAGATACTCCTGGGCTCGTTTTCTATGCTCCTCCCCATATCGAGGAGGAAATTCTGATTGGATAATGTATTCGCACAAGTAACAGGTGACATACTATCATAGTCCATTGCATCCCCTGTCTTCAACTCACTGCGTTTAATGTGGCATCGAGTGCAGAATCCTTCTTCCTTGCGATGACCTCCAAACCCGCAGACTTTACAGAGCGCAGGATGGTCACAACAGACAGCGACCAGGATCATACGAATTCGTCGGCCTGCAGACACATGGTGTTATTTGAAGCAAATCAAAGAAGTACTTGATGATGTACCATTGGCATAATTTGGCGTCTTGACCATGATTCCGTTTTCGTAGAGTGAGATTAAGTTGTCAACGTAGTTTTTCATGAAAAATTGCAACTCATCACTATCAAACTCTTTTGGCCCTGGCGTGATACCAAAGACCATCAAATTTCGTGGTCGGTATCTAGATGAGTGTTCAAAATCAGGAAGCGAACATTAACTGTAGCAAGTACATACCGCAAATGTGTTGGCAAGTTGGCAATACAATTTGACAGGACGCCCGAGCTGTGCGTTCCTGCATTACGACTGCGCTGATAACCAAATCTAATATTATCAATTAGCGGAGAGTATGGCATGTCGTCACTAAAGAGGAACAATACCCATCGAATCCTAGCGTAATACCAATGCGAAGCTCGTCTTTGTTAGACGTTCTGGACTATTGCCAAAGAAGAGCTCGCCATCATTCCCCTTGATGGTTTTCCATATCTCTCCATCTTGAATCGAAGCACGCTTCCCAGGTTCTGGAATATGGTGACGCCAAGCTTGCATCAAGTTCTTCCTCAATTCCTGCTCGAGAGAGAAGACGCAGGATTGCATTCGAGAGTGGATTCTGTGGACACTATAGACGTGGCCGTGGTTTGGTTCTTGATGCGCAGGGCAAACGGGGTGAATATCGAAGTTATCCTTGATGTCGAGGTGGTTGAATACGGTATTGAGTGACCCGGCCACCTTCTCATCAGGTGCTAGTACAGTAAGGCCAACGAGGACATGTCTCGTGATCTTGAGGACAAGAGTGCATGCGAGATGCGGCAGATGATAGTGCAGATTTAGCCACACGATGAGCAGCAGGATGATTTTCCAAAACCAATGAGGGGATGCCGCAGCTAAGACTACTGAAGGCGGAGGAGGAAGCTCGAGCACGAGCTCCCCTTCGACAGTCCTTTCATCAGTAGCAGCTGGGGATGGATTAGCCGCATCTTCCAAGTGCATCTGTGAATTATGGATATGAGTGGGGACCACTGGTGCCTGTGAGCCATCATCGTCTATTCCATTACTCGGCTCAGTTGCACATATCTCTACCGTCTGATAACGACCATCGAGAGACATCAAATCGTCCTGGCCATCATTTGGTATAAAATCGATGTCGACATTAGCGTTGAGTGCAGCCGGCAGCTGCTTTAATATGACACATCAATCGTCAGCGAAGTCATCGTCAGCAGGCAGGGTAGTAAGCTGGGGGTCTGGAGCTGAATCTCTAGATGCAGAGACTCCAGAAGTCTCTCCGATCATTCTTTCAACACCAGGAACCATGCTTCCAACATCGGGCAGGTCGTTCCAACTCTCGCCAATGTCAAAACCATCTACGACCATATCAGGAGCAGACTCAGGCTGCTGCGGAGAGAGTGAGCGATGTGGCTCGGGCGGCTCAGACAATCCAAAAGGATGGTTGTGTGCTGCTGTAGCTGATCAGGATGATCCGTCCACCAAAACATGGTCAGTCTCCGCTCACCTTCAGCGACACGCTGAGAGGGCCCCGCTTCAGGTTGCTGTATTATCTGGTGTGCGGCAAGTGTTTCAATAGTCTTGATGGACTCGGGACGAATTCTGGGGGCCTTCTTGCGTTTTGCCTCCTTCTTGCGATGTTCCCGTTCCTTCCACTTCGGTACTGACTTGCTCTTGGGCCCACATTCTCCAGTACATTCAGAACACTTGCAAAAAACTTCAGTTTTATGATAAGTCGCGTACTTGTGTATTTTTGTCAGTAACAGCGAGATTGCTTGAATGTAACATATACTTACATTGCCTTTCGTACTTCGATTCTTCTCCTTCTTGTTCTTGGCCATGTGCGAGGATTAGTGGATGCTGGTCTTGATGGGTAAGAGTGCAGGGTACTACAGCGCTGTTCAATCCATCGTACTTAGCAAAAAAAAGAAGTTCGCAGTTGACGGTGATATATTAACGCCCATGGGGTGGTACAGCTGGACAGAAGAGATATGCACTGATCTCGTTCCTAGGGCGGTACAAAAAGGATATCGCCCTCCCGCATAGGATCCCTCACCCGATCTCATCCTTGGTCGCAGGGACCCGATAGAAGTCCTCTGCGTGTGGTAGACACAGTCAAGGCAGGAGAACCTGAACAGAAGTACACATACATCGGCGACCGTCAAGTTATCGTACCATTTGGGGAGCACAATTTGTATTCCATGGTCTCGAACAACACGCGAGACGTGAGAGCCATCGGCAGAAAGCAGCGATGGGGACATGGGACCTGAAAATAATGTATATCTCACAAGGCCTTCTGCTCCTCATATTTCAAACCAGAACCGGATGGAACTGTGAAATGACCATTGACTGATGAACCATGTAGAAGAACCACGATCATGGGTACAAAAACACGTCAAATAGTTGATCGGGCCCAATTTTGTGCTTCTAAATCGAAGCCTAGTCCCTGCACGTTCGCGCCACGTCAGCGATCATTGACGTGCTCATTGTCATCAGCGGTGCGTTTAGTGTGTGAGGAATGAAAGTTGGGCATGGTTTGGCGCGGTTGTACAAACCTTGGAGGGCACAGTGGTTGTCTCTAATCAGCCGTGGTTATGGATAAATGTGAAACCATACCCTTCCCCCACTGACTCGCATGCAGCGAGACAAATCCACGGCACTGTGCGTGCTGACTTGGAGGAAGTAATGATGCTATACGAGGACCATCGCAGGAGTTGGGAGTCCGAGTCTATTATCAGCATCACCCACATATTCAATTCGAATCGGCAACGATATGATATAATATTGATGGTACTCACTGACACATCAAAATGCATTGGCGCGACTCCTTCGTCAGGTTAAATCTGACTCCCAAGGCCCTACCGTGACTACTAGAAGTGCCAGGCCTCGAGAACCCGTCCGAATCAGAGTCATCTCCCGCTGCCGTGACTAACTTGAACTCGAGTACGAAAAAGTTACTTCTTTACTAAGTGAACCCTGGGCGATAGTAGTACTGTCGTTTCAAGGGATGAATTGAATAGTAGTAATGCCACGATTGGAACAAACTTACTGTATCTCCAGATCTCATATAATACATTATCACTTGCGCTGCTGCGAGGGTTTTTCTTCCAAGTTCCATGCGATCATTGCCAGTGGAACGAGTCAAGTGAGCACTGAGTGCTGAGTACCGTATCGGCACTGTGACACGTGACTGAACGTTGTCTCCGTGAGTTAATAATTTCTGTATCACTTCGATACTCAACCTCTCGTACAAGCATGTCCCTACCACGTTTTTCAGGAGTTTCCGCCCAGTGCGTGTCAGCTGCGCAAGGTCTGTCTACCCGGTTGATTAATATGCATTTCGAGCTTAGTGGATCACGAGTAAAACAAACTAGGTACAATCGATCAAATTTCGGTAGAACTGGCAGGATGGGATGGACTCGACCATGACTCAGAGCGACCACACCGGGTCACTACCACCCATCCTCGCCATCACTACTTTTCGCCATCACTCGTTCTTGCTAGGTCCTTCCTGCTCGTCTCGTCTCGTCTATCTCCTCTCCCTCGTTCTCCTCATATTCCCTTCTGTTGTCGTCCGTCGTCCGTACTCGTCCGAGCCACGTCAGCAGTTGCTGGCATGCACTGGGCGTTTGCGCTGGACGACAAGCGTAGGAGGAGTTCATACACTATGTATGCGGCGAGCGGAGCGCCCTGTCATTCAGGGTACGCAACACGTCGAGATTGCGGTCAAAATGGCGTCAAGTTCCCACCGTGGTTCGTGCACTCCGACTCCCGTGGCTATCGATTCTATGGCTTCGCTTAGCATCATGATTTCTGTTCGTTTGAGGGTGTCGATGTAGTTGCTTCTCGATCTTGCTGCTTCATCGTCTTCTGTCACATCGCAATTTCTAACACAGCGTCTTGGTCTTCGAAATCCCGCACTTGACCTCCCATTTCGAGCGTTTATTTTCATCCCGGATGGCGTTACGGATTTATCGACCGATTTTCCTTTCCTTGTGGTTGACGCAGCTATTAGCGACGGGCATGCTGTCGAGATATAGCGGAGAACCACGAGGAGATCCGTCTACCTGAGTATTGCTTCGGTCTGTTCGTTTTCTGTTTTTATCGCTCGTGATTGATTAATGTTGTTTCAGTATGTGCTGACAATGACGGTTCTGAACACGGTTCCTCACTAAATGGTCGTTCTACCATTCTGTTCGGCTCTAGTTCGAAATCTGATGACTGCGTTAAAGTAGAAATGTTTTCAGCTCCTATATCGCCATCGCTATTTTTCTGCCGATGATATTCAGTTTTCACGCATAGTTCGAGATCATGGACTGCAGCTAGTGTCGTCGTGAGAAGAAATACAGGTCAAGCTCCTTCGACACATTTTTTCTGGAGGTTGCGTTGAGGCGGGAGCCGTGTGAGGTGCCCCTGAAGCTTGCGAGTTGAACGTTGATCTCTCACAACTTCAATCACTGCTCAGCTATATAGTTTGAGAAGTGTCGGCTTGTCCTTCATTGGCATTTTCTGTTGCATGACTTGAGGATATCGTCAGTGCGATATTGATCGGTCTGAAAGTCTATTTTACTTTTTGTTGATCTCATATACTTGATCTCATGGCATACAATTTCAGTTGACATGCTCGCGTGAAAATCCGTTGCAGATGACTTGATGCAGCATTTGTCGGATGCGAAGCTGTTAGCTGTGTCATCTCTCGCATGTGATGGCCGACTCGTGTTCATGGCCCGAAAATGCAAAATTGGAACACAACCAAAGTGTGACAAAAGTCAAAACGGACAAAATGAACTACTTTAACGGTTTTACAATATCGGATGTTGTTAAACTGCTTTCCAGCCCATAGTGTCATTTTAATGCATGAAGTAATTACAGTTGTAAGACACTTGTAATGCATCAACAGTTACTGCCGCTTATCCTCTCTTTTTAGAAATTTTCGAGGATCCCTAATGCATGATGCATCACTAATGCATTAGCACTCAAGGTAATGCATTAGTCCCCAGTTGCCTAATTCAGCTGCTCCGGCCATTAAAAAGTGGGTCGGTACCTTATGGGCCTTCTGTAGTACCTTCCCCTTGCGCTCGGACCCTTTGGATGTAGGGTAGTGGGCCTTCCTGTACCTGCTGAGCACATGTACCCCATACTTCTGTACCTCATACTTCGACTTGAGTCAACAACAGCATTTCCCGAGTGTCCCAAATTTCATGAAGTCCGTAGAGTTCAACAGCGGCATTTCCTGAATGTCCAAAATTTCGTGAAGTCCAACATCAGGGAATCGACCCTAAATTGATATGACTAGATATAATTGGTAATCAAACAACATTATTGTACATCATGTTTTAGCCTTAGATATTATTGTCATGGTGTCACACATATCTAACATATGATATGACTATGCCAGAAAAACACCGCCTTGACACATGTCTTGCAAGCAGAAATCAGTGTGATACCAGCATTGGATATCATTGTCTTAGTGTTGCACATATCTAGCATATGATATGACTCTGTCAGAAAAACACCGCCTTGACGCGTGTCTTGCAAGCAGAAATCAGTGTGATACCAGCATTGGATATCATTGTCTTAGTGTTGCACATATCTGACATATGATATGACTCTGTCAGAAAAACATCGCCTTGACGCATGTCTTGCAAGCAGACAGCAGCGTGATACCAGCATTGGATATCATTGTCTTAGTGTTGCATATATCTAGCATATGATATGACTCTGTCAGAAAAACATCGCCTTGATGCATGTCTTGCAAGCAGACAGCAGCATGATACCAGCATTGGATATCATTGTGTCATATCCCGTATTCCGGACCTACATCCGACAATATTCCCACGCCTCATCCGGACCTTCGGACGCCCTATCCATGTCTCCAGTCCTCTATCCGTCCGGATCCCTGCACCTCTGCACATCCACATCCACATCCACATCCCTTTACCTCCATACCTCAGCTAGCCTGCATCAGTCATCCTTTGTCCCATCACCCTAATGTCATATCCCATATATCCACGCGTCTCATCCGGATGTCCGGTCCGATCCGGTCCGATCCGATATACGACAAGCTTCCTAATTCAATTCCTGTGCATATAACGTTAACACAGCCTATTCCTCTATTCGGTATTCCTTGTCCTCGGTATCTCGGTTCTACTTACTACCGGTATGCTTACTGATCCGTTAACCTATGCTTCATTTCCGACTCGCGCTTGATAACTTTGCTTATGCTTCATACATAGCCTTGGACGCTTGCTTATTGATCTTTCCGTTATTTCCTTAGTATATAAACTCTTGTATATGTCCTGTAGTTCCTCAGTCTGAATATCATATTAGTCCTCGCACTAGATCTCACTCTAAGTCCTCACATCAGTTCTAGTCTATCGACTTAGTCAATATCCATCTCGGGCCTAGGGAGAAATTCCCTAGGCCAGAGCTCCGCTTATCCGCTCATCCGCTTATCCGCTTATCCGCTTATCCGCTCATCTGATCCTCCGAAGTTTCCGGATGTTCGTCCGAAACTTTCCCGCGGTCCTCCGGACCTATTCTGCTTCGGACTTTGTCCTTGCAGCCTTTCCTCTGTTTGCTTCTACTTAGGACTTGTCCTAAGTAGCCATTACACGTATCCGTATTAGGACAAAACCTCATCGTAATTTCCGGAAGTTCCTCCGGAACTTTCCCGCACTCGTCCGGAAATTACTTGCACTCGTCCGGAAAGTCCTTCTGAACTTTCCCGCGCTTCGGACGTCCTTCGGACATCATTCTGAAATTAAAAGCACATACTCGGGTAAGGGGCGCAGCGCACGAGCTGAAGCCAAGCCCCTCGGAATCAGTCCTACCCTTTGTGCATGGTCTTAACACATTGTCTTAGTGTCACACATAGATATGACCAGGCAGAGCTGACAAATGAAACTCATTATGACACATCTAGATTGGAATCCCATGATATTATCTTTGTGCAACTTGTGTATGAAAGAATATCATTTTGACGTGCATTTTATACTAAGTATGCAACATATGAACAAATATATATATATACAGCTATATTTACTCTTAAAGGTGGACTGACAATTGAACTCTACATACATTGTAATTGATTGACTAACTTGCGCCTGTGGCAAACCTCTGTTACATATGTAACATATGTAACATTTCTCACACTGATCATGGTTCCATAACGGATACTACATGGCAAGCCCAACAATTTGTAAATCTGATGTCTAAATTCAGAAATATTAGCGTAATGTCTATATGACATAAAATGTAGGGTTTTCGTGCTATGTATGGATTACATATAAAGCATTATATTGTACGGACATAATGGGCCCCAGTGATGGGAACACCTCGGGGAGAAAAAAGGGAACCAATAAAATATACTGCATGACAGAATTGAACTCACACACTATGCACCCTTGCCAACTAAAGCAAGTGATACTACCACAACACCATAAGGCCTTTGTTTCATAGATGCCCACCAAATACATAGCATGCCTTGCAAATCTCTTGTACAAGGCTCTGCTGTCTGAATTTCTCGAAGCACTGAGGAACACTCATATGATACATCAAGACACTCATTTAAACTATTTTCACAAGAGCTGAGTGTTGTGGTGGTTGCGTGTGTGCTGAGGACATCAGACTACCAATGACTTAGAGAATTTGCGCAAGTAGAAGCACAATATGTATTACAGTGATCAACCAGTCCTTTGGACAGGAAAATGAAGAAACGAGTGTAAAATTAGAAAATCTTCAATATAGAGAAAATGGTCTGGTACCTCTGACAGAATAGGTTTTGATCTGCCTTATACCAAGTTTTTACAGCATTTTTAGCCCTGTGTGGTTGGCGGCACTTCACACAGTTGAGCAAGCCATTTTCTCCCATTCCTGACTCGTTTGTACAGCAGTGTGACAAACCCTGTTACAACATGTCACATGTGTCACATTTTGCCGCTTGTTCTATTCATCATCATCCTCGCACTCGCTGTCATCGCCAATCGACCCTTTGTGAATGTCAATATACTCTCCTTGATCTTGCCCATCCTCCTCGTCAATATTTCCACCAATTTTCCTTGGATTCTTCGGCTTAGGGCAAGGCTTCTCAATTGGTCCACGAACAGGCTTCTTCCACTGCAGTTTTCGTCTCTCTTGCTTCGCAAGCACTCACTCGGCCTCCCACTTTTTGACAGCAACCTTCCACTGCTCAGTCTTGGCCTTGTTTCGGTTTTTTCTCGCCTCATCCTCTTGCATCCACACCTCCATCTCACGTGTTCGTGCCTCCCGTGCTGCTTTCCTTGTTTCCTTCTCGGCTGCTTTGGCCTGCTGATGCTCCTGGTATTGCAGGACTTGCTCGAAGACCTCGTCACTGGTAAGTAGCCTTGGCATACCATCTCCGTTTAACTTGATATTGTCACTGTCTCTACAGCCTTTCTTCTCTTGCATCTCGAGATGATGACGAACTCGATCACAGTAGCGTCCCTGGAGGATTACAGTTGCTTGAAGGGCGCTTACATGCTCTTTGAGCATTGTGACCTGCTTGGTGAGATTTTTCACTTTCTCTTCGAGCTTTTTCTCCCTTGTTGACTTCAAGGACATGTTGTAGTGCAACCTCGATTTCGGTGCATGTTTGATGGGTGAGATTATTGCTAGTGGCATGGTAGGCAATCTTGTACTTGATTTGATGGGAGATGATGATATGAGGAATCGTGCAGATGTTTCTTCGAGTTGTGCGAAGATGTTGTGGATGGTTCTACCATCAATCTGAGAAGGATTATTGTTATTGTAAGTGTTCTCATCTGCTGATTGATAAGTTATTTATCCAATCTTTGAACAGTGAGAATTACCTGGAGTTGTCTCATCATTACTACTATCATCTTCTTCAGCAATTGTACCAAGTTGCATACCACAATTACGAGTTTCTGCCCTTGGTTGCAGGTCTTTAAACAACTGTAAAATGGCTCAAACTGGTGATGCCGGAGTGATTGGGAGGTAACCCTGTTTAGATGATTCACGAGCAGGAGCCAACATTTCGTCTGTGATAACTTTAGGATTGAAAGGCCATACACTGGTTTTTCGGAATGCAGATCTAATTGTTTCTGGTGTGAGTGCATGAACATGGGCAGCACCATAGATCGCAAGGAAGTTGCTCTTTGTCACTTTCTCTCCATTCTCGCGCTCCCATTTGTCATGTTCTTCTGACCAATACTGTTTAAGGACACCGAACACTGCAACATCCAGGCCCTGATAGATGTGGGTGCTGTGTGCAGGATAGCAGAGGATGTGAATTCAGTGCTGTTGAGCATACTCCAGGAATGCACGAGTGTAGTGAGAATTATGCCCATCAACGAGAAGTAGGTGAGTATGTGTTACAATCGTTGCTACCTATTTTGGCTTACATGCTTTCCTTTCTTGATCAATATCTTGTATCTCACGATTGTCTTGGTCTGTGCGCACATATTGACCTATTTAAGCATGTCCCCGGTACAAAATTAGCTGTACCGGATGCTTTATCCCGATGATCGGACCATGATAACGGAGCTTCCAATAACGAAGACACCATCCTGCTTCCTGATTCCATGTTTATCCGCCTTATCGACGAAGACCTTTGTAGTGCGCTTACCGCTTCTGACCCTTTGGAAGACCCCATCTTCTCCACCGCCATGGACACTTTAAACGGCATCTGTCTTCCTCCCATGAAATCAGCACTTAATGACTGGAAGATTGATTCCGATATCTTGTTTTACAAAGACCGAGCCTATATTCCACCCAACCTTCGCAGTGACATTCTTCTTCGATATCACGATCACCCTACGGCGGGTCACCCTGGACGTTTCAAAACTGAAGAACTCGTGAAACGAGAAGCTTGGTGGCCCGGTATGGGAACATATGTTCGGAAGTATGTTGAAGGTTGTGCTACTTGTCAACAGATGAAGGCCAACACCCATCCCGTTACACCTCCTTTGGTCCCCATTTCATCTGCTGCCACTAGACCTTTCTCTCAGATCTCCGTAGATCTTATCACGGATCTGCCCTTGTCTTCTGGCTTTGATTCTATCATGGTCGTGGTAGACCATGGGCTTAGTAAGGGGGCAATTATTGTTCCTTGTCATAAAACTATTTCCTCCGAAGGAGTAGCCAAGCTCTTCTTGAAACACGTGTTCAAATGTTTTGGATTACACGACAAAGTAATCTCCGATAGAGGACCCCAATTCCTTCCTAAATTCTCTCTCGAATTAGCACGACTACTGGATTATGCAATTGCCCCTTCTACCGCTTATCACCCTCAAACCGATGGACAGACCGAACGACTCAATCAGGAACTAGAAACTTATTTGCGAATCTATTGCCAGAATGATCCAACCAATTGGGTCGAACACCTTTCCATGGCCGAATTTGTTCATAATCACCGAAAACACGATGCCAGGAATGCTTCCCCCTTCTTTATCATGATGGGATACGAACCAAGAGCAATTCCTCACATTCTATCTGAGTCAAAGGTACCAGCAGCAGAAGAACGAGTTCGTCTACTACAGAAGATAAGGGAAGAAGCAATCGCCTGTCACAATATTGCTATGCAACGAATGGTGGAAAGATCCTTTGGAAAGAAGTACCAACCATGGAAAATAGGAGATAAGGTTTGGCTATCTGCAGCAAATCTCCGACTAAAACTTCCTTCTCGGAAACTTGCGCCCAAATGATATGGCCCCTTCCCCATTTCCGCAGTATTATCTCCGATCACTTTCACACTCCAACTGCCTCCGCAATGGAAGATACATCCCACATTCCATGCTTCTCAGTTATCGTCCTATAGCGAAAATGACGTCCACGGTCCGAACTTCCTAGAACCCCCTCCTGATATTCTAGAAGAAGAAGAAGAATATGAAATTGAAGCCATCCTTGCCCATAAAGGTAACGGGAAACGTCGCCGTTATCTGGTATCGTGGAAAGGATATTCTTCTGCAAGCAACGAGTGGATTCCCACGGAAAACCTTGGAAATGCCAAACAAGCCCTCTCAGCTTATAAAGAACAACACGGACTCTGAAATCAAGAATTATTCCAACTGCATCATCTTCTCCCAACCAGAAACAAAATGTCCTTCCCAGTATCCTACACTCTCCCCTACGAATCCACGTTTGCACCAACCAACTTCTCGTCCGACGAAGGGAGATATGAATCCTTTGTCTCCGAAATCGAAGACCTCACGCTCATCGAAGCGGCCATCCTCTGTCCCCAACATGCCATCGAAATCAATAGAATCCTTATCTCCTGAAATGCCTTTTCAGTCAACCTCATCATCAACATCATTCGTTCCACCGACCTCATTGAAAGACTCCTTCGACACGTGGAGGAACCACATGTGCAGCATGGCGTCATGCATTTACAGAAACGCATTCGTCATTACGCTTTGCATCTTATTCCTGAAGAAGTCAAGTCTGACATTCAGACGGCTATTCATGTGGTTGCTGAATGAATTGCCGGAGTCGCTCGTCCACCATCTTCACAACCAATTGACCGAACTACTACTACCCCTCCACCTTCCTATGACGGTGCAATTCCTGTGCCTACTCCTCGCCTGTCTAGTGAGCTATTGGACACTGTTAATAGTCTCACACAGATCACCAACGCGATGATCACAAACCTGCAAGAAGAAACACAGTTAGCATTACAGGACAATGCTCTTCCAACCCCATCAGACACCGTAGTAGCTCCAGAAGAAAACTGTAGAGCACCCGGTAAACATTTACACTGCATTCTCCGCCACGCATGAAGAAATCTTAGCTAATCCCAATCAACAATACCTCTCGCATTCTGAAATCAACGAATTATCCGCTGCTTTACAAGCACTCCACATCCACCCACCGATGGTTATACCGACCACACTTTCTGTAGCAACCTTTAAAGACAGTTTGGTACCCATACAGGCGTTAGGAGAAACCACCTCGACGGAACCCGCTGAACTTATCGCAGAAGCAGAGCAAATTTCCATGCCCGCTTCTGTCTTCGTACTCACAGAAATGGAGATAGACCAGATAAAGACGCATACGGTTCACAAGAGAAAGAACCGAAGATCCTCTCATCGAGGCAAGGGAAAGAGGAGGGCAACTAGTGATGATGAAGCCTTTAGCTCCACACCCGCCCCATCCATTATCCGTCCATCTTCGTCCAACCCTGATAAAAACCAAGTATGTCGATACTGCAAATGTCTTGGTCATCGACAGACAAATTGCCCCGATTACTACTGCCGCGTATGCCGAGAACTCTCCCCTGGACATCTATCATTCTATTGTCCTATGTTTAAAGATCCGCTCCCCACTACGCTCACCTGGAAAGACGAAGGATTCTACCGGGAACTAAACGCTTGGGAAAAGGAGCGTGATAACGCCTATATCCTTTTATGTGAAGAAGAAGAAGCCATTTATCGAGAGGAGCAACTTAGAGGTGGAGACGATCAACTTGATTACTCTGACGACCCGATTTACTGGGCTAACCAAGATGATTAAAGTCGGTGACTTTACGCTTAGTAAGGGGGTAATGTTACAATCGTTGCTACCTATTTTGGCTTACATGCTTTCCTTTCTTGATCAATATCTTGTATCTCATGATTGTCTTGGTCTGTGCGCACATATTGACCTATTTAAGCACATGTACTATTACTATATTCTTTACTTGAATCTTACTAGGTTTTACCCGAAACATCCTTCGCCTAAGATCCCCAATCTTAGGTCGTCTGATACCTGATTCTTAGTGGAAGCACTCCTTCTACTAAGTCTAGAACCCTCTCTTATTTGAAGAGGCTTAGAATCTCAATGAACGTAACTCTGTCGAGTTGTCATTGTTAGAACTATCCTAGTTCGTAACAGTATGACCATTAGCTTTGTTGCGTGTCTGCTCATCAAATTGCTTGATCCAGAGTGCACCAATCTCGCCATCAGTCCAGCCCTTCTTTGAATAACCAATACTACGAGGAACAATGTTATATAAGGTACGAGACAACACATGAGTTGGACTCACAATGCTTTGAGTGGATTGTTTTCGTTCCACTTTGATTGATATGCTTTTCCTTTGAAGATCACTGCTGGTGCAATGGTACTCCCATCTGCGCAGATTGTGACCAAAACAGTAATGTTTTCACGATTTCCATTTCGCTGCTGATATTGAACCTGTGTTCCAGCTCCACCAAGTGCTCGTTCTTGTGAGCTCCCTCCTCCTGGTTGAATTCCAGTCTCGTCAACACCCAAAATACACTCTGGTGCCATAGGTTTGTCGTCATCTCCACTCTCCAGGACATCCTTCAACATTTCGAACCATGCCTTGTTGGTTGTTGGGTTCACAGCATGGCCACGAGCACCATCAAGTGAATGTGCTCGGTAAGCTCGTAGATGATCAGAGTGCTTCTCAACGAAACACTGAGTCCAGTTTTTTCCCACTCCAGACTCCAGGAATGAATCTCCAAGTTGAGCTTGACATACTTCATCAACATGCTCCTTGAGCCGCTTGTGGCTGAGGGGAAAGCCTCGTCTAGCCATTTCCACAACATACTCGAGAACTTTGTCTGTTTCTGCAAGTGTGAGCCAACTTTTCGTCGAGCTATTGAATTCACTAAGCCGAACTCCTCCCTTGGCAAGATTGGCCAAAGTATTATGATTTAAACTGATAACGCGTCCTGTCTCCTTGAGGTACTCCTTCTGAACATCCATACACACTTTATGAAGGCCTTGTTTCTTCTCTGAGCTCAGTTTTGCAAGTTCAGCTTGGTACTTAGCCACAGCATGAGCCATGACTTTGTCTTTCTCCTCACGTGTGACCTGTGCCTTCTTCATCAATGATTTTGGCCTCCCAACCATGTTGGAAGAATATATGTGTGATTTGAAGGTATATTGAATACTGGCAGTGAAAAGGAGATGTTGAGCGAGACTGAGTCAAACTGAGGACACCTCATGTCCATGCTTAGTCTGGTTAACAAAATTGGACCATCACTCGTGGATCACAACGTGTTGCACCAATGAAACTTTAACTAAAATCATCTCCACTACTTCTAATTGTTTGCAGATGAATTGGAAGGAGTGAAACTACATGCAATGATGAGGTTTCGATGCTCGAGAAATTCAAACATATTGCTCCAGAGTGATATTTTGCAGATTCTGATGATTTTCTAAATTTGAGTACTGTATTTTTTGGTACTATCAAATAGCAGGATATATTCTGAACATGATGATACAAGATTTACAAGGAGTTGATGAGGAACTCGTCAAGGAAATTGAATTGTACAATAGAGCGGTCCTGTACAAAGGACCGTGGGATCACTGTATGTAGGATGTTATCACCCAACAGCCTAATAGTGTTGCGGTATTGTTGGAATATTTGCCTTGTCAAATGTTGTGGACGTTGTGGGTTTGATTCTGTGAGCACGTATTTTTTCTTTTATTGTTCTATTTGTTTCTGCAACACAGCCACATGTCCATTATGTCTATACAATATCGTGACATCCATGATATAATCCTTATGTATTGGCTGGGATGTCACATGGATGGTTTTCGTGTTAAATAAAATTTACAAAAAGTTGGGTTTGCCGTGTAGTATGCAATAGGTAGCTACTACCAAATGCCAGACCTACATGGATATACGAGCTTGGATCAATCTAAAGAAGTTGGTAATGTGCGTGACTCGGAGCAAAGAAAAGGTAAAAGCAACGAAGACTGAAATCACTCAGCGTCTAGTACAGCAGGGGTTACTATATCCCCTGCTCCAGCATCCATCTTTCTACAATCATCACAGGGGCCCCCCGAAACTCCTACAGCATGCTTTCCTGTTTGCTATGAAGAGGAGCCAGAAGTGTTCGAACTATCACCTGGAAGAACATCAGTCGAACATCCTGCACTTCAGGAATAAAAATATCCTACATCTTTCTTGACACGAGCTAACTGAATTATACGTTCGTCGATGGTGCACTTCATGATCAAATGCCGATAGACAGTCACTTGGCGCGTCTGACCAAGATGACGAGCGCGACTCTGATAGTATGTGGCCTGCGCATTGTTTGACGAGTTCCGATTGTGATAGTAGAAAATAAAAGTTCCTCCTACGGTCTGGTTGATTCCGAGTAGTACACCACCCGCACACGTACTTAAAATAAATATGAAGATGGCCAGGCTATAGAACATTGATCAGAGTCGAGGATATACGATCTAAGTTAAACACTGATCGTGTCTGCCAATCCATCACCATATCCCGTCGATATTCTAGCTTGGATGAGCCATTGAGACGCAAGTGACAATAAATGAGATGTTCTTGCATAGAGTCCTTAATGCGAATAATGTGGAGATATGTTAAGACACGATGGTCGCCTGGTCCCTTGATACAGAGTTGAGCGATGCAGCACGCCACACCACCAAAAGCAAGCGCAAACTTGAACCATATACATCGCCGAAACCGAAGGTCAGCTTCATCCATTTGGCTCTTCATCGGTTTGGGAGGGTTGCTCAGGGATCGTATTGGCCTGAGAATACTTCGTATGAATTGATCCGGGAAAGGCAAATTAAGCAACAGGAGAACATGCGAAGCTATGTGAATGTTGAGAGTCATGGGCCTAATAACGAGCTCAGATAACGCAAAGGCAAAATGCTCATGCTGGTCTTGCTTACCGCTCACCAAAGAAAAACTTCTGCACATTCAGTAACTTCACATAAAGAGTGGCAAGAGATACTCTCGCTTGCAGAAATACCTGTAAGACAGTAGTAAACACCAGGTCCGTTTAAGCAGACGAAGAGAATTTTACATTGTCCTGTTTAAAAGTAAGCACATACTTGTTTTTAGGGTTGTCTTTCTTTGGTCGTTTCCCGAAGGAGCGTGGTCGATATATCTCGCATATACGTGCAGGGACATAGTAGTGCTGCGGAATTCGAAGCATGGTGTGAATTTTGTTGTCGTCGTCCAAAGAATAGAGCGAATATGTCTATTGGATTGTCAACCATTGAACTGCCTGCATAGTATGTCATAGTATAGTATGTACTTACCTGGAAGTCCCCAATATTCTGCGAGTACCAGACCGTTCTCTTTGTTCTGTGTAGTACACTTAGAGATGCGTCGAAATCCCATGCACCTATTGAGGTAGACTTTGCTAGCGAGGAAACAAGGAAACTGATGGCCGCGACGGATGACACTGTCGCATGGTCTTGTGTGAGGAAGGGAAGCTTTTCTACAGCATAATGCTATGAGATGCGAGCCTAATCAAAGAAGTATGTAAACGTACCGCTAGGAGACACATCTGAGTCATGGTTAGTACATCTTCGTTGTCGCTGCTGGAATAGCACTGCCTTCATAGAATAAGGAGTGCAGCGGGTTACAGGAGGAGGACCGAGAGGGGACGTCTTGTGATATTTAGATCCTGAAGGTGATGGTCATGTCTTGGGGCACGCAGCATTTCGAGAACTCCGGTAAGTAGTCGTAAAGATATTTTTCATAAGTGAGGAAGCGGCAGGCGAGATCGCTCGAGGAAAGCATGGTAGAACCAATCTGAATGAGCCCGAGGAGGGCAATTGAGCGATGGAGAGAAGATGTTGCATCAGTATGATGAGGCGGGAGAAACCAGAAACCAGGATCCGCTGGATATAGTTGTGTGGCACTTGGAAGTTCCTAAATTGGTCAATATCGTATTGGTTCTACATTGAAGCAGGTCCCGCTAGGATAAACGCTAACCGTCAACGAGAATCATTACTTTCAAATTGTCTTCCATGTTACCCCAAAGACGACGTGAGTTGATGATCTTGCGAGTATGTAGATATCTAACTCGGTCATTCCCTTCATCCACCTGTCATTCCTGTGCCCATCAACAACTCCAATAACGCACTAGCAAGCTCTTTCACGTTGTCGCTCTCCAAGCCCGTGCTCCTAAGTACACCATCACTCCTTCTCATCCTTGCAGTCTGTTCCACAAACCTAGCATACCCCATAAGCGGGATCAATGTAGAAGGTGCTGCGACAAGCGATGAAGCCATCCTAATTGATGTTGGTCCAGTGTGCCGGAATATGGACAGAAAGGATGTCGGCACAGGATAAGCAGGTACATGAATGCTGACCCCATGACATGAATTAGTTTGCATGCATGCCATACTATTGAGCCATACCTGGAATCCAGGGGTTCCTGTAGCGATGACAAGTTACATCATGCATCGAATGCTGCCAGGTCTTGATCCTGCAACCCTCAAGTTATGTTTCGCCTCGCAAAAACTGCATGCTCGTCCTATAATTACTTATTGATTCATCATGGTTCGTGCAATCAAAGTGTCAATATGATTCTTACCTTATTTGACAAACTAGTCGAGAAGTTGCAGGACAGATCAGCGAACGTTCCCTCTGTCGCAGAAAAAGGTAGGGAGACTATGCCACCCAGTTGTCCCAATCAAGAACCTTTTCGCCAGTTCAAGTGGTCAGCGATCATTGCGATGTTCTCCTGACTGCCTCTAAGTCTGTAAGGAATTAGTTGATGATATGTTCATTGCCTGTCAATGAGAATAGCATGCCTCGGTGGCACTGTTGCAGTCTCTACCGGCGATGAGATGACTCCAGACGTATGATACAAGCTGTTTTTCTGGAACGTTCCATCAGGAAAGTATATGTAGAGTTTTGCAGGGGACGAACATATATGCAAGTCCCTGCGATAGATTACTTTCCAAAGTAAACCATCAGGACAGATTTAGTATTGGGAAAGTGATATCCGAAAGCTGATGGAGGCTTTGCAAGCACAATGTGTCATTTATAATTATCTTTGTGTCGAGAAACTACTTTCAAATGTTTGTGTGCCATCTACGTGGAAGCGCATTCACTCACATTATTGATGCCAGCATGATTTGGGTCTGTGCCCAAAAGGAAACTAAATTTTAGCGTAGAAGCCTTGAGAAACTCGTCACGGAAGGAAGTCAGGAAAGCATGAGAAAACCCCCCCGAAAGAGGGTGTATCGTGCATCATTTGCAAGCCCTGCAATGGGAGGTTGACTTAGCGGAGGGCTGGAAATGGCATGAAAAGGAGCCTACCTGGAAGTTATCGCAGTTCTCGACGAGCAGACGAAACACCCCTTCCATGAGCTCTGTATCCTAGAAAGGTGTTATAAATACCACAAAACAGGGAGAAAAAGAAAGTACCTCGTTGTATCGTTGGGAGAGATCTTGACTGACACTCCACTCAGCCTCAATACTTTCCAGTGCATCAGGGATGGCCTGTATGGATTTCCGATCGAAGAAAATGTGACTATAATCTGACCAGTATCTAATATTTGGGTCTGTACATTCCAAATCGCCTTCAAGACAAGCATGATATTCGCTTTGAGGAATCGGATCTTGTGTCTCGCAAACTACCCTTCCTTGCCTGCAAAGTATCAGTTCGTATGACAAATAGCTGTTACAATCACACTCACCAGGTCGTATCAAATGAAGGATCGGTAGTTGTATCAGCTTGGCTCGTTTTTGTGAGTGTCCCGAAGTTTGCTGCTCCGATGCAGCTCAGGCGATAGGATATCAATGCGCCAACGAAGGCATACACTTCTGGTCGAATATCAACAGGCGCGGACAAAGAGTTGGTTGATTCTTAAGAGACGGGACGGTAGATCACATTAAGTAGAAGACCTCACTTGGAAATGGTACACACACCTCAGGACTCCGTCCCTCTTCGAACGAAAGGTCGTGGTTTACGATAGGGTCATCGTCACATGTACATGACTCTTGGCACGAAAGTATTGCTCGCAAGGAAGCAGTTCCTTGTCAACCGTGAAATTGCAGCAGACATTTCAAATGTGCTGACCTCGTAGCTAGAAATAAAGCATTCATATCAAGTTTTCGGTTGGAGGTGGTCAAGACACACCATGGAACAGAGGCCTTCAAGCATCCGCACGGAAGTTCAACATTAGCTTCTGGGAAGAGACAATCACCACATGTGGAAGTGCATTGCTTGGTGCATGGGTGGCCTCTTGTGCAAAGCCTTGTACATGCATGTTACGGAGGCATGTTTCTGATCATCGCTGGGACACTAAAAGGATTGTTTATCTCATATGCCACACTGAACGCAAGAACGTTACCTTGAATAGGATCGCAGTTCATATGCAAGTCGTAGGGTCGTATGCATCCTCCTGAAAATGTAGTGCAGTGCATTGCTCGAGTTCAAGGAGGGATCGTACACACCATCAGGGGCAATTTGGGGTAGTTGACTTGGTTTGCAGAATACTGGAGTGTCTCTGAGTGCCGATGACAAGCAATAGGAAGTGCTGGATCAAGGGCTTCGTTACTTTGCAGTTCCTCAAGGATATGCCACCACATTCGACTCTGGAAGACTGGTTGGCAGTATTTCCAAAATTGGAAAGACCTTCACATGAATGGGACAAGGCACTGGGACACGATGATCAGCGTGCTATACCATTACCACTCAACAGCTTATCATTCGTGCGGTTTTCAGACTGTGCATGAAATCAGATTGTAGAATGCACCTCGAAGTCTTTCCTTTAGAAAACCGATGCTGGGTCTGGTTCCGTGCATGAACCCAAGCAAAGCCATTTCATCGTCCAAGTTCTCTGAAACTTCAAACAAATGACAAGGTCACGATCTAGGAGAAAACATGCAGGAAATGAATAAGACTGATGTAGATACACACTTACACATACTCTGCCCTGTTTGCCTTCATAGTTGTCAACGGTACGCAATCGAACCTAGAAAACGATTGAGCATGCAAAGAGACAGCATCAACACAACAAGGTATACCCTTCTCGTGACTTTTACATGTTTAGAGCAGCTTGGTCGCGCTCGTCAATCACAATCACCACCTCATTAGCGAGGGCATCTCGCAACTTGGCAAGCTGGCCAAGGTAGGCACAAAGAACTACGACATCACCTTTCAGCCTTGCCTGAATGATACTTGAACTAGGAAGAGCTTGGTGTGCTCAGACCTCAATAGATACAACACTAGTTTGCAAATAATTTCCACTGTTACGGATCAGCGAATAGCTAAGTCACCAAGGTGATAAAGACCCTTGCCTCATATAAATTGTACCTGGTGGCAGAGTCTTCTTCACCTTCATTTTCTCTACAGTTGTGATTTACGAGGAACAGATTTTCAGTAATGCCGCAGACAGAGGGATAGTGGCAGACAAGTTCGTCATCTTCAAGACTGGGGTAGAGCGTGTTCCTGATAGGGAATCAGTATGCGCCTGATATGTAAGAAGAGACGCACCTAATCAAACTCGAAATTGCAGGCCATATTCAGCGTTCTACATCAATCCAAGACATTGCAAGTGCGGAGCTCAAAAAACGTTCCATCAGGGACATGTCAAACTTATAGATATCTCGCCCTCTCTGGCTATCCATGAACGACGTTAGTGGGATGTCAGAGAATATATATCATGTCCATCATGAAGTACTCACAGAAGTTGTTGAGTGTCGGCCGGAGTTGTAAGGGGTCACAATCAGGCGCTCATTCGAGGGCACCAAACTTCTGAGGACGGGAGCTTCCAGAACCTGACCCGCTTCTGCAAAACTCGAGGATTCAGACCCTGTGAGAGCTCAGATCAGATGGACACGACGTCAATTTCATGCGCTGACCTTAAAGAGTGTGGCGAACTTTGCTGTGCCCATTGAGCATCACGTTATAAGTGGAGATATTCGGCTGAACACAGAAAACACACGCACCGGTCGTGGTGTAACCAATGATATCGATGTTCCACAGTCAATTTCGACGAACCTGAACAACTATTCAAACCAGCTGATAGCTAAAGTGAAACAGCCACGTACCTCTTCTTTGCCTTCGTTACATTCTCACAGTACACCCTCGTAAAGTTCGCAAAGGCGCTCAAACTCGCCTGTCTGTGTCTCAGACAACTCTGCGTGCATATTTTCAACCGAGAAATCATGTAAGATTTGCTGGTCTGCCCTGCTCATGGTCCAAGTGTCGCTGACATCATCGAGTTCATTCAAGGGGCAACTGGAACCAGGAATGACAGGCTATTGCGAGCATCCGAGGGCTTCAAGAAATCCTTCAGGGTCCTTGAAGTCTGCCTGTCCCAGGCCAGCATTGTCACAAGGTTCGGGCTCGATATACAGAATGGGAGAATTGGGAGCTTTGGTGGGAGCAACAGGGACTTCCTTCGAACTAGCAGTTTTTGGAAATGGCGACCTGAAGAGACATGAAAGATTGAACGCAAAGCTAGGCATCGTTGAGTAATGTACTTTGCAAGTATTTAGAAATCCCGGTCGCCGGTGAACTGGATAGCACGAGAAGGGAACTACCTCGTGTTCGCCTCTTAGAGGAATGGTCGGATGGAGACGGAGAATTCGACAAACAACTTTATGTTTTTTTCCGGACATCTGAGGATTCCTGAGCTCCTGCAGAATACACAACTCCAACTTTGTGTCAAAGACGATGCGAAGCTTCACACGATCTTTAAGGGAGCTGGCGATCACCCCAAGATGCAGAGATATCATTACAAGATTGCCACTCAAAGGCGATCAAGCCGCCCTGCGTTGCCACTCATGCCTTCTCTGTTTTTGATAGTAAGGTTCAAAGGGGAGACACCATCCCACATGCTCTTCTCTGTGACCGCGGTGAACCAACGCTTGTCGAGTGTATCATTGGCGTTTGAAATGAGCTCCCACAAGAACACGTCCCTGAGGTAAATGGGTTCAACAAACAGTGTGAGCTTCACAAGGGTACTAACATGCGCATTGCGTTCGAGGTCCACATCGAAGGAGTAAACTATGCGGATGGCATTCTTGAATTCATACAAGCAGAGATAAGCTATCTCAAGGCCATCCGTAGTTTGAAGTGGGCTGAACAATTCAGCCAAGAAGGGTATCCATGCCATCTCAAACATCGGCCTAACATGGATGAAGTGTGATGTGCTCAAGTATTGGTCTCCAGTACGAGATCCTCGAGGACGCATGAGCGTTCTAAATAGTGACTACAAGATATTAATCAGTGTTCAATTGGAAGACTAGCAACTTGCTTTAGTCTTGTTGGCCATGTCATCAAACTGCATCATGCATGCTTGGTCCCTCCCCACATTCGTCAATGCATTAGTAAGACCAGGACCTGTCGAGGGCAAGTTGATTGTGACATGAACTTCGTCTTTCATTCTAATCCGTTGCCCTAGATGTGGGGATAATTTATCCGGAAGACTCCATCGTTGATAGCACGGTTATTCTTGATGAATTCAGCCTTAGTCATGCGATTTTTAATTTGAGACTGTGAGCATCGGTATTGAGCATGACGATAGAATACGCGAGAATATAGGCAGCATCTATTCAAAGGCAGCTAAGTAATCCCAACAAATTAGGCAGATGTCCACAAACCTGTAAGCGTTTCCGGCGATGTATCATTCCGCGCACTTGAGCATGAAGCGATCGATCATCTGAGCTTCTCCAGGAAGGCGGAATGCCTGCAAAAACATACAAACAGCGTCCAGGAAGAAGTTCCTGAAATCCAGAAAGTTGACAAAAGCATGCATGATAGCAACATTGTGTTCATCTCTGCAGTACAGTGAAAACCGTTATGGATGATAACATATTGAAAGCACTCACCCTTCAGCAAGGTACTCGCCAATCATACTTTTGCTGAGGCCATCAGTGGTCAGTGAGAACTGTGATATCACGAGGCCACGAGCTTGGAATGAGTTATGTCTCCCCCAAGAGTTGAATAGCCTAAGAGAAAATTAACTTTGCTCGTTTGCAAAGAGTGAGAGGACGAACGTGTTTGGGCTTGAAGTTAAACTTCTTGATGCCCCGACTGTCTTGGGCCATATTTTGAAGCGGGCCAGAAATCCAGCCAAGAAGGCTAGGTTTGTGCAATACCGCATCCATCAAAACAGTTACTTGCAAAAACAGGGCAATGGTGGTGCGAGCGGTGTGAAATAAACCCTATAAGAGTGATGAACCTTGTACATCCGACAGAAAGTGGTTCCCCACGGGAAATATCATGTAACAATCTAGGAAAGCATACGACAAAGTATTGAGAAGTTAACAAAGATATATACTTACATCGAAGACACATCCACACGCATACTGGCCTCAAATACTGTTATAGTTTTAATGTAGATACAACTTTCAATGTATTGCATCACCTTCAATAAGCTGGGGAAGGAAATGTGCTTTCAAGCGACTATTGACAATGTCATTCACATATACTCTGCAGGTGATGATAAGTTAGTTATTCGAACAAAGAAATCATGCGAGCATACAGGCAGTGACTGCAAGTAGGTTCAATGATGGCGCAGAAGAACACTCCGTAGATGGCAATATTAAAACACGTCTTCCAAGGAATGACCCTCGACCTGCACAGGATAAGTTTCAGATATTGGATTCGTCAGTGTGATCAAGGCATCAACATGATCCTCACCTTACTTGACAAAACACTCGAGAAGTTGCAGTCCCACTGAAAGAAACCTTGGTCAGCTGCTTGAACATGAAGATCTAATACAGACTGTCCTATATGCTCGAAGATTGTACCAGTATGTTCCGATTGCGCACGTGCGGTGGCACGAGTCGATTTGCTGTGCAACAGGAGTTATTGTTGGGGCAATGAACGCACTTTTTATTTCATAAGAAAGAAGATCTTGACAAAAAGAGCTATGAGGGACTTACAGTTGAAAAATATGATATGATGACGACACTAGTACCATCTTCAGAATCTCTATCCAGTAGCCTTGGAAGACAGTCAGATGGCACATTTCATGTCGGGGAGAGAGTCCGCAACCAAGTGCCGCTATACTGTACAATTAGATAAACAGTCACGGAAGAAGTGCAATCCCGGGCTTACCTCCAAATTGAGATGGCCATTGGCAAGACCGAAAATTGGCTTGTTTTTGATGGAATCCACAAGGGGTCGGAGAGTATCTAAATTACAATCCCAACCAGAGTAACTGCATCAGAAGGATTGAAGGCAGAGAGTACGGATAGACTTAGCTTCATATTGTGCGCGAGCACAAATGACGTCGAGGAGCTGCTTTCTATACCGGGGAATGGATTCTGGTATTGAAATAGGGGGGTAGCTTGGTATCCAAAATAGAGCGATGCTATTCAGAGGTAGAGTATATAGACGTAGGCGTAGACAGATGCAACGGGCCCAACATTTGCGCCTCGACATGCAAGAACCCCGCTCCAGGACCATCATAACATTATGTTTCGGAATGATACAAAAACTTGTCAGAAGCACGGACACTAGACACATGCTAATCAGTAATTGAGTAGATAAAAATGGCGGCAAAGGTGGTACAGATAGCGTAGATCAAGTTCATGTACAAATACCATTACAACAATCCACCTCAAGTGGGCAATGTGCAACTACAGGAGAGTTTCAATAGAGCGCAGAGGCATTGGAGGATCCAGATGATGTTGAAAAACCATCAAATCAATCCTCAAAAGAGTTGTCAGGTAGACATGATTTATATGTCCCATCAGAGCCATGAGATGAGCACGTGCCTACATTTATCTTAGCATGAAACTTCAAGGAAAGTTGCAAGCTCACCATCCTCAGTCAACCGGAACCCCATAGTGCGTGATATCACTTCAGAAAACATCTCCACTTCGGCTTGTGCGCAATGTTTCTTCAACTCTAAAATGTGGAAATCAGATTTCAGAACGTCTGGGGTTTTCTCATGTTTTGCTTTAAAGCTATCGCCAATGCCAATACCTAGGAGCTTGGTGTCTGCACAGTTGGCAGATGATGTGCTGATGTAGGCGCGATATGTGACGCTATCAACCCAAGACTTCATCAAGAAAGGAAGCGAAAGAAGCCGATCATTGGGCTGCATATCATTAGAATACAGAGTCTCTGGTAGCATGAATAGCGCTTACCCTTAAGAGGCTTTCGTAAAGCTGAGGAATTTCTTGAATTTGCGGGAAATCTACTAGGAATTCCGATGACGAGGAAAGCCATTGCTGGCATTTGAGATGCACAGCAGTTGGAAGCCGAAAGCCTTCAAATTCGTCCGAGCGGGGTGTTTGGCATGCACTTATGGTGCCAGTGTACTTTGGCAGGGGTGCTGGAGCTAGGAGGAAATTCAAAATCAAGCGTCATTTCTTAAGCAGTATGGCTTACATGGGCGACATTTCACATTAAACTCTTCGCACAAGTTCGCAATGGCTTTATTGAATAAAGTGACTTCCATCTGAGCACAATACATCCTCTCCTCCATGTAGCATCGCCCTCCTTGCAGAAGGAATGAAACACAAGTGAGCTCTTCTTGCTGGAAGAGCTCTTCCATTGCAACCACTCTGAGGCTCACTTGTAGGACAGCTATGAGGTCAAGGGGGTCGACCCATGCAAATAGCACGGAAACCGTGATGAAGAGGGAATCTGGAAGCTGAAGTTGATGTCGTAGGATACCATCACGGAAATATGGAAACCCACTGACAATTTCACATCCCTGTTTCTGGAGCCAAGACTTGAGGGCATTCTTGGTCTGTTTGATCTCAAGAATGTGCTTTGTCAAAGGAGTGATGAGGGTAGGAAGACACGATGAACTACTATTTAACATGCTGAAGGGGAGTGGTAAGAAAGGGTTAAAGGGAGGTCCATACAATTGTTGAGGGCTTACATACAAGAAGGTTTGGCAGCGGCTATGGGATAGCGGTCTGCAAGCCGATCAACAGCTTTGCTCAGTGGTGGCTGTGCAATTGTAGCGGTCTATAAAAAAACTATTTGGAGATGAAAATCATATGCGCCGATGAACAATGCCATCATACAGCATAATTCCTTGTTTAGAAGTCAGAAAAAGCCTGTGCAACGTTCGTAAGCGACTCAATATGTTACGAGAGATTTTGATACATATAGTGCGTACTATGTTCCTTGGTCTGACTTAGTCGTGTGATGGTGCTGGGCTTTGGGATCTTATTCTTAAGATATCGCAGGAAGTTAACAACACAACAAAGCGCTGTACATTTGCAAACAGACCAGCGGACAAAATATGGAAGGCAATTTTCCTTGGAAGGGTTATTTACGAGTAATCCGATAAATGTCAGTGTCACTGCGGGAGGCATTCCCCATTAGCTACTAGTATAGAGACGAACTTATGTAAACTCACATGATGTTACAAAAGCTTGCTATGCAGCTCACGAATGCCAGGTGTTCTGGGTCGTCTTCCTGTGCCAATAGGAGAACAACCACCCGAAGGAGTTTGTCATATATCTCACTGACCGGCGGATATAGTGATAGGTTGATAGTTGAGGACTCCACCTCTTTTGACATCTTCTTCAAAATATCCGTCAACCATTGGATGATGGCGCTATAACACTAATACAACAGGATTGATTAGATGAACAAAAGCTCGTAGAGTAGAACTTACGGAGGCCCCCACAAATGCTAACATCTCTGCGGGTGGGTGTGGAACGTTCCTGAAGATATCCGGCGCAAAGTCAGCCATTATTATTGGTGTATGGGCTGATACGCTACGCCGGAATACAAGATGAAAAACGAGGGATTTCGAGATCTCCTTTCTGATAAACCACGCAAAGCCATTGTCCTGCATGGTAAAGCAATAAGATCCTGACAACCAAAGCTAACTCAAAAGACTGACCGCAATTGGCAAACGAGCCGAATCTGGAAGCAGGAAGTGTTGCAGCAGGGCCACGCATCTCTCAATGAGTAGTGCCTGGGGGCACAGTTCTGCGAGGGCAAAGCCCAGGAATGGTCGAGGATCTGAGATTGCAATTTTCGCTAATCGTTTGATCTCAGAAATCAACATCGACACCCATTTACCGGCCTACTCAAGGTCAGACAAGTAAATAGAGATGACGGAGAAAACATACCATCGCCAATATAGCTTCTTCTGTCACTTCGAACTCATCATCAGCCGACCTCACTAGAGAAGAGTCAGTATCTACGGAACATAGTAGATCAATGAGTTACTGACCAGTGCACAGGGTTGTGCGAGTTTCTCCGACTTCAGCCAGACTTTGATTGAAAAGGTCGGCGATGAAAATAACTTTCTCACTAGCTGTTTGAGTGAGTAAGAACGGGTTCCTGTACTCCCCGCACGATATAGCAACTCTGATGAGAATCTGCACACGAACCAGAACAGTTTTCCATTGTGGATACCTGAGCTGGATATCCTGCAAGCTGTTCGTGTCAGGATGGGTTTGTGTGTCCTCTGGTTGGGTATCATCGCGACTGCATGTGATAAGTGAGAGCCTGGAAGACTCTGGCACAACCGATGAGGCCACGGAAGAGTCTGGAACAATTGATGAGGCCCCAGAAGAATCAGGGACAACTGAACCTGCGTGATACGACTCCAGCAGGTTCGACATTTCTGCGAGAGCATCACTATCAAACTCGGGATAAGCTTCAGAGTGGGGTTGGTGTCCAAACGGAAATAGAGCTTCAACGATAACAGTGTTATGCCCATTGCCCAACAAAGGCTTTGACGTTGTTAAACGAGATAACTTTAAGATTGCAAAGTGAGCTCACCCATGTATACACATGTAGAAGGGTACCATCGTCGCTCAGCCTTGACCAGAGGGCGTTCAAGTCCAAGTTCATGGGCGGGTCGTCGGGCGAATAAAGATTCTACAAGACATATCAGTGGGAGGGCGGAGTGCAGTCCAGAGCAACTGAATACCTTGATGAATATAGGTACCTCCATGCACGGTTCCCATAGTGAATTGTGAGAATTGATCGGCAACACATAAGCTATGACTTTGACATGCGACTTGAGCTATAAAAAAAATCAGTATACGACGCCCACAAAATGAACCACCTACAGCCTCGAGGCGCGTAGCTGAACACTGCAGCCCACGATGAGACACTAAAAACTCTGAAGGAATACAAATAATACTTACATAGAGTGCATAGAGGACTGGTTGAGGCCCAATCGCTAGATATCCTGTAAAACAGAAAGGCTTCTGTAAGAGAGTGAGGTTGCCCTGAAAGAACTGAGTTAGTAACATTGAGATTAGAAGCCACAAAAAACACACTGAAACAGGCTGAAGGCTAGACAGATCGTCCGGGAAAAAATACGAATGGAAAATTGGAGCTGCCATATCATCGTCAGAGTTGATTCCAAGAGAGAAAACAGGCACTTTAAATGTGATTAAGCATAATATAAAATTTTAATAAAAATGCATTGCAGTGCAATGGTTATTACATGTAAGATGTCGTGTCTCGCCTAGAACGATTGACTGCTGTTATAATGCCATACATTCTTATGTATAACATGCAAGGCAGCGATAAGCTCTGCTCGCGCCACAAGGTTACGCCAATGGTCTAGTAGTGGGCGCTATCGATCGACTTTGCGCTATTGGTCGACTTTGCTCAAGTGACCTAGTTCTCATAATCAAAGGCTACCTCTCTGTTGTACATCTCGTCGAACTGATCTAACAACGATTCATTGCTGGAACTGAACCATTGCTCAGCATCCGATCCACCCTCAGTACTGTCATCTACTTCATCATCTTCACTGTCCTCTTGATCCTCAATTTCATCTATTTGCTCGAAATCTTCAACATCATGGGTAAAAGATGCATGTGCTGCACCCTCTGGCTGCGTGGGGCGATGGTGAGAGTATACATGACCCACTCCAAGACCAAAGTGGAAGCGCATGAGCATGTCCCGGTCGACAAACCTGAAATAATAATAATGAGCTCGGTGTTTGTGAAGTGGTGCCCCTAACTTACCGATTCACATAGTATTGGCACCAATCATCCTTGTCGCCCGCACATGCTGAAACTCCCAAACCATTGGGATGTTTCTTACCATCGGCAAATGATGGTATAATATGACAGCCCTGAAGTACATCCACTGGATCAAGAAAGTCGAATGAGAAGTCATCCGCCATGCGTGGAAAGCGGAGACGATCTAGCCTCAAGGTTTTCCAGGTGGCAAGATCATCAATGGGAGTGTACCAGCGTACCCATAAAAACACTGTTCGGAGAGGAGTGTAGTCGACTATACTGTTTCCTATGAAGATCACGTTCACGTGGTATATACCAAGTACCTTTCCATAAATATATCTGTGACCTTGGCACCCAACATCGTCGTCAGCACGAAGAACCATGATATTGCAATGGGGAGTTCTGGGGTTAACAACATCTTGAGATCTGCAAACATTGTACGTGGTATAATTGAACCTAGCGGTGTTGTGGTGATACATGTGATCGTCCTTCAAAATAATGGAATTGATGTTGGTCTCTTCTCCAGTACCTGGAAGGTCTCTGGATTGGTTGAATCGGTGCAATATATGATCCTTCAGTTTCGGCACAAAATTCTGCAGGGATATTAGAAATCGCTTAAAAATATATGATTGCACTTACGGTGATTGCTGGATCACCTGCATGGTCACGCAAGTACGATCCTATATGTACAGGGAATTTTTGCCTGAGACCGATGTGGTGATGGACATGCGGGCTTCTCGCTATCTCTGTGATTTCGAGGTGAGGGCGAGAAACAATTCTGTCCCCGATACGACGAATACGAGTCTGGCGACGTTCTATCCGAGTGAGTTGTTTGACGAATGTATTGCGATCGGTACGACAGTATCTGGTCTTGGGAGAACGGTGTTCAAGTTCACCCTAGATAAAGTTGGTGAGTCAAATCCGGAGTCGAACATATGGGACTGACTGGCTCGGTACTGTACGAATCAGACGTGCCATACTGGCGGATTGTAGATACATAGTCTCCCAAGGCATGAAACTTGTACGTTTGAAAGTTAAGGACCTTGAGTTGTTTCGTATTCTTGCCTGATTTTCCGGATTCTGGCTCCACAAGGGGCGCTCTTTGCTTCCCTTTCTGTCCTCCCTGTTGCTTGGTCGCCTGCTTTGCGTCGCATCGGGTACGAGCCTTGACCTCCTGAGGAAGTTTGTGGGTTTCGTAGGCGGAACAAACGGTGGCCTTGAAATGATGAAACTGATAGCCAACCACTGTAGTTACTTCATCCATTATTTCTAAGGTTGGCTCAGAGTGCAAACAGAGCTTAGCCAACCCGTGCCAATGAGCCATGGTATATAACAACCAAAGGACAGTGCTGTTGTGTGGTTCTGGAAGAAGGCGGTCAAATACAGGGATTGAGCACTTTATTCAAGTGACATCAGGCCACGAACTTCATTGATGATTAACTCATACCTGGAGGAGGTCTTTGAAATTCCGAGCTGCCATTTGTTTCATCTTGGAAGAGTTCGTGGAAAACTTTCGGATGGTAGCTGGGCCAAACGTCGGAATTTGCCTATATCTGGTGGAGGTGGTCAATGTGAGATGAACAATGCAAGATGATGGACCTTACCTCTGGTCTAATGTATGTATAAGGCTCTTGCCATGCGCCGATATGATATGCAACAAGTGCTTAAAGAGCATCTTCCAAACGCCAATCTCAAACTCATGTAATAGATCTACCACAAGCGCATGAAAAATATTGAAACCCAAACAACTCAGGCGGTCTGAAAATACATTCTAACAGATTGTTAGTCATTGTCAGTGATAGAAATTTAAGACTTACGGAGGTGGGAACCCACGACTGTGGCTTAAGAATGTGTTCTACAGGTGCGCTACCAACCGCATAGTTCTGCTCATAAATCAGCGAGCGCGCCTCGCTAACCATCTTTCTTCTTCTTTCATCATCGTGTCCCAGGGTGACGCGCTGTGTTTTATCCCGGGGCATACCCATGTTTTGTATCTGTTCCTTGGGGATCAGGCAACGGGGACACGGACAACCTCCTAGATTTCGAACCGTTGCTACAAGTACTCTAGGCAAACAAAATTCAGTATAATTCAATGTGATAGTTTAGTTTAGTTACTTCTCAGGATAATCCGCTGAATAAGTGAAGATCCTGGGGTAGAATCTGCGCTGAATACCGTCGCAACAAAGAACAACGATCCCATGCTCGTATGCCTCCAAAAATTCGTCGTCTAACAAGATTTTCCACTGCTCGTGGAAGAACTCTCTGTGACAATGTGTTGCGCACTCGGTATTGATTCCATTAGTGCCTGCAAAATCTTTGAATGAATCAGGAAGCTGGTAACATATTTAAGTATACCTTATATCAAACTCTGTATGAACACATACCATTTCGAAGTAAGCAACGTGATTGCTCAAATTGCATGAGGGCTTGCAGCGGCGATACTTCGACTCATTACCGAAGTACATATAGGTAGGCCATAGTTTAGCATTCCCAAAGGAAGTGAGTTGCGTCGCATCCGACCAAAACATAAGGCCAGCTATAACCCGGGGTAAGTCACATTCAGGTTCCCCGGGTGATTCTTGCAAGTTGTGGTGAGCTTCATGAAAGGCTGCGGATGTGTACAGATCCCCATAGATGGAGACTTCAACATCCAGATGGGGAGGAGCCCAGCGCAGTTGATATGGCTCGTAATGAAATAGCATGTCGTCTCGGGCCTTAGCAAGCTTTTCCCGCAAGACAGCGACAAGAGAGCGATGATATGAATGTGCAGCTTCATAAAGCCGTGGGCCTGGTATTTCAGTGGTACGTGAAAATGGCACCTGGATAGTGATGGCTGTCCTTTTCCATCCCGCATCTTTGTCCTCCCATTCTTCTCCATCTTCCTCGTCATACTCATTGGTTCCCAGTTGAGAATTGATTTTTTTCCAACCAGTGGAACTTACGTCGGCAGCATTGAAAGTACTGCCGCCCAAGATCTGCAACAGTTTTTCATAGTCCCCTTGGGACTTTTGCAAACCATGATTCCAGTACCAATCACCGAGCTTGAAAGACGAGCGATTGGGATAGGGGTGATATTGAGAGTTGTTGGTACAAGCGGCAGGTGCATGTGGTCCTTCGATGGCTTCAGGGCTGCCCGGTATAAACGAGAGGTCTGTTATAGTGACGTACTCCTCTGGATCATGGGATGGTACCTTCGAGGAGAAGTATTGCCATACTAGCCCAAAAATATTGGGGGGGGGGTCCGAAATACAGCGCTAACTAGTGAAGCAGGTCGTTCTGGAACAACGGGAGACCCCACAGATTCTGGCAGCCGTTCACGAACTTCCAAAGGTACAGTTGGTGGAGGCTGAGGGAGCACGTCCCTGAACCACATGGGCAACTGGCAATTCTGGCGCCTAGGGCAGCGCTGTGCCAAACTCATGTCATCTTCTTTATCTATCTGCTCTCCTTCACAGTCAGGGGTCACATCGCTTCCTGTAACAATGAGCGATGGGAGGGGTAGAGGAACGACTGGAACTTTGGGATGTTGTGATGCTGTGAAAGCCTGGACTTCACCGGAGGTAAAATGGCCAGTGGATGATGTATCGTTCGATTCAACGAGTCTCGCAGGCCCAATCTCATCTTGTGAGATGCGCGGCTTTTTCCTATGGCTTAGAAGTTCCTTGACAGAGGACATCGCCGATGAAAGACGCTTTCTCGCTTGAGAGCATGAGCGCTGATGTTGGCTAAAATAATGTTGCTCTGTAAAAGTGTCCTTGCAAACGCAAGTGTAACGAGAAACTGACATTAAGGAAAGACTGCAGGATCTGTGATTGACAAATTATAACACCCAGCCAATATGATCGCGTAATTGTAACCGAGTAGCTGGACAGACAACGGTTGCACTAGCCGAGCCGCTGAAATTGCTGACCGGGTAACTCCAAATAGCGATCGCGCAATAGCTGTCCATCGAAAGAACTGCAGAACTGTATAAAGACTCTGTAAGTTCAAGGCATCTACATCTGCAAGCCGTAAAATGACCGTACCTTCCTCTCCATCCTCGACATGCTCAGAGCTTGAACCAATGGAATTCATAGCTGACCCCAAGGTAGTCAGGCAGCTGGTCCAGATTTTGACTTGTTGTCACGGTATATTGCATTATCACGGCCAAACTGAAGAACTGGTGACGTATCAATGGTAAGTTGATTTCATGAGAAGGTGCCCACGCTGACGTACTCACTGAAAGGCTGACTGATCACCAAGGGCAAAAAATACACCCATCACAATTCGATGCTTATCGCCGGAAGCATGCATTTCGCTACCCTTGTTGCCTTTGCGCCAGGGGTGGTAGCTATGTCGAGACTGCAATACTTCTGCGAACTAGAGGACCAAATCTAGGGCAGTATGTTGCTGAATGTGCGACCAGTACTTGTGGCTACTTGTGCAAGTTGCTGATTTCAATATGCAGAATCGCAGATCTGATATTTAATACAGTGAATATAGAAAAATTCTTTGGGAGAGCCTGTGTACCGGCTATGTATTATCCTCGGAGAGGTGTAGGCCATCTACCAATAGACTGATTGACGTAACTATAGCGCACATATCAATATCTAATCCTGATTTCGAAATTTAACTCGCACCATCAGCATTGGGTCATGACTTCCAACCACAAGATATGTCGAGTACAATTCGAAAAGATCTTGTCGCGACATGCCAGCGCTTCTAACACTCCAGTCACTCCCTCCGAGACAACTTCTCGGACTCAAACTCCCTCTGCGAGTCCAGGTGTTTCACATACCGCCCTACGCCCTCGGCTTTTCCAATTCGAGGCACCTGTCATATCCTGTATTCCGGACTTACATCCGACAATATTCCCACGCCTCATCCGGACCTTCGGACGCCCTATCCATGTCTCCAGTCCTCTATCCATCCGGATCCCTGCACCTCTGCACATCCACATCCACATCCACATCCCTTTACCTCCATACCTCAGCTAGCCTGCATCAGTCATCCTCTGTCCCATCACCCTAATGTCATATCCCATATATCCACGTGTCTCATCCGGATGTCCGGTCCGATCCGATCCGATCCGATCCGATCCGATATACGATAAGCTTCCTAATTCAATTCCTGTGCATATAACGTTAACACAGCCTATTCCTCTATTTGGTATTCCTAGTCCTTGGTATCTCGGTTATACTTACTACCGGTATGCTTACTGATCCGTTAACCTATGCTTCATTTCTGACTCGCGCTTGATAACTTTGCTTATGCTTCATACATAGCCTCGGACGCTTGCTTACTGATCTTTCCGTTATTTCCTTAGTATATAAACTCTTGTATATGTCCTGTAGTTCCTCAGTCTGAATATCATATTAGTCCTCGCACTAGATCTCACTCTAAGTCCTCATATCAGTTCTAGTCTATCAACTTAGTCAATATCCATCTCGGGCCTAGGGAGAAATTCCCTAGGCCAGAGCTCCGCTTATCCGCTCATCCGATCCTCCGAAGTTTCCGGACATTCATCCGAAACTTTCCCGCGGTCCTCCGGACCTATTCTGCTTCGGACTTTGTCCTTGCAGCCTTTCCTCTGTTTGCTTCTACTTAGGACTTGTCCTAAGTAGCCATTACACGTATCCGTATCAGGACGAAACCTCATCGTAATTTCCGGAAGTTCCTCCGGAACTTTCCCGCACTCGTCCGGAAGTTACTTGCACTCGTCCGGAAAGTCCTTCCGAACTTTCCTGCGCTTCGGACGTCCTTCAGACATCATTCTGAAATTAAGGGCACATACTCGGGTAAGGGGCACAGCGCACGAGCTGAAGCCAAGCCCCTCAGAATCAGTCCTACCCTTTGTGCATGGTCTTAACAGCACCAGACATCACGACACAGCCCGTCGCTTCGCGTAACATGAGTTAGGGTATGGGCACAGGGTGCAGAAAATTTCTGCGCTGCTCATCTTTCATCAGCCTGAATATTTTGTGAAATTGTTGATCACTGGAACAAAGTACCTTACTATTGTTGTCATCGTAGCTGGTATATCATAGTACTTGTTCATCATTTCAAGTTTGCAGAATCAAGTTTTGACTGTCCAACGTTACTGAGGCGCGTCCGCAGTAGATAACGCCTTCACTGGACTCACAAGTCTATGAGGCAAACATGTACACGTAAAACACTACATAGTCAACTACATTACAGCTATTGCCTGCATACTCAGCTGGGAAGTTGTTAGGTCGGAAAACTTTGCAAGTTTGAGGAGAAGTGGTTTATATATTGACTGACTATATAAATTAAACTCCGCCGGCAGCGACCGAATGAATACCTGGCTATGGTAAACATATACAAAAGATGCTGTATATACTTCAATTCGAATGCACTTATACAAAACTAGCATTGTATTCTTCACGCGTCCTGCGACTGAACAAGTGACTCGGAGCTGGGATCCACCAGCTGGTATGTTTGTGTGTGTGATCTCTCAATTCCAAATATGTTCTCGAGACTTGTGTTTGTGCAGTTTTCCTCCGTACAGAGGGAGACAGGGGAGACATTAATATTGACAGGCACTATTATACGCTTGACAGTGTAGATGATCCGCATGTTCTAGCTTCCTTACTCAAGCTCTGGTTGTGTGAGCTATGGGACATATTGATGCCTGAAGAGATGTACAACGACAACATTGCGCATTCTCACGAACCTACGGCCTGAGCGAATCTGGTGCTGGTGATGGCACCGAACTTACTGAGGTGCAATCCAGAATCTATGACTGTCGTGTTTACACTGGCAAATGTTCAGTGCGCATTCCGATGATGTTCTTGTCGATCCATGTTGATGCCTTTGCAGGTACACACAAGTGTTCGCCTATAATCTTTTGATGGATAAGTGCGATCAAATTGATGCGGATTGTGTTCCCGTCCATGGCCTTGGTGCCAGTCTGCTATCGCCCCCACAACCTCGCATTTCTAAATCTTGCAACAGAAAGTGAAACATGCCTGACTCGGACATGATACCGTGTACTTAGTATCCATTATCTTTTCTGTACCCTATATGCACATCACCCACCAGCTTGAAATTGCATCCATGTACATAGAGATATCTTCTTCAGTCCTTGCAAGTGTACTTCCCATCATTCATCATCTTCCAACTCTACTGCCATTCATCAGAGTAGCACACACCCCCACCTCTCCTTGTTAATTACGACAAAAATGTATAGGTTAATAGGCTACTTGAATTCCAGCCAGTCTTCGCCCAGCATCTTGGCATCCAGCAAATCATGGCAGCTGTCCGTTCAGAGTCTTGTTTCCAACGTTTTGGCTGCGACTTGGCAGAACCCCGCTGGCCGAACTCATACCTGTCCTCCACGTCCTCCTTGAGTGCATCATCCTTCCATGCATCCAAAGCCGGCAATTTCTTACCCGGCCTTTTCTCCTGTTTCCTTCTCGGCTCCTTAATAGTAAGCTGCTCAATCTTAGACAACATCCCGACGACTTCTCCACTCCCAAACACAGACTCCTCTTCCCAAATCGTGCGCGCGCCTACTTTGCGCCTTAGTTTTTCGGCGAGTTTCTTGGTTCTGCCATCCGGCTCGACGCCATTGAAGCGCATCTCTTCGAGGGCGTCATGCACGCCTCTGAGGTCGTGGAAGCATGACCAGCGGGTTTCTATCAGCTCGTTGTATGCGGGAGTGGTGCATCCGAATACGTAGCTTGGGATACTTAAGTGCTGGGCGTAGTTGAAGATGGAGAGAGCGAGGTGGGGATCACAGTATTTATCACGGAAAGAGCGCATGAGGTGCGCAATGAGGTATGGGTAAGTCAGGTGTTGGAATTCAGGGTGCATAGACACTGGTTGTAGCAGTGGATTTGTGTTTGCGTTTGCACTTGCATTCGAGGGTGAGGTAAGGCCTGGAGCGTGCTGATGTTGTTCCTCGGATTTAGCAATCGCCTCAGGCCAACCGGTCAATCCCACATCGACGACCATGTCTCCTAGCTGTCGTACATCCATCTCCATCACGACTCTATACTTGAGCTCTCTCCACGTACGATGATCAACCTTCCATCTGCACCTCGGGCAAGATGCTGTCGTGCTTCTTGTCACGAACGGCCGCTCATTGAGTCGTTGGCGAATGCCCTCGCGTCGATTGTGATGCAAGTTCATCAGGTCAAGCACAGCGCCCATGTGCAGCTTTCTGAGGATAGGTTGATGTTCCTGTGTGTAGATGTTGAGAGCAAGCAACTGCACGGATGCATGTCTGGCCTCTTCTTTCCATCCACAACGGGTTGCGGCTGCATACAGATGCAGAGGCTGGTCTAGGAGCGGGGGTGTCATGATGAGCACGCGTATGAGGGAGATAGGCCCTGGCATTTCGTATTTTTCTGCAGCGAATAACAATGCATCAACCTCGTCATACGATGTGAGTGGATTGACTGGCAGACCACAGAGCATAAGCAGGAGACTCTCTAGTGTGTGCGAGTCCTCATCTAGATTGATGAACTCGGGGTGATTAGGAAGAGGGTTTTGTTGAGGCATGGAAAAGAGGGATCGGAACCAGCCCGATGTCATTTTGAGCGTCCATGAGTGGATATGGAACAGAGTATGATCTTTGGCGCCAAGCACAACATTGGCATCTAGAGAAGAGCCTGAGAATGACCGGTGGAAGGTGCCATCATAATTCACCGCTTTGACTAAAGCCGTATCAGGAAACTGCCACACAGGTGAGAATCATCGCAGTGTCCAAAAATTGAATTGATGTATAGTACTACGGGTACATGGTCCATTACATGGTGTTTTGTGCACGTTGCACAAGACATATCTGATCAAAACATAAGGTAATAGTAATGGAACTATTAATCGTAAACTGAGCAGTTTTTTTACCAATGCTACACTGTGAAATAGTCAGAATCTGACCATAATAATCGCTGTCTAGAATGAGACATTCTTGTTTTCTTTTTCGTGGAGGAGCTGGGCTCAGTTCCTTGGCGGGGATATGGTAATGTTCAAGCGCAGCACCTGCATGACTGGAGGTACAAGATACTGCAACGCAACCTTCGGGTGCAGGTCCGTTCACACCGCAGAATGGATCAGGACAGGCTGATGATACGAATCGTTTGTGAAACTTGGTGTGATCAAAGCTCGGTAAAACTGTGAATATCGCGTGATATGTAAGGAATAGCGAAGAAATCTCCTTGCTCATGAACCAAGGTAGAGGGCCTATAATAAAATGAGCAAAAGTTGTTGCGATACCTCCGGGGTGGACTTACCAATTTCTTTGAGCTGCTCTGCTCTAGCATCTATGCCATCCTGAATGTCCTGTGCATCAACAGTCCATGGGTCAGATGTCGATGAGCTGAGATCGACACCCGATGACGGATCATTCAAGTTCGCACCATCGATATCCTGTGTGAGATTCCAGGCAGTCCAATTGGATGATGATGGGTTGTAAGCTGCACTAATAGAATTAGACGATTTGGAGGGAACTGCCAGCAGGATAGGAGGGGGCGTGATGCATCTTCGTGGTTGTAACACCAAGTAAGATCTCTTTCGCATGTCGCAGAATGCTATTAAGTCTGATTCTCCTAGCATGAGACCATTTAATCTCATTCCGTACCTGAACAGCAATGAAAAATTACTAAATGACGACGACAGTATGTGCGCTGCTCACCTGGTTACAATGTCTTGGCATTTGAGTGTGGTGCGCGCCTGTCCATTGATAGCAACAGTGCAATTCTCACCGCCAATTCCATACAACGTGGCTCGGAAACCCTTTCTGTCACCTTTAACCATGAACACTTCTTGGCCAATGATGTTGTTAAAAGAATCCAAGGACACGTTAAGTATTTTCGTCACAAATCCAATTGGGACGTCGATCTGTTCCGAGTCAGATATGCCTGTGTCGAGTTGAATTTCACTCACAAGCGAGTGATCACTCTCAGAAAGTAGCGTTAGGCGAGCCTTCGGGAAGTCGACGCTCTGCACGATCCCTTTCGTCTGGTACTCCGGCCCACGCGCGACCCTTACAACATCTCCAGGCTTGAGGTCATAACCCTTTTCCTTGGTAAATTTAACTGTCTGGGGTAGGCGCGTCTGCTGGACAAATGCCACAGGAATTTGAATACTTGGAGGTCCTGAATAGTACTCTGTATAATGCAAAGTTGACGTCTGAGGAGACTTATCCTGGAACCACAGCTGGGTTCCTCCAATAGCCTGAGGAGACCAGGTCATGACACCCCGCTTCCCCATGTGTTCTCCCACAAGAACTTCTATATAATCTCCGATTGAGACTCAGGGGGAGGTTCAAAATGTTGATACAATGGTAGATGTGACTGCGTCGTGCAAGTCTGGTGACAATGATCCAAGTAATATCTTGAAACTTGCACCTATGCACCAAGCGTTAGTTGTAGATTTTCTATTCGCGCAAAAGAATTACCTCCTCCATGGAGACCCCTTGGCAAAGGCGAAACAAATAATTGTCCATTTGAATGACATGGCCTTCTAAACCCAGGTATGAACCTGCTATGACCCGAACCGTGTCCCCGACCCAAAAAACGCGCTCCATGTCCTCAAGTCGAGCTTCCAGCTATTCCCGATGTCTGTCGAGGGTTGATTCGATGCATGCGGAGCCACCAAACCTATGGTCTATCGACACGACCGTGCCAATCTTTGATGGAACTACTCCCGTGATGATCCTAACCACATCTCCCACACGCAGAAACTGCTTGGAGAACGCCACGATGGATTTGTTGACAAAGGGTGTGTCAAACCCCGACTGCAGATGCAGTCTAATGTCATCAGCGTGGGGGCAAGCAACAACTTCTAGTTGATAGCGGTGGAATTTCTTAAGGAGCAGTCCCCTGTAGTATCGCTGTCCTTTGTATGAGCATCCTATAATTTTGCCATTGTGAATGATATCTGTAACTTCCTTGTCCTTCGGAAGGTGAGAACGGTCGAGCAGAGCTTCACATCCCGAAGGCCTTGGATAGGGAAACTCTCGAGCGACGACTAAGACATCGACAAAAAGGTCCGACTGGTCTGGGCCGAAGACATAGCCTATGACGCCCTTGTACATGCCAGATTTGACTCTTACCCACGAGGGGTTGGGAAATTTGATGTTTGAGTGTTCCACCATGACGTGTTCTTCATCCGAGATGCGATAGTAGTCTTTTACTGAGAACTTATGTGAAGCCGGAAGGGAGGATGCAATCGTTCTAGGGCTATCTGAGACCACGTAGAGCTGCCCCGGCAACCAAGGCGACATGGTCACGGGGAATCCTTTACCATGAAGATATTCAGCAATATAAACCGTAGCAGTTCCTAGGAAGTGATGAGGAACATAGTACACGATGAACCAATAGACATACTATGGACATGCAGAAGATACATTCGACTCTCGAGCGTGGCGGGGGACCAGGCAGCTCTGTGAGAGATGCGGCTTCTTGAGGAGCTGGAGACCTTTGTCGCGTTGTTGTAGATCTCATCGATCTTTTTGGATAATGTATCCTTGGCTGACGGTCCTGGAATGGACGTAACCTTCAGCGATTGAGCAGAAGAGCCAACCTGATCCTGCGTGTCATAGTCACCATCTTCCTCTTCCTCCTCTTTGCTGTCTCCCTCGTTTGCTTCGATGTTGAGATACATATTCTTCCGCTACAATTCTTTGGTATGCATTCAGTAGATGTGAAAAAAAATCACTTACAGGGCGGGGTCGACGGGGTATGTACCTCTTCCTTAAGAGCTCAAGATTTCTCAAACATGCTCTGACATCGTCTTCACCAGAGAAAAGTGTGGTTTTGGCATCCTTCCAATCGTCCGCAGAGTATTGATCGCCGAGGTAAGATGAAAGTTTCTCTTCCATTTCACTGTAACTCATTTCGGTTTCAAGGAATTGAGCTAGAATGTGCCATGTGCCTCGATCCACCAGCGGTGATGGCGCTGCATTAGAAGTCCCTGTACAATGATGTTCCTATTTAGCTATGACAAGAACGATGGCCTGGGTTATATGACGAGTCATGGCTTACCTTCATAATTTCTGCTTCACATGCGCTTCGAAGCAGGTTCAAGTGCATTATCACTTGGTGCGGCACGTTTAGCACTACTACTAGTAGCAGTAGTAGACATCATGATTGTTACGATCCTGCCTGTACTCTAAAGCATTAATGCCCTGTAAGGAAGCCAAAACATAGCATACTGACGATAACTTGAACTTAGTCTATTCAAAGGTCTATCCTATGTTGTATACTAGTATCGATGTAGATAGAGAGAGTAGAAAGAAGACCTATGAATATGCATAATCAGAATTTATAGTGAATGACTAATTGTGGACATACTACTTTCTGACGGTGTGAAGTGTTGTGGACCGTGCACTGGCATGGCACTAGCACGGCCCACACAATGAACTTTTGTGGGCATTGTGGACCGATGGCGCGGGTAAATAAATTGTCACGTCCCGCCCGCCCACCACGATTTTGGACAATATGTACATTAAAATTTGCCAAGTCCTGCAGCCTCGCACTGCCCACATACTGCTACATAGTAGTACTACTAGGTATAGATGCAGCCGGCAAAGTCTCAAATTGAACTAATAGTATGTACTACTACTCTACACCTCTCTACACATAGTCACACGAAACCATATGATCATCATTGTGATCGAAGTCGAAAAAGAGACATCCACGGCAAGCACCGCACAGTTGATATATTGAATGACTACGTATTCAGACCCAGCCCGGAAATGCCCGATTACTAAGTGAGCTGAGTTCCGGTTGAGTTTGAATTGTCATTCACTATATCATCTGCGTCATTTCTTTCAGAGGATTTCTTTCCAACCTCCATCTCACATTACCGATATGTTACCGTTACTACATACTTGATTATTACAATCATTTCATGTTACTTCTTATTTTCTGTGTTCGATTATTTATTGAAATACCAATTCTTGAGTCTCAAGCATAGAGAGAAGCTTTTTCATCTGAAGCATTGGACGTATAGTTAGTTATCATTAGTTGAAGTTACTAGTACAGCTGCATCGAGATAACTGTTCTTTAATGACTGGTTATGAGTTTAAAATTTTTGTAAGTCTTTAATAAAGCGGAGGACTTGAGAACATAATAATGATTTTCCCCGACTCAGGAGTTGTTCCTTACATGGGAACGTCGGAGCGGTTGCGTTGCGCGGACTCCGTGTCACTCCTGCCAGGTTAGGTGATAAACTTGGTCATGTAAAGCCTGACGCCAATGAAGCCTCACAGACTGATCCTTACGATGGCCTCGAAGTGGCTCGCAATGATGAACTCACAAACTTCCTGCACCTCTGGAATTCAGTTCATCCGGGCTGTAACATTCTCCCGTAACCTCGCGGCATAGCACAGCGGACACTACATTGTATCATAGCAGCTTTGCATGTGATAGGTTGTGGCCTCCAAATCGGTAAGTGGCCCTCACATTTAGTACGCCCATTAGATTGAATTGAGCTCAATTGTGATGTAAAGACAATGAATACTCCCAGGAACCAGCCACGCAAGCATAATACTTTCATGAGCTAAACTCCAGTATTGTTGTCGCTTGAACGCTAACGACCCAGGAGAAGAATGGGCATTAATCAATGGTAAGTCGAATAATTTACGGATGACCGTTATATTGAGTTCTATGACGTGTAGTAGGGTGCCGCGAATATCTACGGGCAAGTCCATTCATGAGACACTTGGTCTCTTGTCAGTGACACAATTATTGTTCTCAAGTATAGGTTCCTATATCCACAAGGGTTTGACTGTTCCAACCCAGATGTCTGGAGCCCGGTTGTCACAAACCATTATAGTTAGCCATCATGGGTGTATGTGATTTATATTGGTAGCTCTTACTTCTGACGTGCGAGTCAGCATTCAGCTGTTGACCTGGACAACCTTGGTATTTTCCAGAGTTCCAGGATGGATCTTTCGATGCTTGGGGCCCAACGGTGACCAGGTAAATCATTAGTATACGCCTTCGTTAAGCCTTCACCTGACCTTCCTATCAGGTTACGATTAATGCCGCATACTACTCACGGGATTCAATTTCGAGAATGTCTTCAACCTTAATGTTTGGACATCTAACTTGAAACCAATCAACTACATGATATACGGACAAGCCTTACATTCTCGTTTGTTATAAAATAGGTACGTTCCCTTATCCTAAATTCTTACTTGATGGTTCAAACTCGGACATGATATCTGCTCAACTCAAAGCCATCATTCTCTTCCAGTTCTAATACTCGTCATCACCGTCCACACAGCTAGAAAAGAAGGTGGGGGAGGGAGCACCATACGGAATTTGAGGGGGGTGAGTCACATGGATGTTAGAGGGCATGTGGTATTCGAGGTTGTTGGCCCGGTAGTATTCTTCCAGCCATCTATCTCTGTACATTTACACCCTATCTGAAAGGTAAGCAGCATTGTTTTCTGCGTTCATTAAGTGTTCCTTGACGAGTCGTAGTTCAGATTCTTCACTTATGCCTTGTTCATTGGAGACTAGGTGCCTTTCAATACAAATTTCCTCCATCAGAATATTAAATCTCACCCGTAGTCTGTGTCCCCATATCGATCAGATTTCTGTTCTGATAAATTTGCCTGTATGCTAAATCTTTTTGAGTTGATCTGTATCAACTCACTCACTTGCAATCGATGCCGACTTGTATGTCTTTTGCGTCGTTGATGCCTCTCAGCTCACTTGATGAGGACAGTTGAATCCTGCAAGATTCATCTGTTCAAATTTTTGGTAGTGCATGTCACATTAAAGAAGTCACCTGAACGTGACATTTTTTTCGACATGGAAGCATTGTTGCAAACCTTTTCGAGAGGGTGAGTCCGGCGTCGGTGGGCTGCTATGCATGATGCTGATAATTGTGGCAACAGTGCCAACCTGACTTATGTATAAATGTACGATGCTGTCATCTGAGGCAACACACCCGTCCACCGTCGGTGCCAGGATAGCGGGTTTTTTTTAGTTCCGAAATGAATAACGATCTAACTGCGCTTTCAATGCCGTTATGATATCTGCAGCGGACGGAAGGTAAATTTTCTGCTACTTCCTATCCTATCGCATATAAACCGTCTCATGTAGCCACTGATATTTCAGCCTCCCGATTCCTAAACTTGAGTATGAGTGATGATGAAAATCATCCGTCTGTTGAACCTTTGCGCAAGCGTAGTGGTTCGGCACTCCATTCGGGCCCGCGTAAAAAGGTGTAGGTTGTGTTCGACATATTATAATCCTACCATTCTAACTCTCCTTCAACAAGGACATCATTGAACCCCCTTGTTCTGCATGGTCGACATTTTGGCCGTACTGTGTTTGCAATGTGCAACTATCCTGCCCTTCTGACCGCAGGTATACTCCGACTCGAAGAACTACGAGACTCTTCGATCGAAGATTATCCTGCAGAGTGAGTGTAATTTTGACGTTTCAATGTCAGTACCCCCTTACATCTCTTTCAATTTTAGTGTTCGCTGGGAACACAGGGTATTCGTGGAATTAATAGATTCCTACCCTGGTCTTTTAGATCGTCTGACGAATGACGAAGAAGAGGACATCATTCACGTGGGAGAACTGGTAAGTTTTTGATACTGTAATGTCATCATCACAATCACCTTCTGGCAGATGGGTAAAGGAGCGTCTGGTGCGCGAGGCGACGACACCAAGACTCTTAAATCTGCCATCCTCGAATGGCTTGTTCCTAGAGGACAGCCACTTATTCCGCTTCTCGCCCGAAATATTAAATCTGACCGTGGCTTCAATCATGAAGCAACTGGCGTGTTGCTCTGCCCGGCAGGCCTTGACTGGTCGAATGCAGAGTAAGTGTTTTTACCATTCAATTACCTACTCATCAAATCACTTGCCCAGAACCAAGCAGAGCCTCAAAAGCGGTGAAACTGCAGTTCGTGGTGATCAGTGGCCGATGTTTCTTTATGCTGGGTATGTCTATGATCCTGAAGATCCTTGGACTGGCAAGGCTCCACGCACACTACAATTCTATCTAGGAACAGATGAGGAACACACAGTATATGAAGCTGAAGCGGTGGGACTCACGTTAGCAGCACATCTGCTTGCCACGGAATAACAGGTGACCTTCCCAATGTCTATCTCAGCAGACAATCAGGCAGTACTAAGATTCAGTGAGAGTACGACTCCCAAAGCAGGCCATTATTTGATCAAGCACTTTAACAAAATAGTGGACTCCATCAAGAAGAAGGCCAATTGCGGCCGCCATGTCCTAGTGACCATTCACTGGATTGTGGCACACAGCAAGGTAGCGGGAAATGAGTTAGCAGATGAGGAAGCCAAGAGAGCAGCAAAAGGTCCACAGAATAGCAGCAACATCAAAGACCTACCCCAGTATCTAACCTCAGGCCAACTCCCAGACAGTATTTCCGCCATCAAACAAGCTCACACGAAGAACACCAAACTTAGATGGGAACGCCTATGGTCAAAGTCACCAAGATAAGCACAAACCACAGCTCTCAACCCCAACATCCTATCTCGCTCCTTCCTTAAACTCGTTGCAGACCTCCCTAAATGACTCATCAGCTTGTTCATGTACTTCTGTCATATCCCACATTCCGGACCAACATCTGACGACGTTCCCACGCCTCATCCGGACCTCCGGACCTCCTGTCCATGTCTCCAGACCCAATCCTCTATCCGTCCGGATCCCTGTACTCCTGCATCTGATATCCGGACGCCAGATCTGATATCCACATCTCCGGATCTCCGGATCCGACCTATCTGTCATGTCCGAACCCAAACCTTAAATCAGCGCCCATCCCCTTATGGTAATCACCTGTCTCCGGACTTCCGAACATCCGGATCCGACCCACGTCTATCTTCCTTGCGTTCCGGACCCGGACCTATCACACATTCATCTCCGGACATCCGGATCCGACTCGCATCTATCTTCCGTGCCTTATCCCTTTGTATGTTCCTTCTTGAGTTAGACTTCCTCATTTTCCGTACCTCATTTCATCTCCGAGTTCATTTCCTATGATCCGTCTTATTTTCTAATACATTTCCACATGCTCGTACATAGCCTTACCCCTCTGCTTACTGATCTGCACAGACTTGCCTCTAGTATATAAACCCCAGTAGATACTCCTGTATTTCCTCAGTCTGAATATCATACACATATTAGTCCTCGCACTAGCCTTCACCCTAAGTCCTCGTAACAGTTCTAGTCCTCCGACTTAGTCATTATCCATCTCAGGCCTAGGGAGGAATTCCCTAGGCCGGAGCTCCGCTCCTCCGCTCCTCTGCTCATCCATTCCTCCGAGTTTCCGGAAGTTCCTCCGAAACTTTCCCGCGGTCCTCCGGACCTATTCTGCTTTGGACTTTGTCCTTGCAGCCTTTCCTCTGTTTGCTTCTACTCAGGACTTGTCCTGAGTAGCCATTACACATATCCCTGTCAGGACGAAACTCCATCGTAATTTCCGGAAGTTCCTCCGGAACTTTCCCGCACTCATCCGGAAGTTTCTCGCACTCGTCCGGAAAGTCCTTCCGAAGTTTCCCACGCTCCTCCGGAAGTCCTTCGGACTTCACTGGACTTTCTCCGGACTTCATTCTGAAGTTAAGGGCACATACTCGGGTAAGGGGCGCAGCGCACGAGCTGAAGCCAAGCCCCTTGGAATCAGTCCTACCCTTTGTGCACGGTCTTAACAACTTCCGCACCTGCCACATCGCCCTAAACCTCCACCTCCATCGTATCAAATGCAGCAAAACCCCCAATTGCCCCATCTGCATAGATCAAGAAAGAACTAGAGACTCAACTCCCACATCAACGCGCCCTTCCTAACCACTACCACTTTTCTATTATAGCTTCATGTACTGACTGCCCCGGCAGTCGAGTATGCGCTTCAGACCTCTACTCACAACAGACACACATATCATACCGTACCAGAGAGACATAGCCACAAGTCTTTGAAAGACTGCGCATCTAAATAATCCCTCATTACTACAGCAGTGGGAGACACAGGAGCGAGAAGCCCAAGTCACTCAGATGAATGATCCTTCAGCACTGGATATATACAATGTGCAGTTATGCAAGGGTGAGGTCTCATGTCTTCCACATTCGCATCTCAGCACTGAATCATGAGGAAAAACTGTTTTGCACTGGAGAGCTTTATAGATAGGGTCGAAAATGACCTGACTTTAACACTGTTTAGGAACTGTATAACACTCTACAAAGAGCTCTATGGCAACTTTGACAAGGGCTAGAACTTTGATTTTCATCGGAAAATGTTCCCACGGTCAAGATGCTTTCTTGAACCATCCACTTTTGAGTATTTTCCTTATAACTCACTAGGATCTTAACCTATTGATGTCATAAGACCATGGATAGACTGTCCTTGATAATGGCTAGAACTTTGATTTTCATCAGAAATTATTCCCACAGTCAAGGTGCTTTCTGGCCTGATAAAATTTTGGATGGTGCTTTTACAGTGCTTTCTGGCCTGATAAAATTTTGGAAGGAGCTTTTACGCATGCTTTCTGGCCTGATAAAATTTAGGATGGTGCTTTTATGGTGCTTTCACGGTGCTTTCTGGCCTGATAAAATGTTGGAAGGAGCTTTCGTGCATGCTTTCTGAACCTTCCAAGTTGGGAAGGAGCTTTCACGCATGCTTTCTGAACCTTCCAAGTTGGGAAGGAGCTTTCGTGCATGCTTTCTGAACCTTCCAAGTTGGGAAGGAGCTTTCGTGCATGCTTTCTGAACCTTCCAAGTTGGGAAGGAGCTTTCAGGGGTGGCGCTTTCTGGCGCTTTCGAACCTTCCTAATTTGGCAGGAGCTTTGCCCCCCCCCACCCTGGGGGGGGCCGTTCAGATTATTAGGCACACACACACCTACTAGTACGAGTCGAACCTCAAATTAGTCCACCGGGAGTCCGTGTTCGTATCTGTGCTGGTAGAATCAGAATTCTTAGGAGATAAGACCAAGTATTGTTAGTAGGCATAATAGGACCTGCACGAAATATGTAACTCGTCATATTACTTGGTTTTGAAACGTAGTATTGGAATCAAGGATGGGGTTTCCGGCGAGAGCACGGCTGCCGCGTCTAGTGGGTTGAAGTTCCGCCAACTTCGCAACTAGTCAAGCTTTCAAGGCTGTTCGAGACCTAGACAAGCCGAGGTATGTTAGTGCTAAAATAGAGACACTAGAACTTAGCTCGGAATTGTTTCTTCAGGTTGATCGTCCTTAAGGTCAAATGTGCCTATACATATGGGGGGCCTTCCCCAGATTGGTAAACACACAATCGGACGTATCGGGTATATGTGCTCCATCATGGTTATGCAGCGCGTGCTCTTAATTCAATCAGCAAATGCTCGGATAAGAGTCATAAAACAAGGGCGTTCTTAACTTGGCCACAAGGTGCATCTAGATGAAAATAAATATAGTGGGCTCCATGGAGTAGGTGTGAAAATCCGGTGGAGATCACAACTAGTCCGGGCAAGCAACCGGGCACTAGCAGCCCTGCCTAAATGCTTTGATTACACATGTTTACTATTTTTATTCAACCACGACTCACTTATGAAGCCTTACACTGAGTACCAGCAGGCAAGTAATGCCAAGTCACTGCATTGGAACCAGACGACTAGATTACAAGCATGTCAAGATATGATAAGTATGACAGTCCAAGCGGCGTATCAGTGACACTGACAAAGCGTGAGGCGAAGGGGAATCCGAGGCAGAATAGAGCACGAACGCACAACGAAAAGGAGCACGCCAAAAGCACGAACAAATCTGCAAGAAGTCCTGTAAGAACGCGATTGTTCGCCGGATGACTGCTTGAAGGGCAGTAGACGGATTCGCTCTTGAAATGCCTGCCCCAGGATTGCTGGATGCTTGACGTCTAGTCTATCTAGGTCTGTTAGAACCGTGTTTTCCTCGAGCGTCAGTAACAAGCTTGCCGCTATCGACCGCCAGTTGACTGACCCTAAGTCGTTCGACCACGTCGTTCGTCTGACTACTTGGAAGCTTTTAGGCTGTCTTTGGGTAGTAGGAGCTTTCGTTAGGAGGCGCACTACAGCAGGTAGTACTACATTCTGTATTGCGTTCGGGGAGCTGGCCGATTTATGGTTACAAGATGAGTGACGGATCACGGTAGAGTCTACCATCAACCATGGACTCTTGCCTGACCGGTGTTCAGAAGATGAGAATGCACGAGTTTGTCATTTTATCTTCGAGAGTGTCAGAATTTGGGGCGGTCTCTAGAAACATAGACGTTGGACTAGGACGAAGGCAGTGAGGGGAGGACTCTATGATGCGTGATGTTGTGCTACACTATGAACAGAGTTTGGCTATGTGCGCGTGTCGCTGACTAAGCTATGGCTATCGCCGAAGGACCAACTGCCTCTTGTCTATGTCTCTTCTCTTGGTCTATGCCTTGGGACCCCTGGTCCAACGTCTCGAGTTCTAGAGTCGTTACTCCTCTTATCATAACTTGAAGTTTCGATTCGGGCTGAGCGTTCAAGCTCCGTCAGGTGTGCACGTGATCACATTCCCTACCGTTGACTGACAAGAGTTGAAGCGCTTCAAGTGCATCGCAGTTACTCGTAAACTTGTGCCAAGGTTCTACCTAGTGCACTGGGGATACACGAGGTCGGCGACCCGCCAGCTCCTGCTTGGCAATTTTGGTGCTGAAGCCGCAAGTTCACGGGACTTGTGCAGGCTTTGCCAAGTCCTCAGGCTCCGACTCGTCAGTCACGCCCACAGCTATTCGCGGCATGCATGTTCTCCATCCCGGATTTAATGGGCAGAATGCTCTGATTATTACGGCTGTCCTACACCGCTGTCGGCTATGCTATCGTCAAACTGATTCGTGGGGAGAGGCACCTCAATGCACCTCAATGCATTGCCCCCGCCGGTTATATCATTGCCTTGTTAATCGTCGCTTTCCACCGGCCCCAGTGGTGTCAGCATGATACAAGAAAAGCCCCTGTCGAATACCGTAAGCTGCAGCCTGCATGACTGAAATACAAATGCTAAAAAGTGAATTTTGCTGTCTTCTGACTACTTTCGTCACAGTCGTTCCTCTTGCCATCAGTCTAATACCATGCGAGAAATGCGTGCTCGGACTGTGATGGACGGCAAGACTGAGCATGCATTTTAGTGCTCTGAGCGGCACGGTCTGTTTTCTAGCAGGAGCCTCGTGTCACAACGCGACGTTCACTCCTAGTACAGTTCTACGCCGACCACACTTATATAAAAACTTATGTCGCCTTCTATGCGCTTCTTCATATTCCATTTCCGCTAGTTGCGCCATTTACCCCGGCTGTCTATTGCAATGTCTGAACTCGACTATGGGCGACCTCGACCGGGAGATATTCGTATTGACACAAGCTTCTTACGTTCCCCCAGTACTACTCGGGATTTCCTTGGGGAGGCAATGCCCAGGGACAGATATTCCAGGGCAAGCCATGCATCGCGTGTGCGAGATATTACTTGGATTTCGGCCTCTCAGCCGTCCCAGTACCCTGCAACCCAAACCCCTCGAACCCCTCACTGGCAACATTCGGGACATGAAAGGAAGCCTCAGGGGAAGAAGACGTTTTACGGTGGAATCATGAATGGGTTGAAAAGTATACCGAGGGCCATTCGAGAGGACGTTTGAATTCAAAGGACCATGCTAAGCCAGCGAAGCAAAGGGGCACATCATCGTACCATCAAAATCCTCAAGCCTCGTTGGGGCTATCAGCATCTTTTTTCCCGAGTTCTGAAACGACTGGGACCACCTCAGGCCACGTTGTGCGGCTCAAGAACTACATCTCGTCCCTTGGATTGTCCTTCCCCATCGTCAATGTCGACACCTGGCACATCGTCAACTGCCCCAGCCTCCTATAAGACGCCTCTATTTTTCCTCGGCTGCCAGTGACGTCGGGAGATCGGAGATCCCAGACGCTTCTTGTACCCAACTTGAATGGCTTCTGAGTTGTGTTGGTTCGTTTCTCCCCCATTACTTGCACTGCTTCTGACTTCCAAAAACGATTGCGTTGCCTAGCAATCCCAAGCCCCGTGCTATCTTCGTCGGCGATAGCAATGAGTGGACTGAATGGACTGTCGATCAACATGCGAATCTCACCAGGTCAGCGAGATTCACATTTCCGGCGCATTGGGAAGAACAGATACTGCGTTGAGGAGTGCTGATCAGGCTGCTGCCATCAGAGGGGTCGTGAATGGCTGTCGTATCTTCATTCCTGTCGTTTCTTTTCCTTCTCCCTTATTTTTGGCAAAATTTACGTAGGTTGATAAAGTATTATACAAGCATCAGCATAATAGCATCTAATGTCAAAAAGTTTCAACTCTGAAGAACATGTGTATGTCTCGCAACTGTGCTACTTAGTAGATAAACCATTGAACAAAGTCCCGCATCCCTCCAAAATAGTGGTCGTCCGCTGTCTGAGCTCAACTTCATGGTGGCTATTTGCAATGATAACTAGTCGTTAACCCAGAGTTACAATGCATTTCCAATGCATCAGCATAATGGCATCTGATGTCAAAAGATTGTAAGAAAACTCCAATTCATTCTGAAGTATCACTGTTTACCAAGGTGCGTCTTCGTCGTCAGCAGGATCTTCAAGAACTCGTTGACAACAATTCTCAAACAAGTTTTCCCATCCAAAGCCCTCGGCAGGACGTTGGAAGCAAGCATTGGCCATGTAGATGCAAACCGCACCTAGTGCCAAATTAGAGTCCATGGAACGAACTCTGCCATCCGCTTTTTGCAAGCTCTTGAGGACTAGACGAATTGCGGCCAGACGATAATAGACAAAAAGCCTAAAATGACGTATCAGCTGAGGGACGCAAGTTAATGCCATGCGGATGCGTTCTTACCACGACACTCTTCTTTCAATAGCGACGACACAGCGCTTAATGAGCTCCTCGGGGAGGGTGGACAATGAGTTCATGGCATTGGCCAACGAAACCCGAATTTCCAAGCGAGCGCAACCATCGCGACCTTCCACTCCTCCTTCACCAGCGCATTCAAAAAATATGTTACTCATGATGTCCATATCTTTGATTATATTGTTTTCGGTCTCCTGCAGAAGCTCCTTGGCCTGATGTCGACGGAACACCCCTGGATTCATAGAGTACGTCACATTCTTCTCGGTGCAATACGCCTGCACATACGATGGACCCAATGCACCTGCACAATGGGTCGTAGTGGCACGAAAGCCGGCAAATTCTTTGATCTGCAGTGCGCGGTCCAGATGAAACCGGTTCTTGTTATTGATCAGGCGAGAGATCTGCTGTGTGGATGTGGCAGACATCAGATAGCTCAAGAGCTCGCGGTGAGAAGATTCGCGCCATGTGACAACGTGCCCTGGTACGCCGATGGTCAGTGCAACATCCACGTGCCATTGCTCAGGATCTAAGCTGTCGACATCGACATGCTCAAATAAATCGTCCATCGCCAGGTGTCGCTCATCTTCATCCCTCCCGTTGTGGATGGTAGCACCTTTCGTTCCTCTCAGCCCAAAATAGGCGTCCCTGAATCCAGGTCCCAGATCCGCAAGTTTGGCTAGCAGAGTCGTTGCAACCTGTTCTAACCTATACCAGGGAATGTCTGTACTACTGAAAGCGAGCGAACCAGTGCGACTCCTGGATTGTGCATAAGTGGTCGGCCATTTATCGCGTGATTCGGGCACAACCTCCAACATTGTAGGACGGAGGCATTGATCGTATATGAGAGCTAATTTGTCCTGGGTCAATTGGTCGACCGGCCATTCTGTACTGTAGAGCCGCGGGAAAAAAATTCTCACAACGTGCCGTTGCTGAACGTTGCCCAAGGGCATGTTGGGAATTGTGTGCATCAGAACTTCAATCTCTGCGCCCTGGTTCTGGTTAGGATGCATATATAACAACCACCATTGACTGTGTTTCTCACCTGACTATTATACGCACGACTCTTGACATGATTGTCTTTCTTCAATGTTTCTTTGAATGGAGGAAGGGGCCAGATCGATAGTGTGCTGGTATATGGTAGCGTGTCCGATACCCCAATGACCGAGTCGAGGTCGCGAGTAATATCGATCTCAGGAGGAGTGGGAATGCCTTGTAAGCAATTTAGACGAACTTGGTATTGGTCGAGCTCTTCATCTGCGAGTGGCCCAACCCTTGCGGCTAGCACAAAGCGAATGAAATCAACCTCCGTCTGATCGTCCTGCATCTGATGTCCAGAATGACCGACAAATTCTTTCATCGTTAATTGGGAAATATCGATAATTTCATCTGGGTATTGCATAGTGAGCGAGTAAGTGCAATGACAGTGGGGGGACAACTACCAGTCACAGTGCCACTGACGCCCATATACTTATACAAGGTACGTTAGGTTGATTGATGGGCATGATGCATGGAATTACCATTCTAGGTATGTGCTGAGTTTCAAAGTGACTAACATTCCGGCGCCACGTCTGAAATGTCGGTTGTCAGTGCCGAAAGTACTGCATGACAAAATCGCTTAAGCAGTACTTACCATCCTGGGTATATGACGACGGAGATGAACTTAGTGGCTCTTCATTGCGATTGAGCGTCTTTACGACGTCCGTCCCGCATTGACCTGCAGATTTCAGCAGGAAGCGAAATAGCATGAAATGAAATGTTTGCAGCGACTCCAGCGAAAGCCTAGTCGATGGTATCATGTCACTAGTAAGGGACCCGTCTTCATTCTGCGCAGCAGTCTCGACTTGCTCAGTCGATCCGATTCCGGTTCGTGTACGTTCCTGGTATTGTGAGCTGTTGATGTAGGCAAGGACGAGTCCGCGTTTAAATTTCAGCTCTTCGGGATCTCTATATGTAATGAAATCTGGTGCCCGTTTCGATCGCAAGAGTGTCTGTACAAAATTTTGCGGATTTGCATGACGGGGGGGTCTATTGCGTAAGAACGAGTGCTTCCGCTGAGACGAGATATCGTCGATATGCATCTCTTGCCTGTACAGTCATGAGGATAATAATTTGACGTGGGAGTGGATATGCTCTGCGCTGGCCGGCAACAAAAAGAGAAATGAAGTCATGCGCGACCCCTCTGATGGCACCAGCATCAGCACTCCTCGATGTGGTGTCTGGTCTTTTTGATGTGTCGCAAATTTGCATCTCGCTGGGCTGGTGAGTGTCGCCTGTTGATTATTCAAACCACTCAGTGTTATTGCTAGCGGGGAAATTAGGTGACTTGGTATTTCTGGGCAACACAATCGTTTTGAGTCGAAAGGAGTACAAATAATGAAGGAGAAACGGACCGACGTAACTCAGAAGCCATTCAAGTTGGGTACAAAAAAACGTCCGGGATGTCCTGGCTCCCGACGTCACTGGCAGCTGACGAGAAACAAAGGCGTCTTATAGGAGGCTGGGGCATTTGACGATGAAAAAGGACATTCCAAATGGCGAGATGTAGTTCTTTATGGCGCGCCAGACGCAACGTTACCAGAAGTTTGCAAAAAATGACAGGTTTTCTTTGTCTAAGAGGCAGAGTTCCTTGACGCAGGGCATGAGATGTTGCGAAGGGACTGGTTTGCCCCGCAGATAGCCGTTTGCCGAAATGCGGACATTCCTGTAGAAGATGATGAACGTACGCTCTGTACTTGGACTCTTCATTGGCAAATCCACGGTCAATTGTGTGCTCGATCTGTCCGTTGTGGAACTGAACAGTTGATGGTAGCTGAGTTAATTTCATGAAATACTGACATAATCAGCTGCGCTTGTTAATTCTTGACAAACTTCAAAGCTTCAAGCTTTATATGATATCATTTGCCTGCCGCGCCAGATGGTAAACTCGAAGCAGCCTGAACTCGCACGGTGTCGAAAATCGAGCTGTGGGCAAGATAGAGCATCCCGTTGTGTCGAAGGATATAGCACTAGGTACGCGTCAGGTCGGTATGCTCTGTCTCATAACCATATGGACCGAATACTTTTCTTGGGCCAGCTTGAATCGTTTCAACGCCTTTCAACCTATTGACCGCCTCTGTCTACCGGCGACACTCCCCAACAAGAAACATCATGATCCGATTGATTGGTGTGTAATCATATTTGTGACATGTGGATTTCATATCTTATTCGAAGATCGAAACCTACTAGTCTCCTTGAGTACTAGTGCGCCGCAGTCTAAAATTTTTATTTGTTTATTTGTTAGGAACCAAATAAAATGAAAGACATAAATAAAACACTGGCGTGTCCGAATCTCCCATCCAAGCTTGACAATACCTGCGTCTGCTGTCTGCTTTTCAACCACCTGAGCCGCTTCGGGTGTCCATTCACACCATTGTGTTCTCCATGCTACCGTTGAGCTCTTCGCCGCTTCCAGCCACAACGTCTATTCTTGAATAGACCTTAATCCTAATCGTTCCACCTGCGGGGGAGAACACACTTCTACTTGCGTGGGCCACAAACACTGAGCAGCGACGGTGTTTTAGTTAGTGGGGTTGGGCCGGTTTTCGACGGTGGTCTTCCATGTGCGCCTCGGCGTGCACTCTGGGTCACGCACAGATCTCTGTCACTAGAGATTGATCTACCCAGTGTCGCTCTGGAAATAACCACAATCCCGTCTTACATCTTGACCTTGGCCTCTCGTGGTTCACATTCTTCGGCAAGTCAACGCACGTTTCCCTCCAGCGGTCAGAGTCTTTGACTCTCACCTCGGCGTCTTTTCGCATGTTTTGCCCGCCGAGAGCAGTGTTGTTTTCTTGTCCTTGGGATTGAGAAAATGACCATAGGCTCAAAAGCGCCAACCAGCGCAGCAAACGGCCTGGCTTCGCGGCGATCTGCGATATGGAATATGGTTTGGATTATACTTGGTTGTGAATGTGGTACGTACAGGAAAGTGCTACTAACGACTGCTTTGGTTAGAGCGTTACGGATCCGGTTGTATCTACAGTCCCTGCAGTATCGACTCCCCTACCCTACATGTCAGAGACATGCTAAGGAGTTCCTGCGTGCGATAAGCCTAGTCCCATGCTCGTACGCTTGTTGGAATCTCCTGCGATCAGGCTGACTGCCCTCGGTTCACATTGGAGGCTATTTGCTCGAAGCCGGCCAAGACTAGATCTGTCGAATGCGCTGCTGCTTTTTCACTCGTCCTCCAATCTACTGGTCTGTCCCTCGTAGCCATGTCCGGTCGCCGCACCATGAAATACTCAGGATCCCTACTGGCAGATTCGGCTGGTCGATCCCATCTTATTTTGTCCTTTAGTCATGGGTTTGGCTCCTCGCTGAGTTTATTACTGTCAGCCCGCTGCATCACCTCTCCCACGGGAGGGGCGATAGAGATTTGTCTCGAGGTCAGTGGTGATGGGATAGCCGCGGCGTCATGTCCACTCTTCAGGCGACAGGATCAACGCACTGGACGGGTAGATCTAGAAGTGTCATGTTCATGACGGGTGAAGGGCTCGTGGAAGCTGTGGCTGCCTTGGTTTACCGTGACCAGTACACGAACAAGTAGGCGATTGGAAAGTTGCTAGCCAGTGCGTTCCAGACTACGAGCAATGGCAGGGCGGTAACAGGCCCCAAGGGTTACTGAAGGTGACTTTGATGTCGTGTCATGGGAGTGATGAACATCGTGCGCGTGTGGATGGATGGTCTGAGTTGTGAACGATGGAGATGGTCCGAGTCGTATGAACGATGATGATGGTCCGAGTTGTGCAAACGACGAGGATAGTCAAAGTTGTGGAACGATGAGGATAGTCGGAATTGTGGAACAACGATGATAGTTCGATGGAGCGGTGGCGAGGCGAACGCACGTATGCCACCCTTGTTGCGCGGAGCGCACTTGGGATTGGTCCATAGCGGGGAAAGCCTTTGGCTTCGAAAGTGGGTTGCAGCCTCCTTTACAGGGCTGCAGTGGGTTGGCGATTCATGAAATCGTCCAATTTTTTTACATCTCACTGTCTTCGTGACGGTTACTATTTGTGTACAAGCGGCCCGTTCATCTTTGGACTTTTTTTTTTTTTTACCGTGAATTACAATAAGAGATGGGCCTGTACACTACGTTCTCCGTTGTCTTTTCCTCTTCGTTTTCTGTTGCAAACAGCGCTTCGAGTGTCTCAGCGGGCATCATGCTCTCGAAAGTCCGGTCTGCATCAGCACTCTTCATCGCAGATTCATCGAGGTTCAGATTCCTCACAGGAGAGTGTGACACACTGTTATGCCACCATTGTCAAAGGCTTTAGTATTCGACAAGCGTCCGTTTCAAGTCCCTGGACCCTAACTATGGGGACCACTGACCCTCGCGCAAATATGATGGCAGCAATCGTTCTAGTCGCGCACCTTGTACTTGGTATTGTTTGCAACGACAGGCTCTTCGCCCACATCGCCGTTAGCCAACTCGTACGAGTGCGACGCTCCGTATCTATCGATCTTGATGTGAGAGCAAAATAGAGCGCTTGCATCAAGTTATAAAGCTCGCAATGAAGCCATCACTGATCCTGCATCGTCCAGTTACTCTTTTGATTCGCTCCAATTCCGCCATGTGTTACTCAAGATCGTTGAAACCGTTCTTCATTCTTTCCCTGCTGTGCGTGACCTTCGTCAGGATCACCGCGACCACATAATTACATGCAAACGTCGATGGATGTCTGTTTCATGCGAGCTGCCGAGGATTCAACAAGAAGAAAACACATTGGAGGGCCAGCTCTCGAGGTGCCCTCGATCTTCTGGAGCACCGTATTTGAACCAACACATGTCGGAAGCTTCTTTTTATATCCCGATGTACACACAACCTAGTCCACCATCGCCCGGGAGAAAGCGTGCATCATTGGTGAGTGATACATAGTAGATTTGCAAATCAACGATATCTCTGAAACTGTATAAGATTGGAATTAATTACAAAGGTCAACGCTGTGAACTAAGAGGGTGCAACAACGACATCCATAATATCTTACCATGCCTTATTAGTACGTGCAGTCGTTGGTAATTCAACGATGACTCTACGACTCCCTTTCAGATCAATGGGGATACGATCCCAGAGACATTGTACAATTAATTGATGACGGTTATCGCCCCCCACCAACTAGGCAAAATATCTTACTTGAAATGCACCGCCTGGCATCCTATTCAAGGGCCGGTGATTCCATGTTCTTTTATTGTACGTACTGTATTTGATGGCGTTGTTGGTCTTCTGAATCACGCGGTTGCTTACACAGTTTCGGGGCATGGAGGCCAAGTCCGCGACCTAGATGGCGACGAGGTTGATGGTTATGATGAATGTAGGATCCAAGCCTGATTAGGTTGACGTTCGCAAAGTCGTATGTCCAGTCGACTATCAAGAGTCGGGTGTGATTAACGACGATGTCAGATGTTTACCCTCTTAATCAAAGGATAACGCTGATTAGCTCTTTAGGAAATACATGAAATCATGGTCAGTATCATGACGCAAAGAACACCTCATATTTCACATGGTATTTCAAATAAGTCGCTGATAGAACGCACGCAGGTAAAGCCACTGGCAGCTGGCTCACGGTTGACGGTACGGAGAGTGATCGATGACGCGAAATCACTAAATAACTCAGCTTTACAGGCGCTTTTCGACGTAAGCAGAATCCTTGATACCGTAACTCCAAGTACTGAATGACTCCAGTCGTGCCATTCCGGCACGGTGCTTGGTGAGCTCTAGATCAACTCATCGCTGCCAAATTCTGAATGATAGTTAAGATTTGCCTTATCTTGTGAGAGAAGCAGTTTCCTCTGTAATTTTTTCTGATCGTCTCCATAGTATGACTCTAGACAATGCACGTTCGTCAATGGCGTTACGCCAGGTGCTCGCATTAGGAAGCACTCCCAGGCACAAGTTGTGAGCATCGGTTTCTGCGAGTTGATCATGCTTCTGAGCCAACATCGGACAGGTTTGTTTCTCGGGTTGTGAGGATTTCGAAGAGAGTGAAAGCATCGCAATGCCTGGTCGACCTATTGGTGGACTCATGACCTTTGTGCGTAACACTACCAAAACATCAGTTCCTTCTAACCTTCCCTTGAAGGCTTTCGTACATGTTTTCTGTCCGTGTCAAACTTCCATTGCTCGCCCAACTAGCTAATATTTGAACTTTGTTCAGCTTGCACGCAGGCTCTCACTTTCCAAAACAGATTCGAACAAATACGCGCGTTCGTCCGTGAGATCTTACCGGACGCCCGACAACATCCTCAGTTTTCCTGCTCGAATCCTCTCGTTTGTCGACGTATTCTTATCCAGACTATAGCCACTGATATTGCACAGGATATAACGTTGCCTTTCTATATCTGAACGCTCGGAAATTGGATTGGGTTGTAATCACTCCTTATATGTTAACATGATCGTGCGTATTTGATCTTGTTGACACCGCTCCGTTATGAGCCGCTCGTAAGTACGAAATGATTGGGCAATTGCTGAGGACAGTGCTCATCGATCAACAAAGAACCCGGGGTTGGTCTCCCCGAAGCCTGGATGCGGTTCACATGTCCTTCATCTAACATTTACACAGCGATGATTGGCCAGATTGGCACAAGTCACGCTACTTCTGTATCTTATCGCGCCTCTTCGGTCGCGAGAGTGATTATTTCATCGCAAGCCCCATAGTATAACCTCCGTACCGTTTTGCAAAGTCAGCGCTTCGCCTTCCTCCTATCCGTCTTTTTTGCGATGCACCTGTCAAACGAAGCTTGCCGAGACTGGTATATATCACCTAGTGATAGTGTGTTGTAGTCAATTTGACAGAATCATCTAGCGCTATGAGGGCGGGAGCTTGATAATCCTTACCCTAATAAAACGCATGGGTAGATTCTCAAGGGTTTCACTAGCTACTTGCCCACGCATTCTGAAGCGTAAATAGTAGTCATAAATTACCCTCGTCGATAAGCGCGTATGTCTGTCCCTCCTTCCAAGCTGACTTCGTATGTTTGCTACCTCCTGATCGTTATGTCCTCGCTAACGTAATCCAATGACTTGAACAGTCGCCGAAACAAGGAGTAATGTGACCGTCAATGCATGATGTGCCTACCTAGTATTGACTCGCTTCGAAAGGCTAGACAGATCAAGGAGTTCATACACTTCGTCCATCCCTGCAGTCGTTTCTGTGAGGCGACCGCCATCTCCGAAGTAAGCTCATTCAACTTCACGTGATCAAGTCGTCTTAAGTTCACATCGGTTACCAGACCAGCGGCTATCAAAACGCGTCGAGCGCTAGTACGCCAATATCCTTCCCCGACGTCCTCCAGTACAGATGCAGCCCTTCCTCCATCTGTACCTCCCTATGGTTCTAAGTACAACGGGAGGACTACGCCAGATGCTCGGCCAGTACAACATGGTCCTGTGACCTCGCGACTTCACCGCTCACGGACGCAATCGACTCAATCTCTTCAGCAACAGTCAGAAGAGAGTACAGAGCTATCGAAACACCATATACACTCACCGTATAGTGCTGCGCGACGACCTGTGTGATCAACTTGAAATGGAGATTCCACAGACAATCAAAGTGTTGCCTCCACGTGCGAGGAAGAAGAAGGCATCATGCGTGAGTCCTTTCAAGTTTGTCTTTGCATAGCTTATCTTCGGGTAGATCGGCATAAACTACCAAAGCCAGGATAGAGAGCTTCGTGGCTGCGTAAATGATGCTTGGAACATTGCAGAATTTCTAAAATGTCTGTCCATTTCCATTTTATCTTATTCGCTCAGTATTGAGCAACACGACCATGTAACAGCCTTCTGGAATTACGCGAAAGAGGACATCATGGTGCTCACAGATGAGCTATACAATCTGAAGTACATGCCAACGAGACGGAACATCCTGAGCGCGTTGCGATGGTTAGTGAAAGACGCCCAGCCTGGAGATTGCTTATTCTTTCACTGTGAGTCACGCATCCGTAATTTGAACAAGCGATTGATGATGTATCCAGACTCTGGACATGGAGGACGAATCGTCGACTTGGATGATCGCCGTGTGGATGGTCACCGTGTAGATGGATTTGAGAAGGGTAACAATCACGATAGTTCCAACTTTGAAAAGTGCTGATCCGCAAACAAGCTATCCATCCAATTGACTGGGAACGCGCTGGTGAGATTGTGAGCGAGGTGCGTCTGTATACTTGTTTGCTTTGGTTATATATATGTTCATTCTCAAACAGGACTTATACGACGTGATGGCAAGTACTGGGAACGCGAACTGTGAGGTTGATACTAACTTTTACACAGGTCAAACCCCCACCCGCTGGCTGCTGCCTTAATGTGAGTTTGCGGGCGGCTTTATGTGTCAACCAACTTCAATTTTTTTTTATCGACAGGCGTCGTTTGATGTAAGTTTTAGTTGCCAATTTCAAGTGAACAGATTGTATCATGAATACTAGTCATGTTATTCTGGATCCGTCCTCGGTATGAAGCTGTTATATTGCGATGTTGTGTTTCTTTGTTGATCTGTCTCGTGCACAGATTTGCCATACATCGTCAGTCCAAAGATGGTTGATGCATTCGCGACTGTCTAATCATTTGCTCGGTATCAACCCAGTGATCACCTAAAACAGCATGCTACGAACTCTCGAGCTCTCATAAAGTACCCCCAAGCTCATGTGGTAAGTGAAATACGCTCCTCAACTCGAAGTCTGTTTGACGATCAGATATCAGGTATTATTTGCAAGCTGTAGTGACTTCCAAGGTAGCGGGGGCGTTTTCATAAGGGGTGGAGAGTTTCTTGGAGCCATGTCCTCTGTGCGTAGTAATCAACAATTCGCTCGTATTATTCTGACCAAATAGTAACTACCAGGCCTTCATCTCGTCACTTAGTGAGTAGTATTCTAGCAACAACAGTCATGCGACTTACTGGCATTAGCGACGAACCCAACCCAGACATATCTGCAGGTACTTGCGTCTGTGCAGGTTACCTTACGTCGGACTCAGAGGCAGACGCTGCAGCTGTCTAGTTCGTATCCGATTGTACGTCAATCCCATACTTTCTCTCATTTACTAACGCTGTGAAAGCTTCATCAGGATTCTAGTCAACAATGCCTCTTTTAATTTAGTTTTTCCTTCTACGATTTGTACATACAACAGGGAAGTGTGAGTATTAAGGATCGTCCCGTAGATTGCTGGGACAGTTTACCTTGAGCGTCTCAAATAGCAGACGTGTACGCCTATTTATGATTCTATACCCGTTTGTTGAGGTGTGTGGATACTAATTGAATACCTGATCATCAAGAACAAGAACCGAGTGGTTGGTTATTAGTGAGCTGTCTGGTGTTACGAAGGTTACATGCGTTGTGTATGTAGTAGATGCCAGGTCACAGAATAAAATAGTCCAGCAGCAAATAGAGAAATTTTAATATCCGAATTGCAAAGAGTGAAGCGCTGCGAAGAGATTCACCGAGAAACGGTTTAATTCATGCGGCAGAGCTCACACAACTCTGCCAAATCGAGAATCGTCCCCATAAGTCACAGTGTGTGCAGGATATAAAAGCTGGCTGTCGTCCTACAGACTCAGTGTTTCCGCATCCTCAGAAACGTCATTTGAGATATTCCATATCATCTCACACATAAATGTATCTCTCCCTCCTTGCTGTTGTTGTCTCTTTGACAACATCTATGTTTGTTAGTGCATGTACGAAAGAGTTTTACCATTGCGAACGAACATCAGATTGCTGCGAGTTCTTGTATTGTGATGCTGCTGGGGTGAGTATGAGCAGGTCGCGTGCAACCAGGATCCAATCACTCACCTGCTCGCCTTAGCATAGATGCACGTCAGGACTGGCAGAGTGAAAATTGAGTCGGTAGCCCGAGCGGGATGTCATGTCAGTGAGTCATCTTTCTGCTTTCGCTTTAATATCATGATTGATGGTGCAATATCCAGTCTGCAGTAATACAGTCAATCAGTACAGTTATTTTTGAACGAATTTTCGTGCTGCTCGAGCAATATTAATGTAGATGAATTTTAATCACAGAAGACAGATAGACAAGATGGTGAAGGGAAAGATAGACAGATATACTTACATAAATAACCCGACCACAAGGCAGAGCCTGCAATGGAGAAGAAATTTAAGATGTCTGAGTGATGGTGGCATTATGCGTCTGGGCTGAGCTTCTCGAACCTCGCCTGGAACCCAATAGCGCATTGCTCCAACACTTGGGTTGATGATTTTGATGCAACGATTGTACCAGACGAAATTGCAGAGGTCTTCGTAGCAAGAGCGAGCGCTGTATGTAGATATTGACATAAGACACATTATACAAGATAAATATGCCATGAATAAGAAAGACGGCAGAACTTACGAGATGAAATGGTCCGCAACAAAGACTTGATGAGGTTTACAGAAAACTCCCACTGCGCCCGCTACCAAAACGCTCTGCGAGTCCTTTGACATCCCGATTGACGAACAGTCAAACTTTCAAAGGACACGTACTGTGTGATCCTGTGATAAAAAGAGCGGGCCTTCAATGCATGATAGTTCCTCATCTAGTTGTGGTTTAGCTCATGTGGCGAAGGCAAGCAATGGCGTAGTGGCCATGATTTTGACCTAAGTACAAGAATTGCACAAAAATATCGTAACTCTAATACTTATTCCTCCGCTCGTGTCTCGTTATTATTACGTAATATAGTAAATTCAACATCTCATAGTACTCGCTTGTACTGATGGCCCTCTCCTAATCTGCTCGCGTTGGAGGTACCACTCAATCTTATAGCATTTGTTTCACTTGCTGGGTTCCCTCATATTATAGCCTATTACAGCTTTGCTTATCGCCTTTGCGAACAACATACAGACACCCCACTCAGAATTCAATATCTCTGGCTCTGTTTCAGATATCATCGGTGCACTACAAACCAATGTAAGTGCCAAGTTTCTTGGATTAGAATTCATGTCAGCCAAGAATAACAATCATCCATTCCAGCTCGGACACTCGCAAGTGATTGTACGTCTGCTCCTTGGTCTATTTCAACATATCACTAGTGATGGCCAGGTCCGGTCCTGAACCACGGTTCGAACCCGAACCATTTCGAACCTGACCAAAGTCTGGTTCAAAGTTCGGGCAATAGGGGGAACCGAACCGTCGGTCCAGTCCACGGTTTGAGGACTTGCAGAATTCTCGAACCTGGTTCGAACAGGTCCGAACAGGTTTGAACCGATTGTCAAGTAATAAGGGATGGTACAAAAATTTCGATCTCCAGACTTACATGGGCCAGGCGCAGTGCAGAGTGCATATTATGTAACACGGCTGTGCTCATCGTCGATGATGATGACAAGAAAATCAGCAATTTTCGAACACTGTCCTGCTCACCCCAATTGTATACCACCACAACGCTGGCGGCAACTGCGAAACGGCAAGTCAATGTTGGATCCAGACCTCTTGATGGGACAAACCTGTCAAATAGCTGACAAAAATATCCAAATCGATATACAGCCAGTAACTGGGATCATTGGAGGCGAAGGTCATGTTCGAGGGATGGGTGAGCGAGTGCGGAATTGTGGTGTATAATGACAGCATTCGTACTAGATATACTAACGTTCAGTGGGTTAGCAAATGAGACAAAAAGGGTAGAAAGACTCACCACCTCTAGGTCAACCTCACCTACTCCCTACATAGTGGATGCGGACCTGACTGGGCACTGACATCAGCACTAAAACATGTCATTTGCAGTGAATAGATGATGCTAAGTAGACCACGCACCTTAATAGACATTTCAAACAAATACTTCCCCGAATTCCTTGACTTGAACAAGCAGATGTTAGGAAGCTCGCGGGGGTTGAAGATTTACTCAATGCTCGTAGCAGTACAAGACCTAGTATAGCAATGCAAAAACAATCGGGCTGATTATTCAGAGCAAGTTTTCGAGGTGCTGTCGAGAGTCGAATGGACATAGCAATAGTGGCCGAGAACGCGAGCCAAATGGCCCTAAACATGCATGAGTTATATGAAACATCGAGTCGAGACAGAAATCAACTTACATACAAGACTATGGGACGGAATGTTTGTACTTAAGATATGTATATGAAGTTTGACATTTTTTGGGTCCGGTTCTCGGTTCAAACCCTTGCTGAACCGGAACCGGACCATTATTGGACCGAACCGATGGTCCGGTCCACAGTTCTGCTTACTGAGAGAACTGAACCGATGGTCCGGTCCACGGTTCTCTGAATTTCCTAGAGAACCGGACCGAACCGGACCTGTCCATCACTACATATCACATGTCATGTTACTGATGATAGCTAGATTCCAGTCCTTGAAACTCCATACTCAAGATTCCCCAATACAGACCACTCTACTGTCAAGCTCGAACACCAGAGCATTGTCAACATCATCGCTCAGCTCCAGTAGCAATTGGATACAGTTCTATACGAGCTCTCGGCCCTGGAGGCCGTGATAGATAGCATTGTCAGCATCATTGCTGAGCACCGGCAGCAATTGGATGCAGTTCTGGACGAGATCTCAGATCTGGAGGCTGTGATGGATAGCGTCAAACATCTCTATCAGCAAGTCGTCAAAAAGAAGGAGAAAATTATGCAGTCGATGAATTTGCACAAGGGACTCCTATCGGTTCTCTGGCGCCTGCCAACAGAAGTCCTATCCCAAATATTTAACCACTGTCTCCCCGAAACTAAATTGTGGCCCCCATCAAACCTCAGAGCCCCCATGCTGTTAACACGGATATGCCAACGATGGAGGGAGGTTGCTGTGGGTACACCTGATTTATGGTGCAGGATGTATGTGCAAGCCGACAACAGAGGCTGGAAGCAGGCAGCTTTCTGCTATGACTTGTGGCTCAAGTGTTCATGAGGATGTCCGCTCTCGTTAGAACTTGGGTACCACTACTCGACCAAGCTATGAAGCCTTCTTCAGCCTCATATGAGTCGTATAAAATTTCTTTGAGTCTCTATTGATTCCTTCCAGGGTAGATGCCCTCAGCTGTTTGCTACTGACCTCCCAGCACTTCAGGAGCTGACCGTACTAGGGATGATAAATCATGATATTCCTAGTAAGTATACTACAGATCATGGAGGACACCCTCTACCTTCTTTGGTTCACCACTTAGATCATCCACTGCTGCGGTACTGCGAAGATCTTTGGCTGTCAAGACCATCATCACAATCCCCCAGGTGATTCTTTCAGCACTGTAAGCAGATCTTCCATTCTCTCTTCCAAAAATGCAATCTTCTCTGCTGTGATTAACGCGTCTCTGTGCGCTGCATCTTGCATTTCAAGCAGTGCGGCCTCTTTCTCTACTAGCAGCGCTTGCGTGCGTGCGTGCTAACATTTGTGTTGCTATTGTCTCTATATACATTACTTATAACTAGTGAATATAATAATTCATAACACACACTAGCTTCTTGTTCTTTCGCGACCAATGCTTTCCTTTTCGCTTTCTTCTCTTTTCGTATTTTTTTTGTGAATATCGGACCTCAAAGACCCTTTGAAATGATCGTATCAGCAGCCGACGGAATAAAATATGCCTATATGACATACCAGTTTCCTGTTGTTCTACAACAAAAAGAGCATCTCGGTCTGTTCTCTGCTTATTCCATTTTTTGTGCCCATCTGGTACTTAGCAAACACCATCGAGGACGTTAGATAGAATGAAATGTGCTGGTGGGATGTACAGATAGCCCTTTGTTCTGCCAGACACAATTTACGTTGCCTTTCTCTCCTCTCTTCTCATTTTCTCCTATGAATCTGAAACTTAGAAAGCTTGACGGGTTCCTGGAAAGTGTCTCGCATTGCAATTTGTTCTGAAGTGTCGAGAAGTACATTGCATGATGTATCTGAAAAAGATGAATTTCATTCCAAGGATGACAAAGAATTGGAGCATACCTGCTTGTTCCATGGTATTAGATCGACCAGGTGGAATCTTTGTGGTCCTGGGGATGACTAGTCTGATGTCTACATAGTCAAAAGTTGACACTAATATTCCAAGAATGGTAAGTCAGTCACTGTTTGTCCATGTTTGGACTTCTACGACTTCTATGACTTCTGTGACTTTGATTCAAAAACATAGTCAGACGATTGCACTGCACCGACTTGCTCCCTGAGTGTAAACAATATCATATATGCCTAATATTATACATTTCACTGCCTGCAGTGTCTATTATATACAGATACGCAATGATATAAACGTACACAATATCAGTCCATATGTCATCTAGTACTGGTGTAAATATATATGGCGTTATATCTGCACTAATATGATTTGCACGTTCCGCGGCTTGCGCACTGTGTGTTTTCATTAATTGAGAGCTGGTGCATTTGTATCAAGAGTTTCCACTGCACATTGTCATCAATTGAGAGCTGGCATGTATTTGGATTAGGTTAGGTTAGTGGGTAAAGACGTGTATGGGCGCACAAGTAACTGAGAAAGATTAACTAGAAAAAATACCCCCGGCTACTAGGTAGTCTGAGGTGGTATTTCGAGTGATGTACTCTCATCAGTTTTCTAGCTGGTTAAATAGAGGAGGACACACAAAATCGAGAGGAGATTGTGTCTGAGTACGAAGGTTTATCGAAGATAAGATATATCGTATCATGTCTAAAAATGTTATCAACATTAAATATGCTTAAAAGTATTTTTAGTGCCGCAGCAGGGGGCCGAAAGCCCCCATTAAAAATCTCTCACAGGTGTCAAACTCTATAATTTGGTACACAGGCGTAAACAAACTATTTCGAGAAAGAAGTAAGGTATAAATAGGATCCTAGAATAGACGAAGGTCTAGACTGATTACGTAATAGAACATTTATATGGTCAAAACAGAAATAGGTTTCAAAGTTCAAACTTTTTTCTCTTCTTGGGCTGGTACATATGTTGGAGGGATATTCAAGGATCAATATGAGCCAGGAATTAAAGAAAATGGTGGTTCGGATGTGGAGATAATGTCAAAATACTGACTTTTTTGCACATTTGGCATATCTCATGATCCCTGCATTCCAGAGAGCTCAGGACCATCACCAATCGATTTATAGGCCTTAAAAACACTTGGGCCATCATTTTTTGTATTGGTATTGGGTCATAATTCCGCATAGCAAGATATATAAGGTAACAGGGGGAAGGAGAACCATCTGTATCTCCACAACCTGATTTTTCCTAAACAAATGGGCTTCACCATCGTGTTCAGAAGCATCAGGAGCCCCCAGGAAAAATATTCCTGAAGTCTTGGCTTGTCATATGAAGCCTAGAAAAATCAATCTTTGAGGGGGGGCATCAGGCCAACACACACATCAAATTCCACATTGATTTAGAACACTCTCAAACCATCTCCAATACATTTTTATGATCAATAAACACTAGGTACATCCTTTTGTACATCAGTAATGACATAAAATCATGCCTCTTGGTGGAGTAGGTGGGGGGAAGGGGTACCATGCCTCTGAATAATGATTTTTTCTGACAAAATAAGCATTGCTATCACATTCAGATTGGTCAATAACCTATGTATCAAGTTCTATTCACAGCCAGGCAAGTCAAATGGAGCCTCAAAAAATCAATCATTGGGTGAGGCAGCATAACAGAGTGACACCGATTACATAAGCAGAATGTGGTCAACTTGAACCATAAATTCACTTTCTTACCTGCTCTATGGGTCTTGTTCTCACATCATGAGGTTGTGCCCCATGACTTGCACAAATTGTCCAAGTTCCATTTCTTGTGAACTAGTACTCACTGGCATTGTCGCTGTTTACAATGACCCTGACACTGAAAGCTATGCTGAACCTTTCTTTCAGATGCTCATGTGCACATTGCACACAGCACACATATCTCTTTTCAACTATGCCTAGGTAGGCTACACCATGAGTTAATTTTTTACATGACTTCTACCCTCTCAAATCCTACTGAGTTTCCAAAAAAATCCCAGCATCACACATGTTCGACTTCATTGGCAACGAACACTCTGACGCCTCCGTTGATGGCTACCACCCTGACTATTTTGCTACCGGCTGTTCTGAACGCGTTGCAGACCATGGATCATTTTCTGGAGCTCAACAAACCGGTAAGTTCTCTGATTTTTCGGTAGTGACAAGAACTTAATCTCCTTTTTTAACAGCTTTTACGGACACCCTATATCCTCCAAATCACGGACCTTCGACTTTGGAACACAGCTCCTCGTATCAAAATCTTATTCCCTTCGACTCAGCACGACCAATCACACGTTTGTCTGACCTCTTGAACTCGGACGCGAACATCGACTGGGAGGATCCTGCTCTATACGCCAACCTCCCGCCTTTCTCTGAGCTCATGTACGAAGATACATCTACATGGCAGGTACCCGACGGTTTTCCGCAACTCCCTAGTGCCCATAGTAGAGAGGAGCTACCACCAACTCCTAACACGCAAGTACTGACACCCGACAACTCCACATTCAATTCCGAATCATCCGCAGATTCTTGACCATCTGACGTTGGTCAGACCCAGAGGCAAGTGCTTGATTCGAACACTGATAGCATCACAACAGAAGCAGTCGCCACCGGCAACAATTCCTCATGGGCTGCACGGAACCCCGGACGACCTGTACTCACAACTCGCCAGGGTGTCAAACTCACAGAGGCACAGAAGGCGTCACGAAGAATTGCTCAGGAGCAACGACGATCGAAGGAAGCTGCATTGAATGACGCTGTGAAGTCTCTTGCCACAACATATGCAGAGATGATCGAGAAGCTAGCGGACGAGCATAGTGTCACTACAGAGAAGGTAAAGCTACTCCTGGGTTGCGAGACACTCTACAAGAACAAGCGGGGGCCTACCTTGCACAACGCAATTGTCCATGTGAAGGCTCTTGAGTTGAACGAAGGTGTGTTTCCTTTTTCAATTGATAACATTGCCTCAGCGCTTCCTCTGCAGGGCGTCCGATGGGAGCAAAATACACACTAGCGGATATACGCAACATTATCGAGGACGATCCGTCAATCAAGCACCTCTCCCGACAGGAGAAAAAAGATTACATTTTGAAACTCAAGGAACACCGCACGCAACAACGCCTGAGTGTGCGTGCTACCAACTCGGCTGCTTCAAAAGATGCGCAGGTAACCCTGGACAAAGTTTTCAAGGAGGTAGTCTCAGTTTATTTGTGTCGTTTCTCCTACTGATCATGCATTAGCTTGAGGCTTTGGCCCTCCGCACTGGAATGTATGCGTGTTTGTTTGCGACACGCGGTCATGTCTATGACACAAACCAAGCCACGTGGTTTGGAACCGACAATGTGATGGACTTCTGGGAGGACGTTCTCTCACTGCAACCTGACTACATCACCAAGCAGCTGGAATTGTGGGGGTGCAATCAAAACAAAAGTATTTTTTAATCTTTTTCATGTCCTGGTGGTCTGACATCTCTTTTAGACATCGATGAGCGTGATTCGGTGGAGAATATGCAGAGGCAGTCTAAACGTTTGCTTGAGTCAGGCTTCAGTGAGTGTTTCATAATGATTTAAACCGAGTCTTTTGATGGCTGAGGAACGGTGTGTTAGATGCGATCACGAAGGGCCATAATATACGTATGGTGTATACGAACTTCGAGACATCTATCAAGGAGAAGCACGGTATCGACATCAAAGGCTGGCCTGAGAGTGTGCCCTTCACGAGCCCATACAAAATCGGTACTGTGGACGAGATTCGATCGCTCCGTGATGCCCTACGAAACGGCACATGCCACTGGGTCAAGCTCACTCCTCGCCAGCGTCAGGAGCACACCCAGCATCTAGACGCTCGCCGTAAGGCTGGAGAGACAGTGAGAGCTCCCAGAAAGAAACGCTCTGATGCTGGAGTATCCCGTAAACGCCGTTCTGCGAAAGAGAAGGCGCCACCATCCAAGAGGGTGCGGTCAGCAGTGTCTAACAGAAGGCCGGCTCCCAAAAGTGCCGAATATATTGACAGTACAGAGGATGATGAGGACTCATTAGAGGAGGATGATTAGTTGTAGTTTATTCAAAGTCTATGTTTATCTAATACATTGCATCTGACTTGTCTGTCCTCGTCTTTCCTGCCTCGTCTGTCCTCGTCTTCCCTGCCTTGTTATGTAAGCAACGGACTACAAGCTATTAGCGCTAAGCCCCTCCCAGGAGTATCTGACATAAGCACGGGACTTTCCTAGCCGCCGGCATCTATGAATAGATCAGGAACATCGGCACTATGTCCGGATGTGTCAGGTTGTCGCCAGGTAAGCTTAAAGGGCCATAAATATTCACAATTATTCGTACTGGCAGGGAATCACTCAAAGTGCCTCGACTTAGACCGGCCACACCGACACAGTGGTACGTCTAACAGGCCTGACAACGAGGGAGCCTCAGGTGGCTGGGACTCAGATATATAAAACATTACCGTACTACTGGTAATAGTAACGTAGATAGAAAGCTCTGAGTGAAGCGTGGAAATCAGCGATGAGATGCTAAGTAGATGCTAGTTAATCTATCAAAGGTGCGTTTCTTAAATGTCGCCCACCTCGTCGACAACTCTGCGTTGGAGAGGATGTGCTCTTTGATGTACTGCCTCAGCTTGTCGTGCATAGATTTAAAACCAGAAGCCGAAAATTCAATGTGATCTAATCTCCCGTTCGATCGCTCCTGCAAGGCGCAGTAAACAGCGCAGGCAGCCGTGCAGAACAAGTTATCTAGGTCTTCGAGGTATGCCAGCCAGCCGAGTTCCAGCATCGCGTCCAGAACGACATCCAGAACTACCTTGTTTTCGAACGCAAACCACAATTTGAGCCTTTCATCCTTCCCGAAAATACATTTCGGAGGAAACGGATCCTGGCTGATGAGGTCTCTCGCCATCCTCCTCTGGTGTTCAGGTTCGAGGTCATCCGACCAAATCGGAGGTCGTAGATCATACCCGCTTTGAACCTTGGTACGGGCGATCCTCTTACACGTGGCCGCGATCTTTCCGGACGGCGGCGGGAATGCCTTGTACAGCGTCCCCTTGTTTAGCGCTGCCCACGTAATCCCTGACGCTGTTGACGCACAGTTTAAATGTCAGTCTTGGTTTTTGGAAGTGGGTGCGGCTGCATTACCTTCGTCTGAGTAGCGAGCCGCGGCTGCCGATAATGCATCTTGAAGTTCCTTTCTTCTTTCCGACTCTTCCAACAACGAACATGTGTTGAGTGCGGATCTAATGACCGTTTCGTTGGCGAGCTTTACAATTTTCTTATGAATCGGATGTTCTTCGTCATATGACCACGGTCCTGGGCTAGATACCCCAGATGCGGATTGGCCGGACTCGGTGACGGGGTGCTGAGAGGGCGCCATGGACAGCTTAGTATAAGTAATACCCTGTGGTCCGTTAGTGATGGACAGTCTATGAAAAAAAGAGCGCTCACCTCAGCTATCGCCTGACCTTTGAGTTTTGGCCGCAGCTGGTATGGAACGAATTTTGCCTCACGTGGTTTTCCAAGGCGACGAGCCGGTGGAGGCTGGTTGAGAGGCGGAGGCTGGTTGAGAGGCGGAGGCTGGTTGAGAGGTGGAGGCTGGTTGAGAGGTGGAGGCTGGTTGAGAGGCGGTGGTTGGTTGAAAGGCGGAGGCTGGTTGAGAGGTGGAGGCTGGTTGAGAGGCGGTGGTTGGTTGAAAGGCGGAGGCTGGTTGAGAGGTGGAAGCGACCATGACGGGTCCGTGAATAACAACGGCTCTCCAAGGGACTGTACATCATATGAGCCAGAAGGCAACGTAGAATATCCATCGGTGGACAGGATAGGCGCAGAAAGTCTGTGAAAATGAGCTAGAGGCGGTGGACGATGGTGCGATAACTCAAAGGCCGTGTGAGGCATGATCACGCTTGGTTGATCACTAGGAAGATAGAAAGGCTGGGCCCGTGAGCCGCTGCCAGTGTAGTCGGCATCACCATGACCCGCCTGTTGATCGAAGGCCGCCGTGTAAAAGAAGTTGTCGTTGGAAAATGGCGCTGACGAAGGCCCGCCAACACCAGTCAAAATGGGAGTACGACGATCATCGTCAGCACCCAAGTGAAGGAAGTTGTCTGCAAGCGGGTGACTGAAAACTGGCGCTGACTGCTGGACATCAGCAGCAGTTATATCTGAAAACAGGCCACTGGAAGATGACACTGGCGGTTGACTATCACGATCGCGATGATCCGCATACGCATCGAGAATGTTGGGAAAGGGCACTGGAAATAGGTCATCAGAGCTACTAGCTAGCCCGGGGTGACCGTCACGGTGATCCTGGTTCAAGGGAGCGACATAATCAGGGAATCCGAGTCTGATGATGGGCTGTGAGTTGTCAGCCTGAGAGTGCATTGAGTCAAAGCGTCGTCCGTCGTCAGTCACGGTAGATTAGTATCATAGTAGCGTAAGTAACCTTGTTTTATTTGACGCATCTAGGCCAATTCGTCAGATTTCTGTGATAGGAAGTGTCTAGTAATGAACGCTACATAATTCCGAACGAGGCGCGGGCGCTTAACATAAATTCCTAATTTGGCTTTTAGCCCTGTGCCTCCACCTCGACATCACGTACCTTCACCTAACTACCTTGCCATACTGGGTGGGAATGGCAAACTAAATTGTACGGCAATCCCTTGTTCCCCCTGTCGGACTTAGGCGCACATGATGAATCCAAGCATCTCAGTTTCAACTCGAATACTGAGATGTGAGTTAGTGTCCTTGGCCGCAAACGGCATGTTTTTAAACTCCGACTAATGTTTGGACCACACGAAAACTGGCACTTCACGCTATCAAATGGTCGGAATTCAAGGCTTGCACCATGGCAAGATTAGCAACTATGTATTAAAGCTTGTCTCCTTCATACGTGTCATGGTAATAGTACTATGTTCTCGATTTAGAGTTGCACCAAATGCTTTCCAATCGCTCTGATCATCGTTCCTGGATTATATTAGGTAAGCAATGGAGACGCAATCTTGCCTCACTGCTAAGTACTAAGATTTTATCTTGACACTCATCCCAATTCATCATTCTATTATTTCTTCTCACCTGAAAACAATGTCAGTTTTGATAAGTTGAATGACTTGCACTCTCAGACTACAACTGATGCATATTCGACTCGAGCAGAACATGGTTCCCTTTGACCGCAGTACCCCTGCGTGGCCGACACAGCTAGGACGGTACGCCCAAAAGGAAAGACGGTGTGTACCTATCACCATTCACTTTAAATACCAGCTAATTTCACCAGGGCGTCACCTCCAGCCCCCAACTTCCTGGTACAGGAAATGCAATTTGACGACTATCGGTCAATACACTTCCTCGCTGGCTATCACAATCACACTAACCAACGTTAACAGGAACAATTCCTATGGGGAATGGGAGGAGCACATTCACCCATCTGGAGCTACTTATTATTACAATCAGACATGGGTGAGTGGCGATTAGGGTAATATACCAGTACCCTCATTTCACCGCAATAGAAAACATACACGGGGTTGAATGTAAGAGATTATCCAAAAGTTCGGTTGGAGAACTTTGAGGCGTGGGTGAGGTCAACGAGAGGTAAGGTAAAGGGTGATCACATCATAGTTGCTGAGCCGGCCAGGACGCAGAATGTAGCTGGTGATGTCTATCTGTACTACCTGGTGGTGCCAGATGCACGCATCATTGGCTGGCTAGAGCCTTTTGATGGCACCCATCTTTTTAGAGAATGTGATTTCGCTAGGGAATGGAACCATAAAAGTGCGCTTATATTTTAGTGTCATGATCCATTGACTACATTGTTATTCAGGACTTGAACTCGAGGCCCAGTTTTGGTGAGTGATTGTTGATATTGACATAAAGGACTGATTCAAACGAACTGCTCGACAGGAAGCATGTAGAATTCTTTCCCCACAACTTCAAGCTGGATCGCTTCTTTGTAAGAAAGCTGCGAGCTGAACTAGATTGGTTTCATGGAGGTATATCGTATTACATTCTGGCGTTGAATAGAATGATCTAAGTGAAGTGCAGATGCAATGACTTTAGAAAATTCCACTTCGGCTACCATATTCTCTAACAGGGAAGCAACAGAGAAAATCATCACCAGACTGGCAAGTCTAGGTATGTCTTACGTCGCCCCTTCATAGCGTCCTCGTGACGGAAGTCAGATGATCTTACAGGTTCTGATGAAAATATAACAGAGCCAGTTGTCGCATTATTCGGCGAGTAATTTCTTTTGAAAATAAGATGGCATGGAGACTTATATCGTTACCAACAGGTAGACTATACCACATGCTACGTATGTTAGTCATCCCTCTCACCAGGTATTGTTGCTAATTAGACGATACAGGTCACCACCAATATCTTAACTATTATGGACAACCTGAAGCACGTCTCTTACGGTCCCATTCAACGGGCCTCAGACGTATAAAGAGGGAGCCCTTTCGCCTCATAGCTACACTAGCTATGTTATGCCTTCCTATGTTGGTTCGAGAACGCCTCAACCAAATCTATGTTGACGGCCTTATCAATTCCCTCGATATCAAGAACTTTGTTGACGACTTCAGCACCCAGAATACAGCACAGATAACTCTGGTAAGTCATATATTGCTAGGGTAGGGTATAGAGGGAGAACTCATGTACCTGTGACAGGCAGGGGTTATCATGGCCATTGACGCCGGTTTCCTTGCTGTCCAAGGTGTAGGTACAGGAATGGTAGCAGAGTCTATTTTGAAGGGATCCATTATATTCTGTGTCGGCTGCATGTTCTCAGGGATGTTTGCGCAACACTTTGGAGAGAAATTGAAAACTTTGAGATTTGCGGTTAGTTTGTTTTTGTGTTCTGTGTTTTGCAGCTATATATCTGACGTTATCATTTAACCAGGCATATTATCTGGATCAGGGGATAACAGTTGTCATTGGGGTGTTCAGCGCACCTAGATTTTTTTGTATCATGAGGCGAGTAAACTTTTGAATTACAATTCCTCACTTTTACTCAAACGATTTACTTAAGCATCACATGGTCCAGTGTTGGATTTCTTGCCAGTGCCTTCATAGATACTGCGCACTCCACACCCGCCCTGATTACTTGCGCTTGCTGCCTCCTCATTGTGATGGGCATCTTAGGCCCATTGGCTTGGCATGGTTTAAGAGCAGGGGTAGTATCGTACTCTTATATTACTGAAGACTAACATTCGTTGTGTGTATACAAACTTTTTCACTACTCTGTCATCGTTGTTGGGTGCTTGACTAGTGATGTATCGATTCAGCACTACCAATTCTCGCCGTACCCATCCTGTATGACGACGGCACATACTTCACCTGCGATATTGTGCTTAACAGTCATCCAACCTTTCTTCGACTACCAGTGCAGCGCACCTTGATGCAGAGTCCTTGATTTGTATCTTTCACAGGATATCCAAGCTTTGGGTTGCCGCAGTGACCGCAGATCGGGTAAATATCAAACTACCCTGCTGCTGCTTCGCTGCCACAATATCATTTTCCCAATCTTGACCAGTTCCTACACAATGATGACCCTCAGACAATCCCGTCGTGGGTTGGTTTTGATACTTCCACAGGATTGACGTCAGCATGGACCGTACTCGACCCTCGAAGGTGTCCCTTTTACTCACAGTCAATTGTACACCGCGTGGTCGAGAGTAAGAACGCGAAAGAGAGACTCCATCTATTTGCATAGACGAACGAAGGACAAGACTGTGCCAATATTGTACTTCCCGAGTTGCTACTGTAAGCACAAATTGTCGTCTAAGAGTCGACTGAGGGGGCATCCTTGTATCATGTATCCATCCAATCCTATATCGGTATAATATAACGAATGCGAGATGAGCAATGAAAATGAGATGGGTTGTGTATATGAAGAGTAAACGGAATTTGAGAACGGTTAGATCAAATCTTAGCGCTCAAGCGCTCATCTCTAGATAATACTAAGCTTAGTGTTTGAGACAAAAGTTTTAAAAAGAGCACAACTGACCCTTCTAAACATCGCTACCAAGTTTGCAGCTGCTGCCCAGATATTTCTCACAGCAGCTAACATGCCTTGCGCTGCCCTCCTTACAAGCGGCATGATCTGCCATCTATTGGTAGCGCTGAGGGTGGCGGCCGCGGCCACTCTAAACATCGTTACCAAGCTTGCAGCTGCTGCCCAGATATTTATCATAGCAGCTAACATGCCTTGCGCTGCCCTCCTTACAAGCGGCATGATCTGCCATCTATTGGTAGCGCTGAGGGTGGTGGCCGCGGCCACTCTAAACATCGCTACCAAGCTTGCAGCTGCTGCCCAGATATTTTTCATAGCAGCTAACATGCCTTGCGCTGCCCTCCTTACAAGCGGCATGATCTGCCATCTATTGGTAGCGCTGAGGGTGGTGGCCGCGGTGGCCGCGGAATTAGACTACAAGATTAGTAGATAATGAACATTACTATGAGAGTACTTACCTGTGCCCAATAATAATCCGCTTGAGTCTGTTGAATTTTTCAGCTTAGTTAGAGTTCATTTATCGTATCAAGTACTTACAACGGTTTGTTTTGGCATCGTACCCATGGAAGCGCCAGAGCTGAATACGTCAGAACTCATCTGCAGCACGCGTTAAATAATCAATCAGGGGTATAATATATTTTACTTCTTACCAGATGTGGATGTATATTACGTATGTGAACTGTTAGAGTCGAATTGCAAAGCCAATAGTAAAGATGTGGCAGTGTTCGGGAATTGCCGATAGTCAGCAAATAATCGAGTACTACATAGTGTGTCAAGACTCAACATGCCGTCGAGGCGAGTTAAACTCGATGTGAACTCGATTCGGTTCGGAAATAACCAAATTTGTTTCAACTCAATGTTGTATAAGTATATGGGCCCGTCAGTGGCACTGTGACTGGTAGTTGTCCCCCACTGTTATTGCACTTACTCGCTCACTATGCAATACCCGGACGAAACTATTGATATTTCCCAATTGACGATGGAAGAATTCGTCGGTCATTCTCGACATTTGTTTACTCAGATGCAGGACGATCAGACGGCCTCAGGTTGATTTTATTCGCTTTGTGCTAGCAGCAAGGGTTGGGCCACTCGCAGATTTGAAGAGCTCTACCAGTGCCAAAGTCGTCTAAATTGCTTACAAGGCATTCCCACTCTTCCTGAGACCGATATTACTCGCGACCTCGACTCGGTCATTGGGGTATCGGACACGCTACCATATACCAGCATATTATCGATCTGGCCCCTTCCTCCATTCAAAGAAACATTGAAGAAAGACAATCATGTCAAGAGTCGTGCATATAATAGTCAGGTGAGAAACACAGTCAATGGTGGTTGTTATATATGCATCCTAACCAAAACCAGGGCGCAGATATTGAAGTTCCGATGCACAAGATGCCTGCGTCCTACAATATTGGATATGAATATGAATTTTTATATTTGGCCATCTACGCTCACATAAGCTCAGGTAACTAGGTTCCTCGATGGCTCAACTACCAATGAAATAAAAACGCCCTTCGAATCCAATAATCAAACCAAACCTCGAGGTTGTGCCTGAATCACGTGATAAATGGCCGACCACTTATGCAGCCGCATAATGTACAATCCAGGAGTCGCACTGGTTAATCGTTGAAACGGAGAACAAAACGTGAACACGGATTAAATACATAAGATAAGGTGAATGCATATGCAAAATAGGTAAATGTATCGTGATATAGATTTCCTGATGGAGAGCACCAACACTAAAGGACTTGACAATGGGTGAGGGATCAAATGTCGGCAGTATTCAAGTATCATATAGTAAAGGTATGATCATTTGAGAGAACGGACAATTATAGACGCGATATCAACACATGGCGCGACGGGAAGGGTGGGTCAGGCGTTTCAACATAATCTATCTGCGAGATCGCTGTTCTTGCACGCGGTCGTTGGAGGAAAACCTGGCAGCGTGGGCAGGACCTGGGCTCAATTGAACTGGGTTGAAGGTCTGGCGTGGTGCACGAGAATGACCGGCCCGAGTCGGCTGGGGTCCGTCAACATGAGCGCTGCTCCACTTCCCTGATGAAGGGCCGGGTTTTGGTATGCGAGGGCGGGGGCGCTGATTGTCCACAGACTCACCCAGGTTCCTGCTGTCTTCCGCCAATGCGGAAGGTGACCTCACAGCCGATGCCATCACAGGAGTCCCAGAGTACAGTGCCGGATGCTTCTCGTTGAAGACGTCATCAACTGATGTACAGGGACGGTGATCTTGCCGTGGCGGCTGTTCATCGTGCTCTACAGTTAAGCGGCTGCCGTGCTCGCCACTGTCAATCCAGCTATAGCTGCCGCTATCATTCCAGTCCATCTCATGGCTACAATCGGCTAAGTCCTTCTCAACAACACAATGTAGGCGGCTTGCAGGTTGATCTGACTGAGGCACAGTGCTAAAAGCAACAGTAGGAGTGTGAGCTGGAGCTGTAGGGGGAGAGGAGGGTTGGGTGGACTGAGGAGGTGGACTAGAGAATAATAAATCATCGCGATCGTCCCCGAATTTCAAAACTGCTGAGCTGTCCTCGGATGCGGACAACAGGTGCGATGATCGAGTCCCACACTGCGACTGGGGCGGCGCCACGGCTTGGCTAGTTGCACAGGGTGCCTCCTTGCTTGTAGTGACGGGTTGCGGCGGCAGCTCCACGTTCTTGTGACACTTGTGTGAGGTCCCCCCAAACCCATCACCAGCGTCGACTACTATGGATTTTACCTTGCTCCCCTTACCCTTACGCTGCGTGGCTGGTCTAGTAGGAGATACTGGGTTCTTGGGGGTGGGTTTGGCACGGGCCCTATTTTTGCCAGCTTTGTTCCTTCCGGTGGTTTTGGGGTTGACATTCATAGCATCGTCACCGTCAGTGGAGTCATCTAACTTTGGCGTTGATGCACCAACGGAGATCAAATCTCCCATGGCGCTGCCGTCATCGTCAAACATGCACCCTGCAGAAATGGAAATGCTCGTCAGCCAAGGCTCAGTAGGTAGTCATAGTAAAGCCTTACGGAATTCCTTGTCAGCGCCAATAAATGCCTCGTGCATTGCGCCCTTCGAGAACGAAATATTATTTAAAAAGACATCCGCAGTCTTTAAAGCAATGGCTCGGTAAACGTGCACCTCTTTAGCCTGAGGGTGACGGTAGATCCGCCCACGCAACTGGCGATCGTCCTGCTCTGACCAAAGGGTATCCTGTTATAACGATCAGTTACATCTGAAACACAAGCACCCATGAAAACACACTCACCATGACTACCATGATGTTAGCGCAGGCCAGATTTAACCCCACCATGCCTACGCCTGACAAAATCATGACCCGTGCACCGTCAGGCCGCGCAGATGACCGAAACTTATCCAGAATGCCCTTGCGCTTCCTCATGGGGGTCTGGCCATTAAGCTCCAGCGCATGTATGCCATGAAGGTCCAAGATCTGGAAGGGGGGATTGAGTCAATACGCTACTGTGGTCGACCATGGAACTTACATCTACAATGGCCTGGTTGGAGGTGACGAAAGCCGAAAATACTATGATTCGGTCTGGCTCGTTTGGGTTGATATTACCAGCTGCAAAGTCTGGATTAGGAACCAGGTGGCGACCGCTTTCGTCCATCATCAATGGCCGGCTACCATCAGACTCCAGATGGTACTTAATCAGCATAGCTAACACGTCCAACTTCATACTTTTGGTGTTAGGGCTGATGTCCCATTCCTCCAGGGATTTCGGTTTTGTCCACAACAGCTCCTCAGTTGGGTTCATATGCGGGTGAAGGATGGACCGCCTAAATTCAACATAGAAGTTCTGCACATGGAGTTCACGGTTTAGATGACGTCCTAATGGCGCGGCAGGAATAATTAGCTTCACCTTGCTCATTCCTACGATGGGACAGTCATCCAGGTATCCGCGTGCAATATTCCGCAGATTCTCCATCTCCCAGTCGAGTAGCTTGATCTTCAAGGTGTGGTCGCGATACGGAGGGAGGCCCAGGATCTTATTCCCTGCATTGTCGGTGGAGTCTATGGTGCGAAGAATGACAGCAGGGGAGAACCATTCCCGCATCCGCCCCATCCATTTTCTCATCACAGGCAAGTATTCTTCTTGGGCAGCCTCTGGGTTGTGATTGCCCACAAAAACAGCTCGTAGGATTGATCCCTCAACTCCCGCCTCCCTCTGTGCCTTGCGATCCCTCCGCTGAGCAGCTGTCAACTCTCGGTTCATGGTCTTGAGCTGCGTTGTATCCTTGAATTGCTCAATGCTAAGCAGCAGGCCCATATTCCAAAGGTCCTAGTGTCCATCAAAGGCAACATCAGTTGATCGATGGCGTCGAGTTAGGTTCGAAGCCAGCTTACCGCAGGTTTTGTGGTGACCGGCGTTGCAGTCATCATCACAGTTGAGTGTGATTTCCCTTGAAGTGCTCGAGCTGCAGTATGTGCCAGGTTGATGTTACGTAAGAGGTGGCCTTCGTCGATGATACTTGTGATATATTCGTGGCCGAAAAGGGTACTAGGGCTAGTGCGTTCAAAGCGAGGACTATGTATCGGCTGCCCGTAGCTGTCCCTGTCGCCTTGAATGAAAACTGTCGCTGCATCGTCTTGCGCTGCCTGCCCCACGTCGTAGTCAATTTGGATTCTGTTAATCACCCGCAACAGTCACTTACATTTGTCGTGACCAAGATGATGCGTCGTATTGGAGGCTGCTGGCATTTAGTCCAAGCCACCGTCCACCACTGTGATCGTGCCATATATTTTCCCGTGTAGGGAATAACATCAAACGTCGCCCGCCTTAGATACCGTTGTATTTCACTCATCCATTGGTGGTGTAAATTAGGTGGACTCATTATCACGGTGGGCAAGTCTGGAATATTGCCGCCGGTCTTCTTGCAGAATCGCTGTGCTGTGGGTAACCGTCAGTGCATACAGCTGTCCCGACTACCGTATTACATACCAAATTTTCCAGGGAACTTGCCGTGCTTCCTGTAATGTTCTCTGTAGTGAGCAAGACATGCGATTAAGCCAACTGCCTGCATGGTTTTCCCAACCCCAACGCCATCCATCAGCATCACTGGTTCATCATCCAACGCCCTGTCGACCAGCCTCAGAATGCCAACCAGTTGATGCCACCGAGGCACCAGGTTCTGGGCCGGATTTGCCGGATTATCGAGCCATTGCTGGCCTTCTTGGCTCCACGGATCAATGACGGCGTCGGGATCCAATCTCGTCTGGAAAAAAGGGAGTCTCTTCTCGGGCAGGCCCAGGTCCTCCCAAAGCTGATCCTCGCTATGCTTGTCGTATTCCTCTACACCACTCTTCCAGTCGCCAACATCCATATTCTCTGCAAAGTCTATCACCACCTTGTCACCTTCGAGCGGCACCATCGCAGCTAACGTGGTCTCAATGAAAAGTTCGAGCTCCTTTACTTCGTCTTCGGTGGCCAACCTGTCAAGCGCATCCCGAAGAGATTTTGGCAGCTCTAAAAACCACCTTGAGCCATTTCACACATGTCAGTCAGATACTGGCCCACTCACGTGCCACCGATTCTGCTTTAGTGGGATCTTTCTTGGCAGCGGCCAGCATTGTATTGACCTGTTCACGATGGGAACCGAGGTTCTCGACCGTCTCCTGGTCCTTGAACAGGCTAAGAAGTGTAACCAAAGATTCCACTTTCTTCAGGTATGTGCGGATGCTGGCTATCGTCGGTTTTGCATTCGTGGCCGTCATGACTGTGCTGCGATTAGCCCCCGCCCTAATCAACTAACCCTGCGCAGCTTACCTCGCCATTCCTCTTCCACTTCCCTGGTCTTCTTATCGATACTTGTTGCCTGCCTTTTAAGAACCTTCCTGTACCGACTCCACGTCGATGCCAACAATGTGGTGACAAATGTCATGATGGGCGCCACAAGGAAAGATCCATCGGTGAAAGCATCATCGCCGAACAAAGCATCAGCCAATTTAATGGAAACAACGTGCTTTATCTGTGCAGCTTCCATCGTCGGAAACTACATAACTATATCATATTATGAGATGAATAGATTGGCAGATAACTTACATCATCTGCACTCTTGCAGTTCAGTCGAGCCATAACATCGTGGGGTTCGCAACCGTTTTCTTGCAAGATGTTGTCGACCAATGTGTTGATTTTCCATTTAGCCCATGATGTCTTCACCCAGATATTCCAAGAAGAACGACCCTCGTGATCATTATCTTTGCGTTTGATGGCGTAGTGGAGAGCAGGATCCTGCGCCGATTTACAATTGTTTATGAAGGCTTCGACTGCCTGTGCCTTGCCCACCGTCCATTCAGGGACATGAGTTGCTGCAGCAGACTTATCCCCACCATGGTTGTAAGTCCACGGGTCGCCAAGAACGTTCGTGAGAGACTGCCATACTGGATTGGACCATGGCAGCGTCGAATCGGCAATCGAGAGTTGAATGAGAGCAAGAGGGTATGGAATGGTGGGCATTTTGGGCGTGTTGGATCAACATATCACAAAGCTCTCTTATGCTGCCCACCTTTATATTACATCCTCGGCCACTGTTCGGGCGCACTTCCTTGCAGCTGCCAGGATGCACCCGTCATACCAGTAGTTACCATTCTAGGTATGTGCTGAGTTTCAAAGGTTCTTCGATCACTCTAACATTCGGAACCGTTCCGGCCTAGTCAATTCTAAAATGTCGTTCGTCAGCACCGAGAGTACTGCATGAAAACCCGCTTAAACAGTAGCTACCATTCTGGGTATGTGTTTAGTTTCAAAGGGTTCTTTCATTTTCCCGAGAGAAGCACGGTCCCACAGGCGCTTGTGATTTTCTGGAAATACACACGTCGGAGTACTACGCCAGCCTGAATGTACGCCTATTTCGATCTCGCTTTGACAAAAGTTGGGACTTCACGATGGAATGAACCTAGTGGTTCATCACGATTGAGCATCTTTCACGCCTGTTCCGCATTGACCTACGGATTTCAGCAGGAAGCGAAAGACCACGGGATATACTTACCAGATCCTGCACGTGTACGCTCCAAGTTTTGTAAGCTACTGAGGCGAGCACAAGTCCGCGTGTATATCTGAGCGCTCCAGGATCTCCATGCGTGCTGAAATGCAATGGGCCCATTTTGCATCGGATTTGCGAGAATAGATGGGGTCTGTTGCATAAGAATGAGCGCTTCTATTGAGGCGAATGGGCATTTCTTGCCTGTGCAGTTATGAAGATGATGATTTAACGTGAGAGTATATGCGCACCACGCTAGCGGGGACCAAAAGGAGAAGGAAAAGAAACGGCAGGAATGAAGATACGACAGCCATTCACGATCCCTCTGATGAACAGCAGCATTAGCACTCCTCCACGCAGTGTCTGTTCTTCCCGATGCGCCGGAAATGTGAATCTCGCTGACCTGGTGAGATTCGCCTGTTGATAGACAGTCCATTCAGTCCACTCATTGCTATCGCCAACGAAGATAGCACGTGGCTTGGGATTGCTAGGCAACGCAATCGTTTTTGGAAGTCAGAAGCAGCGCAAGTAATGGGGGAGAAACGAACCAACACAACTCAGAAGCCATTCAAGTTGGGTACAAGAAGCGTCTGGGATCTCCGACCTCCGGATGTCACCGGCACCCGAGGAAAAATAGAGGCGTCTTATAGGAAGCTGGGGCAGTTGACGATGTGCCAGGTGTCGACATTGGCGATGAGGAAGGACAATCCAAGGGACGAGATGTAGTTCTTGACGGCGCACCAACAAAACGTTGCCGGAAGTTCGCTGAGAATGAGAGGTTTTCTTCTTTCAAAAGGCGGGTTGCTTAGCGCAGGGCATGAGATGAAGTGAAGGTATTAGTTCGCCTCACAAACAGCCGTTTGGTGATATGCACGCTCATCTTCCCGAGTTGGTTCCATGATGGTCATACGATGAGGACTGTCGTACAGAAGACGATAAATAAATGAATTCAACAGAAGCAAGTATCACTTACGAGTTCTCTCTATCAAGCTCCTCCACTGCGCTCTTGAAAGCGAGACTTTCCATAGCAACGATGTGCGATCTGCAGACGGCATCCAGATCGGCGCCAAATAAACATTCATGGTCATATCTTGATATCGCTTGGCCTCCCTCCGCAACGCCTGACAGACCTTTTCGAAGCTGAAACGAGTCGAAAGACAGGGAGGAGACGAAACACGGATGCACGTACGCTCTGTACTTGGACTCTTCATTGGCAAATCCACGGTCAATTGTGCGCTCGATCTGTCCGTTATAGAACTGAGTACTGAACAGTGGATGGTACTAGCTGAGTTAATATTATGAAATACTGACATAATCAGCTGCGCTTGTGAATTCTTGACGAACTTCGCTTTATATGATATCATTTGCCTGCCGCGCCAGATGGTAAACTTGAAGCAGCCTGAACTCGCACGGTGTCGAAAATCGAGCTATGGGCAAGATAGAGCATCCCGTTTTGTCGAAGGATGTAGCACTAGGTACGCGTCAGGTCGGTATGCTCTCTGTCTCATAACCATATGGACCGAATACTTTTCTTTGGCCAGCTTGAATCGTTTCAAGGCCTTTCAACCTGTTGACTGCCTCTGTCTACCGGCGACACGGCCGTAATTTTCTTCGCATCAGTACGCCCAGTTCGTCACCTCGAGTTCTTACCATTGCTATATCAGTGCTGCGCACAGGCATATAGGCTATGCATTCAGCCACACAATTCCCATCGGTTCCAGCGGGGCGAGCCCATTGCTGTAGCAGACACAGCTCAGCGACAGATCGGCCATTCTGTACTGAAGAGCCGCGGGAAGACAATTCTCACAACGTGCCGTTGTTGAACGTTGAACTTTGCCCAAGGGCATGTTGGGCATTTTATGCGTCGGAACTTCAACCTCTGCGCCCTGGTTCTGGTTAGGATGCACATGTAACAACCACCATTGACTGTGTTTCTCACCTGACTATTATATGCACGACTCTTGACATTATTGTCTTTTCTTCAATGTATCTTTGAATGGAGGAAGGGGCCAGATCGATAGTGTGCTGGTATATGGTCGCGTGTCCGATACCCCAATGACCAAGTCGAGGTCGCGAGTAATATCACTCAGGAGGAGTGGGAATGTCTTGTAAGCAATTTAAACGAACTTGGTATTGGTCGAGCTCTTCACCTGCGAGTGGCCCAACCCTTGCGGCTAGCACAAAGCAAATGAAATCAACCTCTGTCTGATCGTCCTGCATCTGAGTAAACAAATGTCGAGAATGACCGACAAATTCTTTCATCGTTAATTGGGAAATATCAATAGTTTCATCCGGGTATTGCATAGTGGCATCGGTAAAAATAGCCGGTATAGTAATTGTAGCCCAATGTTTTTTATATTTGGCCATCTACGCTCACATAATAAGCTCAGGTAGTAACTAGTAGGTTCCTCGATGTGTCAAGTCCCTACTATCATGTGACTAGCAGACAAGATCGTATTACCTATGTAGGAAGTTATAATTGATGCGGCATCGATCATACCAGGACTTACCAATCTAGGTATGTGCTGGGTTTCAATGGATTCTTCGATGACTACAACGTGCCTTCTTGCGGACAACGTGTCACACAGAAATATCTATTCCCTCATCCAAGTCAGGCAACTGGCCTGAGCTCTGACGTGTGCACATGTGAACACTCAGGCTCAGCTTCAACACACTAGGCTACTGTGTTCAAGGAGAAATACTCACCGTCAGCGAAGGTTACTTTCAAACTCCGATGGTTATTTACCGCTTATCATTTAAACCGTATCTACCCTAGCAGCCACCTTCACCTTTGAAAGTTCGAGCTCAAGTTTGACGATGAATTCAAGCGAATTCACCCCTATATTATCCTGCAACGATGAACCTGAAGTTCCGTGCAATCATGTACCACCATCCACACCTCCTCAACACCCCTACTATCCTTACAATCCTGAGCCCTGCACTCCCAGCCACCATTCGAGTTCTCCTCCAAGCTCTCCCCCCCCATTTATGACAGGATCAGGTATTGATTTCATGATATGTCACTATCAACCAGACTCAGATAGATCATCTTATTACAGTGGCCAGCACTATCTCAGATGCAGATGAGGACGCCTTCCCTTTGACACCCAATTCCAAGCGTTCAGGCAGAGCATACAATGTTGCTAACGCCTATACCGGGGCTGGATCCCCATTTTCAAGCCGCCGTCTCTCTGCGAAGGAACACAGGAACACTTCTGATTTCACACGTCCGGCTCCCGCTTTTGAAGACCGACTTCTTCTTGACGGGTTGATAGGTAGATCCGTCAACGACCAAGATTCATCGGAAACCATCGACCAGAAGGTAGTCCATATTTTACATACATTATGGTTATCATAACATGTGCTATATTTCTAGGCTAGGGATGGGTATGCTAGCCTTACAGAGAATCTCAGCGCGAACACTTGCCGCTATATTCTTCACTACCTGGAAGCGGTTCGTGAACGCAAACGAATGTGCTACTTCGCATCATGTTGGGAGGTTGCGGAAATTGAAAGGCGGGAAGCTCTCGCTGTTTCTATGCGTGAAGAATCAAAGGTAGACTACATGAAGGCAGAACGAGACTCACGATGCCTCCTGGATATCTTTAGTCAACGTTTGTCATCATCGCCTTATGATAGTGTCACCGATGTCACTGCAGTCCGTGACATTGACAGGAGATCTCTATGTCGGACTGACGCTCAACTTGCTATTATGAAAGATCGTGCTACTGCTGTCGAGCGGATGCGGTTTATGGATCACTAGTATGTGCTATGTAAAATATTGTTCAGGCTAGTCACTTATTACGCGTATCCAGAATTTATCAACGAGTCTTCAAACAGTGTTTCATTTATGCGGATATGTCGGTTACTTGTAGTACCAGATACATCTTTTGTACAGTTACATTACGAGTCCGTCGCAATGTTACTACTGAAAGTCTCCTATGATAATATCTGCACTGCTAGAAGGTAGAACGCCGGACACTTGGAATTCGAAGCCTTAAATATCCATTAGTAAAGATGCGATGAGCCTGCCACACAAAGTTTCACTAATTCTCCCTACATAATAGAAGATAGACTCGTGACCAGTCCTAACCTATGAGGCAAGCCACGTCTATCGGTGGCTTGCCTCATAGGTTAGGACTGGTCACGAGTCTAAATAGAAGAACCGTTCACGCTCACACTCAAACCACTTACTAGTATCTGGTCCTAGATGATCTTTATGCACTGATCATTTCCTCGCTGATTAGTCACAGTGATCGTGACTATTGCCACTGAACTCAGTCGCTGCTTCCTGTGTTACTTGCTGGTTACTTGTCAGTGTGGGCCCGGTCACATGGCACGGTCTCTCGTGGGCCCGGGGTTCACCGTGACTACCTTCTGTCTCATTTGCATGTTCGCTCCCTCCTTCTTCTCACTGTCTCTCGAATATTCGCACCCTACCTAAACAATCCGAGTCATTATGAGATTGTTCTGAGGTATGCGGCGTGCCTAGCTATCTGTACTGAAGTTCATCAAACTCAATGCATCACTCAGATATCACGAGCCATCACCTGGAATTTACCGCGTCGTTGGAGTTCTGGTATGGCCATCTAGGTGCGCAAAAAATTTCGTGCATCATTTATTTTTGCTTACATCTTTGTTGCAGCCGCGGCGGGTCTCAAGAAGATGAAAGTGCGCTGGACTGTGATGTTGAAGTTCCAAAGTTGGGTCTATCCGAGAATGGGCCGAAACCAACAACATACGGTATACCTACCGAATAACTTGGAATGTAAGTTTGTTTTGAAGGAGCTGGTCCCGGCGAGTATCTGACTAACTTTGCGTCATTGTAGCTATGATTCTATGGCGCACTGTTTCCAGAGACGTGATTATTGTTAGCTTCACTATCATAATCCAGGCTGACGTCCATGCAGATTTCACGATACAATGCCATTGATCTTAGTGTGAGTGATTAACACTTTATACGTAGTTGTTCTGACGGCAAACGAAATGCAGGAGGATGTTCAAGAAGACTGGGGTTGGAAACTCGTGCATCGAGAAGTTTTCCGTGCACCCAGATACCCAATGGTGTTCTCCGTTATGGTAGGAAATGGCGCTCAGTTGTGCGCCATGTGCGCTGTTACCCTTGGTAGCTCCTTAAATCTTGGATCCCTCCGTTAACTGTCTAAAAACAATTTTTAATAGTCTTCGCATTGCTGGGTTTCCTCTCACTTTCAAACCGGGGTTCTCTTGCAACGGTCATGATGGTGGTATGCTGGACCTTTTTTGGAGGGTAAGTTGTCTCTTCATACCGAAGCGCTCAGTTGCTTGTGGAGAGATATCAGGATCGGAGGGTAGAAATATGCATCACTTGGTGGCGTTGATAAAAGAAAGAATACATTTCTTACAGCCACCATTCTCCCGATGTGAGCCCCCTTGTCTGCAGCATTGTCCTGATTATCCATTGGCTGATCTCGTTCACTAGGCTGGTATTCATAGTGATCTTTTTGTTGGACTTTTTCCTTCTCATTGCCGGTTCTCCAGGGGCCGTTCCATTCTGTAAGTGTGTCGGTGACCTTGGAGTTCACCCAGTTTTCACCTACCCCAGCCACTACGCTCTTGATCGTCGTCCTTTGATTTGGGATTTCTGCTCTGCTATCCTCGATCGGGTCATACATCGGGTCAAGGCAAGGAGTGCGTGCATTACGTGTTTGATGCAATTGAAATCCACTTGGTTTCAGCTGTAGGGGCTGCGTTCGTGGAACTTTACTTCGTCATGTCTAGCCTCTTTGCATCTCGCGCCTACTATGCATTTGGTTTCCTTGCGCTAATAGCAGGAGTTGTTGCACTTACCACTGGCACCGTGACAATCTTGTTCACGTATTTGAACCTTTACGCTGAAGAGTATAGTACAGGTATCATGATGTTTATTTGTCATTCGTTATCTCGGTTCTCCCGCTGGTCTAGATGGTGATGACTCAAAACCCGAACAAGGGTGGTCATTGGTCAAGGTTCGGACGTCTAACTTGATTCGGGACGTTTGCGTTTCGTTTCATTGTTAGTAGTTGACATCGAAGAACCTAGTTACCTGAGCTTATGTCACACTGTCACAGAGCGTAGATGGCCAAATATAAATTCAATTCAATATTCAAGCTATGATAGTGATTACTAAGCCCTCTGACGAGAGGGGCAGGGTGAAATCTGTAAACCTGACAAGTTTCTTATGTAGTTGGCATTTTGGCAGATCTGTCCCATTTCAAACCCCGAACTCAATACAGTATGCCGAGCATCGTTATTCACCTTGACATCACGTTACCTTCACCTAACTACCTTCATCACTGAATAGAGGGTAGCTCGCTATGACCTGAGGTTGATTACATAATGTCGTCATCAAGGCATAGGTGTACATAGCATTGTAAAGCTAAGAGCACATCCAGTAAATTATGTTTTACATTATAGAACACAAACTCATAGACTACACTTCTCTCATTCTATATCCATGACTTGCAAGGGACAGTCATTTTGTCATGATCGAACCACGCACTAGCTAATAGCATGAACATTAAATAATATGACCAGAGCATTGGCTGGTCTCAGCAACAGATGAAAATATTTAGTGAGCATTCCAGTGCACCGGAAACATACAAGCAAATTTCTTCTTACACTGTAGAACATAGACTGCCAGACTGGACTTATCTCATTTCATATCTAAGGATTGTAAAGGCAAATCATTTTGTCATACTTGTAACACGAGCAGATGGGAGCCCCAGTGCTGTGGCAACATTGAACAATAAGAATAATGGTATTATATTGTCTCTATGACTTGAAAATAGCTTATCAGTGTGCTAATGAAAAGAAGGAAGATATCAACATTGAGATTTGCGCGGTCAGGACTCAAAAATTCACATTCTCATCAGTATCCTTGTCAGTAAGACCCTCCATATGATCCTCCTCCTCCTCGCTATCCTCCTCGCTATCCTCCTCCTCATCAGTCTCCTCCTCCTTTTCAGTCTCCTCCCCCTCATCAGTCTCCTCCCCCTCATCAGTCTCCTCCCCCTCGTCAGTCTCCTCCTCCTCATCAGTCTCCTCCTCGTCATTACTCTCCTCACCCGCATCACCACCATCCTCTCTCACTTTGTTCTCCTCATCTTCCCTGCTAACTATCTCATCCTGCTCGACCCTCCAAGGTCCATGACCGACACCAGTAGGGAATAGCACGGGTGAACCCCAGGGTACGAGTGGCGCAACCCCCACCCGTACCCCGCGATATACCCACACCCACGTCGTGGGTGTGGGTTTTTTGGTGGGTATGAGGCCAAACCCACCCAGGGTATCACCCACTGAGGGTATACCCATGGGTGGGTACTGTCAATTGTCAAAAAACTACGAGATACACACAAATGTAGTAGCTACTTGATGATAATGCGATCCCACCCATCCTCCAGCTCCAGCTCCTCACCCTCCACATCAGCGAGCATGCTTACAGACATTACGTCCTCGGTCTTGACAAGGTTTAAGTGGCTCCAATAGCCAAGACATAAGAGCGCGCGAGTCGATTGCACATTCAAGCGGGAACGGATATGGGAGAGAATGAGCCGTCCACGGCTGAAAAGCCGCTCAACGTCGACCGAGGTAGCTTTAGTCAAAATTTAGATATCAATTTAACTGAAAAAAAGGTTGGCACGTACCAGGAATAGTCAGATAATCTAATGCCATGCGGGAGAGTCGAGGAAAGGTTGCGTGGTGCTCATGCCACCACATGAGGGGATCATCAACATGTTCCACATCGGCATTCAGATAGCGGTCGAGTTCGTCACCAAGGTCGGTCGGTTTTGGAGGTGCGAGTGCAGGTATGTTGTCGAATATATTGTCCTATTGTTATAGTTAGTATACAAGTTAACTTACACAAAATAACTCACCATGGCGCTTTGTTGAGAAGATTCAATCAAGTCCGTATCGTCACCGTCAGAGTCGGCATCTGGCGTGACTAAGTACGAGCGCCTGAACTCATCTCTCACAAGTGTCTCGGCAGTTTGAATCCAGTCGTCCTCCCACCCCACATTCTTGAAATACGCGAGTTTATGACGGGGGTGAAGCACTGAATGATAGTGAGCAAGACTACTTGAACTGCAACAGAGCACTTACCCATAGCAATGCGGTACACTTCAGAATGGTCCGTGAGTTGATAGTAGCGATCCAAGGTTTTTTTAGCAAGTCCAACGGCAGCACGAATTGAGGGCTGATAGTCGGCGTTATTAGAATACAGTGTGAGTTTTTCGTCAATTAAATCCATTGCTGGAATGACGGTAGGGAGATTGGGTGTTGACCGCGAGAAAAACATAGTTGCGTCTTTGAGAATCTAGTTAGAATTCCATTTTGGTGCATTAGTAAACAATGAACAACAACTACACACCAACACCACGCACCTTCAGAACATTTCGCAGCTGGTCTACAATTAACCATTCATGATCCGACAACTCGAGATCTCTCAAACCCAAGTCCCTTTGCTGTGTCATCGCATCAACTGCTCTTCGGTGTTTCAAGACATATGCAAGCATGTCAAACGTGGAATTCCAGCGTGTAGCCACATCGCGTGGGATGTTGGTGACTGGCCTTCCCTGTTCTCGAAGGATGTTGTGCCATGCGGGCAGGAGTTTTGTCATGGAGTGAATGACCTTGAATGTGAGCTTCCGAAGCTGTGTGATATGTTTATTAAGGTATGTTTTCGATTTATTCTAATGTACAGACCTTAACAAGTACCAGCTTAACTGGACGAATATTCTGTTGCAGGCTCTTGCGCGCGTCATGCGTCAAGAATTCAGTTTCGTCAACAAACCCATCAACGTCATCACCAGGCAGTACGTCAGAATCCATTTGCTCGTTCTCACTGTGGCCGTCAACATTCGGCTCATCATCATCGCTCTTCTCGTGGTCGTCATCACGGCTCTTCGGTTCATCAAACTGTCGAAGGAGAGATTTTGCTACCAAATTGACCATATGCAGGAAGCACCTCGTGTGGGCTGCTGTACCACCGAAGTCAGGGAGTATGACTGCCATCTCTTCGAGCATGGCAGTATTATTGGCCGCGTTATCGCATGTGACGACGAGGATCTATCATTTGGTGAGTCCTGTGAGTATACGCAGGGATTGTGTGCTGACCTTTCTTGTTACTCCATAATCTTTCAGCACTTGTTCGAAGGCCGCTGCAAGCTCCTCCCCCGTGTGGGACTGATAGTGTCTTAGCACGATGTTCTTCTCTAACTCAGTGAGTCGAGTACTTACTTTCGGCACCTCAATAATGTCTAACGGTAAACTTAGAGGCACACCTTTGTGTTCAAGATGTGACGAGAATGCTACAAGGGCACGGTGGTTTGGAGACGACCATCCGTCCGTCGTAAAATTGAGTTTGCCCTCGTATTCCTGGTAAGATTCATTAGTCTTCCTCTTGCATCCAACTGATCTACATACATTTATCATTTTAGCAATTCGTTGTCTTGTCTTCGCAAAGACCAATCTAACATCGCACGAGACAGTCGATGGAGATGGTATGTAGTATTCCGGTCTCCCTGTCTTCATAAGTGACTGAAATCCCCTGTCTTTGACAATGTCAAATGGCCGTAGGCTTTCCGCAACCCAACGAACAAGTTCGGCTCTGAATGCAACTATATCAGCCGCAAGAATTCTCCGTCTCATTGTGATCCTACCTTGTCTCGGTCCGGGTATGCTGACGATGCGAGTAAGTGACCTTCCCCTTGCCTTTACGTTCGAATGCGGTTGTAATTGATCCATCTTTCAGATATCCTGCGACGATCTTGGTCCGAACTTCATCTGCATTCCTGGCTTCATCAGCAGCTTGCAATACATCATCGCCCCAGCAGGACTTGACGTGTTTCCGCATATTTCCCGTGGATCGTGCATCTTTTTTGTCGAGGAAGCGTCGAATCGTAACCTTGCATCCCTTGCCCATACATTTGAAGGAATGTGCACGACGGCCATCAATAGACTCTATAGCAGGTGTAGGGTCAAAAAAAGCATAGATCGGTGAGATCCATTCCTTCATTAACTGTTCTTTAGCTAATATGAGCTTGTATTACTTGGACTAGTGAAATCGGCCTTACTGAGTTCATCCTCCGCACACTCTTCCTCATCCGCACTCACTTCATCCTTGTCCTCGTCAGTATTCATACCCGCTCCCTCGTCATCGCTGATGACAATAGCATCATGATGTAACACACTTTCTTCTTCCTCATTATGAACTACTGCCTGGTTTGACTTGGCCTTCTTGGGATGTGTACTAGTAGCAGCACTTTCATTATTCTTTCGTTTGTTTGAGCCTTCCTGCTTCTCGTCTAGCACAGCTTTAGCTTTGTCCGTGAGTTTTTTAATACGCTTGGCAGCGCCTGAGAAAAATGTGGGATCCATGCTGTGATGATTGTAAGGGCGCTGTGTTTAGGTTTAGAGTTTAAGGTTCATGTCCAATATTAGCTTAGTTTTAGAGTTTAAGGTTCATGTCTAATGTGTGTTACTAAGTTTCAAAATAAGTCATGTTTGCTTACATACCTACCACCAGGGTGTGGGTAGGGGTATGGGTGCCCAAAGTACAGACCCCCACCCACACCCCAGAGGTACCCACACCCACGACCCACGTGGGTTGAGGATACCCATGCTATTCCCTAGACACCAGTGCTAGTAAAACGAATGAACATATCGCAATCAACAAAACTATGAACAAAATCAAGATTGCAAATCGAATTTCGGATGAGGACTTACATGTTAACATAATATGAGGTCCATTCGTCATCCTCTCTCCGTATGCATCCCACAGACTTTTGCTGCAGTGTAGACTGGACCCTTCCATCTGCAAATGCTAGGATCAGGTGTACCCCACAAACTACTGAGGCAGGATCAACAAAGCTGAATGCAGAGTCATTGATCTCAGGTACAAAGGCAACTTTGGGGAGACGAGCTGCTTTAATCCCAGAATGGTGGTGTTGAACTGGATCAAACCATCTGACAAATAAGATCTCCATTTGAGTTTTCTGTGTGTTCGCTCCACCTGATCATAGGTCAAGTACATTGACATGGAATATGTGCCGCACTCGAGCATACCAGTAGGGATGGGTCGAACAGGATCTGGAATCACCCGACAATAGCATGATATCAGTGTGGTTGTGGGGGTTAATCAGATCTTGCTCGCATTGTAGATTGTACGAGGTGTAGTTGATGCGTAGCATATTGACGGAGAACAAAATACTGTTGCATATGACAATGTTGTTTCTGTCATCACTAGAAAATTCAGTGGGGCCATCACTATCTTGCACCCATAAGCAACACAATACGTGATCCTTGAGTTTGGGGATGAATTGCTTGTAAGAGTAGCTGATTAGTTGATGTATGCAGGCCCATACAAACACGCACCTTAAATGCTGGATCATCTTTGTTGTCCTGAAGTAGTTTGTGTATATGCACGGGAGAATTGCGGTGGTGAGATAGTTGGTGATGAAGGCGTGGGTCTGGAGGTGGAAGTTTTTCAGTGCTGACTGGAGCCAACACTGATTCCTTCTCTAACTCCCAGTCAGAAAGTGATGGCACAATCTACTAAATCAACGCGACGTGTTGTGAACCAAATACCGTAAAATAACGCGAGTCGCTTGAATTGATTGGACCTATCAAAGGCACTAGAATATGTTAACATGAACCAAACACAATAAAACAACACGCGCTTACCTGGATTGCGACCCGCGGCTGATAAAATGATGTAAGTTAAAAATTTTGACATCTGATGCCTTAGTCACGTGTCCTTCAATTTCACCATTGAGTTTTGATTATACGAAATGGATAATAGACCTACTTACCAGTGGCGTGCACATCGCGATCAAGTGCATAGCGTGTTTCAACCTAAAGAGTCAGATGTAAGCATGTGCGCATAAGCTGGAGAGTGAAGCTCTACTCCAGCGATCGGTGTATTGAGACTGTTTCGTAGCTTTTAGGTGGCGAACTCGAGTTTGCATCAACATGTACCTGGCGCCTGGGACCTATACCTACACCAGACCAGGATATTCGAGTCAAAGCACGAATCTCCCAGATCATCAATGATCTAGAAGTGTCAATCGAGGACAAACCACGCATTCAATTATGATGACACTTACCGATATCAAAGCACAAACCTCCCGGATCATCAATGACCTAGAAGCGTCGATCAAGGACAAACCATGCATTAATTATGATCACGCTTACCAATACCAGACCCGAATCAAAGCACGGATCTCCCAGATCATCAATGACCTAGTAGCAGCGTCAATCAAGGACAAACCACGCATTAATTAGAAGTAAACACTTACCTATACCAGACCCGAATCAAAACACGAATCTCCCAGATCATCAATAACCTAGTAGCAGCGTCAATCAAGGACAAACCACGCATTAATTAGAAGTAAACACTTACCTATACCAGACCCGAATCAAAGCACGAATCTCCCAGATCATCAATGACCTAGAAGCGTCAATCAAGGACAAACCACGCATTAATTATAAGTAGACACTTACCTATACCAGACCCGAATCAAAGCACGAATCTCCCAGATCATCAATGACCTAGTAGCAGCGTCAATCAAGGACAAACCACGCATTAATTAGAAGTAAATAACACTTACCTATACCAGAAAGCACGAATCTCCCAGATCATCAATGACCTAGCAGCGTCAATCAAGGACAAACCACGCATTAATTATGATCACGCTTACCAATATCAAACCACCAATTCATAGAAGTGAAGTGTCAATCAAGGACGTTGACGAGTGGTCAAAGACTACCAAATCTGGTATGAATCAATATGGATCAACATGTACAAATATTCTGGATGTTTCGGCATTCTGGTTCTCCTCGCTCAGCTGTATCTGCATTCTGGTTCTCCTCGCTTGTATTCAGCATCGCTGCTGCTCTTAATAGTTTGCCGGGGCTTTCTTAGAAACAAGGCTATTCAGTGAGTACCCTTCCACGGACTTGAAGCGAGTCCCAGCTGATGTGTATAGTCAACTCCGTACAAGCAGGTCTGTCATACGTTGGAGTTTGTCTTGCTGCTGCGGGGAATTATCTGACCCTCGCAGTTGTTCTGGCGTGGGCAGGCTCGAATGCGAGAGGCGACTTAAAGCGTGGAGTTGTACTAGCAATGGCCATTGGTATCAGTAACCTTGGAGGGTACGTCGTATTAACATAAATACAAACTATTTGCCTGCTCATGCTTGTCTCAGTGTCTGTTCCTCCTTCATCTATGTTGACCCGCCACGCTTCCACATTGAACAGGGCACCAACATGGGATTTATTTCACTTTCGTATGTCTCATCAGTCTTCCGAACTGCAACATAATAATACGATCTTCTAACAGAATCATAATGAGTATCTTCGCTATGTGGAACTACAACCAGCTGAACAGAAAGAAAGAAGTGCGGTGTCTGGCAGAAAACATTGGCGACAATAGAAGATACGAATTCAAGGACATAGGCGATGCCAGTCCGCTTTTCAGGTGAGTTTATCACTCGTCCGCAATGCTACCTTAACTAATGGATATGTAAGGTATACCATATGAAACATACAGCTAATTCAAGCTGTCCTGGAGCGTTTTTTTTTATATCACTTCGGGAATAAGGCGCACACCTACATCTCATTTGTAATAGTACTGGCATAATGTGGCTTAGCATAGACGATCTTATAAGTTGACGACAACAATGAAACCTCATTCTATACGACGTCCCCTCCCAATTGCCTGGAAGCTACTGGTCTCCAAATACATCGAAATCGAAGGTGACTTCCTTACGAGGCTCTTGTGTCAGGTTCGTGTTAAGCTGCAGAGAAGTCACACTCGGATATAGTATATGACGATGTGGCCCGGGACTGCTTCGAGTAGACATTTTATATTGTATCTGTCCTTGGTGCCGGTGATAGTAAATGTAGGCTGGCCATCAGCTTGCTTTGATCTGTAATTTTGATAAGAAGTTACGCCATAATTAATGTAGCGCAGAAAGAAATGTCAAGCGAGTCGGACAATGATGTACTACAGTACTGGTACTTCAGCAAGTCACATGTAGTACTGATCTATAATTCAAAGGAGATTTATGATTTGGTGTACTTAAACTCAATTCATGTTACTTCGTTCACACAAGTAACTAGTCATTTCTAAGGTCTGAATCATGTACTTCAAGGCCCGAAAGAAAGAAAAAGGTATTTCATTCATTTGTTAATGTGACTGGAGCAAATCTTGAGTAAATCCGAAACACCGCAAGGTTAGTAGTAATGCCTAATTCAGACGTCGCACAACACATCTTCACGTCGCACAATACATCTTAGTTATCATCAATAACCAGTAACCTATTGATATTTCCACTAATACTAACTCCTAATACGACATACATGGTACTAAGTAGCACTGTTATTCTATGTAGGACAGGACAATGTATCAAATATGCGCGTTGCTCATCTGCTCTGAGAGATCCTCAATATGAGACCAAATGTCTTCTTCATCCGAGGACATAGTCTGTGATTCGGTGGGCCAGAATGGGGAACCAGGCATCGGAATCGCACGAAGCTCGCCATTTTCATAGGCGCGAGTGTACTGCGCGAGGGCTTCCTGGAACGTATCACATTTATAGTGGATATTACCACTGACACGATTCACCCGCTGTGCGACATCATTCCTGAAAGCACGATAACGCAAGATTAGATATGAGCAAATGCGTTTTGATGAACTACATACCAGTGAAAGAAAAGTCCGACTTGTTGCCCCACAGTAATGACATAGAACTTGCTGTTATGCCCTTCTGGAGGCGAATTGAATGCGCTTGGGTGGGGAATTGATGGGCCATAAAGTGGTGCGTGTGGGGCCGCCAAAATGGTTGTTCGAGTGGATGACGGTGAGGTTTGGGTGCGGGACCATGCAGATGGTGCCACTCGAGATCGAATAGAGCTGGGAGTATTTTGGGAGGGGGAAGCGAATGTTTGATTGACTTCTGTGGTGCGAGTCCTCGATATTTTCGTGGTGCTGGTTCTTGTCCGTGTCTTGGCAGCACCAGGTGCCGAAGTCTCGGTGGTCACGGTAGTCTTTGTTTCACGCACTTCGAGTGACGTGACTTTGTGGGAATGTGTGAGAGGCGCTGCCAGTGTCAACCAGTCAGATGTATACATAATATTCAGTATATATATCTTACCATCTGCCTCAGGATCTTCAGACGAACTGTGACGCATGACACTTGCTCAATTGACAAGTAAGTGGCGGCCTAGAAACGCGAGATCAGTATCGTATCACGTGAATCTGTTGAATGGCGCATCAATCACTTGACAAATTGAGAATAATTGAGAATCAAAACATCGGAAAATGACGACAAGCCGTAGTTCACGCACACGCCATCGCACTGGACTAGCGTCTACAAAAATTCGACATGTTGTATCCTCACGCGATCCTCGTCGTCGGGGCTCTGGGCCTACTCAGGAGGTACTCGGGCCAAGAAAAATTGCTGAACGAGCAGCAAGTGCTATAGAACGGCGGAGGGCTCGACTGCAAGGTACGTAGTGACTATTGCTACTCGTTAATGATTATATGATTCCAACGACTTACCTCAGAAATGTCTGCTGATCAATGGCGTGCCCTAGAGGCGCTGCGTGACCATGGCGATGTCACGGATGATAATGCCCAGGTGGACGACGACGACTCCTACGGTGCCTGGGATGTTCTCGATGGAACCCAGCCACTCGATATAAGTCATGGAGGGGGAGAACTGCAGGAACTCACCCGTGGGATTGCTGGTGATTTTTGGAATGCGTAAGTCCAATTTGAAGGTAAAAGATGGCTCACTGCGTACCTTGAAGCCATAGTAGACAGTCAGTTCGTCGTAAAGACTACCGGTCACGACGCGATCGAACACAACGTCGGATCGAGGCGTTTGACTACCAAATGCCAGCACTAGTTACAGCGTACCTTACATGGAGTCTGGAGAGAGATGAGAAACGTGGAATGGGATTTTTTGAGAGGCAGAAAGATGTTGATGCCGATGACGTCAATGCTGGCCAAGTGTTTATCGAAGTTGTTGATATACATCGTGAGTATTGAATGTTTATTTACTTTGCTTCGATTACAAAGTTCTACAGACGCTGAGAAAGTGCACCTTTCAATTCTCTCATCCGACATGTATCTTGCTTCAGCACTCGTCCGCCACGGTGTCATTCCCTGTTCCCCGATTAATCCTTCAGTCGGCATGACCATTGACTGCCTGGAGTTTTATCGTATCGCACGCCAGCGCTGCCCGAACTTCTCTATTCAAGCATTTACGAAGACTCTCTGTGATTTGCAAGGCGTGAGTCATCTAACACTATCTATACAACAATGATTCATTATTTATCTAGAAACGTTTCCGTAGCTACCTGTCACGCCAATTGTCGATCGCTTTGGATCTTTACTTGCTCATTTGCACGCAGGTTCGTTCACTGGTCCAGGAGGCAATAGGACGAAGCGCTATCGACTGGAACCTCAAACATGCATGTCCTGCATGTTTGTATACCTTGGATGCGGAACCTCAACTCAAATTTAGTCTGTTGTACGCAATGGATGGAAACGATTCACTCAAGCGAGTCCTCAAGCGAGTCCCCGACGAGGAGCATGCCGAAGATTTAGTATCACGGAACAATCCTCAGTCATCAGAGCTCCCGACGTCTCAAGCCATCGTAGACTATCGTTACTTGACCAGGGAGTATGTGGATTCTTTCGCAGACGCATTAAACCCTCAAGTTGATTTGTTCGACGATGACGAGGTAAGCTTCACCTACTACAACTCTACTGACTAATGCTTTGATAGGATGATAACCCTTGTGCGGGTCGATGGAAAAATATGAAGGACGACAAAACGAAACGGATGTGGGGAGTTTTTGATGAGTCGGGGATCTTTATGGCAGTGTGTCGACACGGCTTTACACTTATCATTGCAGACATGGTGCAGAGTGGTGAACGGTATGTTCAATTCTTTATTGCAATGTATTCAAGGTTAGCGACTAACAACATTCCAGTGCAAAATATCCACTCGCTGTTGTCTCAAGGCTACTCGATACATTCGGACACAACCTTGGCGGGGGGTACGACATTGGATGTAGGTTCAAGACCACACTCTCTCGCAGCTCTCTTGGTCCTCGTGCTCGTACCCTGAATCACACATCGCTTGTCGGAGCTTTTCATGGTCATGCCCACCGCCGTTTATGTCAACTAGATCACCTCACAACGTATGTCACTGGTCTCGGCTTAGAAGACCTCGAGGGTTGTGAACGGACATTCTCAAAGTCAAACGCGCTCGCTCCTGCCACTCGTTATGCGAGTGTGTTTCACCGTCGTCAAGCAATCTTAGGTTATTTCGAGCACAACGACGAATTTGAAATATATCATAATTTGAGTGAGTTGCATGGTGCCTTGTATTACGTTTTGTCTGACGGGTTCATTGGTAGCTACGTTCCTATACAACAACTACAAACAGGCGCTCGACATTCTGTATGATGGCCAGACTGTTCTTCCACGCCTGATGCAGGAACTCGGTGTCACGGACGAATCAGAACTCGAGGCGTGGCTCGAGAATGAACGTGCGTATCTCCTAAGTCGTACGCATGAGCCGGAGCAGGAAACTCTTCAAATGGAATATTGGCAGAAGCTCGTGAACTTGTCCGCAAGCAAGTACGTACCTATTTTCTTTGATCCCTGCAACGACACTTATCTCTAGTATTAGGAAGGAATTAGATGGGACGGCATGGTCTCTGACCACGCCAGGATCATCCTTTGGACAGGCTGACGTTAGCATGACAGTAAGACTCGAGACAGCACGCCGTCACGCACTAGAGAATTACGAGAAGGACCTCAAAATCGTCCACGACCTGGAGATGAAGCTTGGCGTGGACAAACGTTGGCAACCCGAAGATATCGAGTGGCAAAACGCTGGACGGCTCGTCGCCAACAGGAAGTACCAGCTGGCATTGGACACGCTCGAAGGACTAATTGTTGCCAGGATCTTCGAACTCTCCAAGATGAATAGGGCAGGAACAGGTATGTCGTCGATTCTTGTTTGAAATATATACTCAATGTGCATTGTAACTAGGCTATAAAATGCGAAAACACATCGGCAAGGCCCTCCAAGTCCGGTCTGCAGCCATCCGTACAGCTCTCGATCGCTATAACCTCACTGCTCATGCATTATCCTCACCACGTCCAGCACTGAAGTGGGAAGATGTTGTCGAGTACGCGTTCCTTGCAGATTTCGAGCTTCTCCGTGACGCACGCGAGGATATTTCGCAACGCCCGTGGGCTACTCCATCTGGTCGCCATGCAATGGACTTATATTTCAAGATGTGTCGCGCGAGGGAAGAAATCGAGCGTCTGAATGTAGAGATCAGGCGTGTGGCTACGTATCTGCAAGACGAGAGACATTACCTGGAGGAATGCGAGATCCTATTGCACACGCTGCACCCAGGTTTGGCCCATCAAGTACAGATCCTCCGGAACACGCGCGGCCGCTTCCTGGATTATCACTGCCAGCGGCTGCGAGACATTGCGGGGCTACCTGGGTTTTCCGGGACACTGCTCCCTGGGCAGGCCCTGCACACCGGTCCAGGAGAGAGCGCGTCCTCTCCGTCAGTTCAGGTGCCTCATAAACTGTGTCCTGCTGCTGTCGATGAGTCGTTGGCCTTAGGGACTTTGAGTGGGGATGAGGATGGGCTTGAAGACCTGGAGGAGGAGGAAGATGATGAGCAATTGGCGGAAGAGGAGTCTCGCACCTTGCAGGATATCCTAGAGGTCTCAGGCCACGATTAATACATCTTCTATACTTCACTCCCTGTAGTTATGTAAGCATTTGACAATGGACGGTGTACACTATGTACACGCAAGGAGTATCTGACATAAGCACGGGACTTTCCTAGCCGCCGGCATCTATGAATAGATCAGGAACATCGGCACTATGTCCGGATGTGTCAGGTTGTCGCCAGGTAAGCTTAAAGGGCCATAAATATTCACAATTATTCGTACTGGCAGGGAATCACTCAAAGTGCCTCGACTTAGACCGGCCACACCGACACAGTGGTACGTCTAACAGGCCTGACAACGTGGGAGCCTCAGGTGGTCCCAGCCTAAGAACTTTCGATCAATTCGTAAACAAGGCTATTCAAAATCACGAGTTCGACAGTCACACGGTACGGGCTTGGTACGGGCTGTGACGCCATCAGCGCTCAGCTGCGGCGATTGCATGACGATATATACGGTATGTGCAATTGAAAGTCCTTCCGTTAATACATAGTCTTAATTTTCAGAGGACCATCAAAAAATCGCCATATCAAAGTGAGAGTTCGAGTGCAGCAAATTCTGAACATTTGGATCCTCCTTCAACATCGGTGTCAACCTACGCATCAGGATCAGTAGTATCTTCTGATATCAAGTCCTTTGGCTGCCGTGAGGTCAAGCGGGAAGAGGGGTCTTCATAGAAGGACCACGGAACACGTCTTCCAGATCATTTTCTCGTTCTGCAGGCTTTGAGTTCTGGGTTTCCCTTCGACTGAGCGAACCTTTGACTTCATACAGGTGAGCAGTCCGTGCCAAGCGTTTGGTAGACTTGGGAATGATGAGTCCTGTTGATGAATGCGAGTTTGCTTGCACCATATGGGCGGCGCGGGGGAGTGTGGATATCTCCGTGGAGATAGAATTAGGTATGCGGCGGGTGGGGGTGCGGAGTGTAGAATTGGTAAATGGAGGCCCGGACCGTTTTGTGGCGGTGGAGCCGCGCGGGGTGGATCGTTTATCTGCGAAGGTAGTAAAATGCGGAGGTCGGCGTGGAATAGCAACATGATCGGAGGACCGTTGTGTTCGATGAGACGGAAAGTCTACAGGAGAATCTAGCCCCAAAGGATGACCCTTTTTAGGTTCAGACCTCTCGCCGACAGGAATCTCAGGATTGCGATTTCGGAACAGCATATTATTCGAGCCACGGTCAGCGTTACTGCTAAGCGAAGCTTAAGTTGCGCCAGCCCCATTCTCTCGCAGAACGAGTAATGACTTGAGGGGGTTCTATGGATGGTGCACCTCTGGTTAAGCCGATGAATACAAGCACTGTCAGGAGCAGGCAGAGTTGTGCGATCCCAAGACGCTTTTCAAGAGTAACCTTGAAACATCATGAGCCATCATTATCATTTTCAGGAAATGGAAGCCAACCTCTTCAGCAAGACATTTTACTCGTGAGAAACGAAGTCGCTATCTTTCCCACTCGTGAGCTGTGCGCTGATACATTTGTGCCTGTATGCGACTGAGAGATGTATGAGATGGGTCGTTCAAATTAGCTCTAGTGTAACTCACGGTGCTCTGCAACCTGCCGACATCCTCACCGAGCCTCCTAAGTACTTCACGCACACCAGAGGTTTGCTCCTCCACATAACGTGCATCCAGGCTATGATTTGCCTCTGGGAGAGTTAGTCGGGTCATGATTGTGCGGTATATTGACTCTCCACCTGATCCGACGGGTGGAGGGATAGATAATGTTGGCAAGGCTGTCACCAGCGTGTTCGTAGACGGGCTGTGATGAGATGATAATGATGAAGATTGCGATAAAGATGCTTCGATATTAGAGGTATACGGGAGTTCTGAAGAGATTAGATATGGGGATTAGGTAGACGTGCTCTCATTAGGCGAGAGGGATGCTGCAGAGGATATGGCGGTGTCGAAAGACGCAACGCTCGTCTCGGAACTCAATATAGACGTCGAGTTGGCGGACGAAGTAGGCTGCTGCATGATGGCAGAGTCGGTAAGAACAATGGCCGGTGAAGACGCCATGGACTGAAAAGACGAGTTGACTGAGCTATACGTCCGGTTCACCGCCTTGAATGCCTGAGAGTTGTTGGAAGTGGGGTATCAAGAGGATATGCAGAAGGTATGTTCCGAGCCTCGAGCTCATCCATAAACTTGTTCAGTTCAGATCCCCCAGAACTGATGGGCAGGGGCTCCGTAATGGAGGAAAATACTTGAGCTTGAGCTCGGGCGAGTTTATGATTCTCTTCTTCCCACATGTCCCAATTCCATTGTTCAAGATGGGTCAAAACCTAAGAAGGGAGACAGGACAGTAATACGCATGTCCATAGCGTGAGTGAAAGTCGATCCGGATGTACCTGCAGAAACCGCGCAGGGTAGTTGGCGTATGGAAAGACTCCTTGGTCAACGGCAAGGTTTTAACATTGGGGAGAAACACGCGCCTGCACACCATGGACATTTTTTCCCTTGTAAGTACCCGCCAGTGCCCACCCGTCATCAGACGTCGTGTAAGTCTTCTCGGAGCGGGGAAACACTGAATGTAATTCTGCTGTCGTTATGAGTAAACATATGTGCCGCATATATACGTTGGTGCACTTACGTTCATAAGTGGCTCACAAGCCAAAATGAGCATAGTGGTAGGGAAAGCAAGCTCTGACATGAGTATGCATGAGAGGGGACATTACTTAATACGTGGTGGGTCTGAAATGATGGCGAGGTGCAAGTAAATACCGTATAAGGGAATTTTAGAACATGTATTTCGGTGCCGGATATGGACGTGAAGATAGCAAGTTATGAGACCCACCCCCTGACGGTAGCGGGAATTGTGATATGTTCCCTTCTAAAATCTTCACCGATTCACCGATGAAGGTCCATACGAGTCAAAAAAAAAGTATGACTATGTAACGAATATGAGCGTCCATAGATAAAGTTCACTCCTCCCCCTCGGACTCAGAGTCGCCGTTCCCGGGCTGATCAAACACGCGCAAGGTGACCAGTTCCCTCCTGCGCAGCGGGTTGATGGCAATCGCTGGCCCTCCTCTATTTGCCCCGCGAGGAAGCATCTCCCATGCGGCACCCTGCATCTTTCCTGATGACCACAGACGGTCTGTCCGGGTGTACGGCACCCATGCCAGCTTATCGAATTCGGCCTTGAGCACACGTCGGGCTCTGGACAAAGATTTCTTCGTTATAACTCTGGCAAAAGCCACATACTTGGTGTAGTATGTACATCTCCCAAAGTTCTGACGTTTAGCATTCTCGATAGTTTCGGGAAAGAGACGATCAAAGTGCATCGTCCATTGGTCATCTGTGCAGACACAGTATTGTGCTTTAGTAAACGGAAGGTCTGCGGTCTGCAGGAGCTCTGGCCGCGCTAGCTCGCTGCGCATGCGAGCGGGGATGCTGAGGTATGACCCATCTCGTGCAGATTTTGGATTAGGCGCTTCCTCGACGATATCCAGGAAGAACTGCTCGTATATTTTGGCGATGCGCTGGTTGATTGTGAGTTCATCTTGCTCGTGGTTCCCTCCCCCGTCGAGTTCTCGTACTTCATCCCCGTTTAGGACATGCAGGTCCACGTCTCTGCCAGCCAGGCGAACAGGACGTTTGAATCGGATACCCCGAACCTCCGTGTCGAGGCGCAAGCGCTGATTATCCGGTTCCCTGACATCGTCAACATCACGAGTCTTTCGTTTGCGATTTTTGGTTCGTTCTGGGTTAGGGAGGCGCCCACTGAGTGGGACTGCACTCCATGCAAACGAGGAGCGGATTTCATCCATGGACGTCTGGTGAAAGATACGAACCAAGGACTCTGCGTCAAAGGTGCGTTGCACTGGCAGTCGAAGAAATGTTGGATCGCTGTTTACCACGATATCGCACATAAAGTATGCGCCGTTGTCATACAGGACGGGTACGGTGGGTGCGTCTTCGTCGTCTTCGTCGTCAGCAGGATTCTCAAGAACTCGTTGACAACAATTCTCAATCAAGTTTTCCCATCCAAAGCCCTCGGCAGGACGGTGGAAGCAAGCATTGGCCATGTAGATGCAAACCGCACCTAGTGCCAAATTAGAGTCCATGGAACGAACTCTGCCATCCGCTTTTTGCAAGCTCTTGAGGACTAGACGAATTGCGGCCAGACGATAATAGACAAAAAGCCTAAAATGACGTATCAGCTGAGGGACGCAAGTTAATGCCATGCGGATGCGTTCTTACCACCACACCCTTCTTTCAATAGCGACGACACAGCGCTTAATGAGGTCCTCGGGGAGGGTGGACAATGAGTTCATGGCATTGGCCAACGAAACCCGAATTTCCAAGCGAGCGCAACCATCGCGACCTTCCACTCCTCCTTCACCAGCGCATTCAAAAAATATGTTACTCATGATGTCCATATCTTTGATTATTTTGTTTTCGGTCTCCTTCTGCAGAAGCTCCTTGGCCTGACGTCGACGGAACACCCCTGGATTCATGGAGTACGTCACATTCTTCTCGGTGCAATACGCCTGCACATATGATGGACCCGATGCGCCTGCACAATGGGTCGTAGTCGCACGAAAGCCGGCAAATTCTTTGATCTGCAGTGCGCGGTCCAGATGAAACCGATCCTTGTTATTGATCAGGCGAGAGATCTTCTGTGCGGATGCGGCAGGCATCAGATAACTCAAGAGCTCGCGGTGAGAAGATTCGCGCCATGTGACAACGTGGCCTGGTACGCCGATGGTCAGTGCAACATCCACGTGCCATTGCTCAGGATCCAAGCTGTCGACATCGACATGCTCAAATAAATCGTCCATCGCCAGGCGTCGCTCATCTTCATCCCTCCCGTTGTGGATGGTAGCACCTTTCGTTCCTCTCAGCTCATGCCCAAAATAGGCGTCCCTGAATCCAGGTCCCAGATCCGCAAGTTTGGCTAGCAGAGTCGTTGCAACCTGTTCTAACCTATACCAGGGAATGTCTGTACTGCTGAAAGCGAGCGAACCAGTGCGACTCCTGGATTGTGCATATGCGGCTGCATAAGTGGTCGGCCATTTATCGCGTGATTCGGGCACAACCTCCAACATTGTAGGACGGAGGCATTGATCGTATATGAGAGCTAATTTGTCCTGAGTCAATTGGTCGACCGGCCATTCTGTACTGTAGAGCCGCGGGAAGAAAATTCTCACAACGTGCCGTTGCTGAACTTTGCCCAAGGGCATGTTGGGAATTTTGTGCATCGGAACTTCAATCTCTGCGCCCTGGTTCTGGTTAGAATGCATATATAACAACCACCATTGACTGTGTTTCTCACCTGACTATTATATGCACGACTCTTGACATGATTGTCTTTCTTCAATGTTTCTCTGAATGGAGGAAGGGGCCAGATCGATAATGTACTGGTATATGGTAGCGTGTCCGATACCCCAATGACCGAGTCGAGGTCGCGAGTAATATCGATCTCAGGAGGAGTGGGAATGCCTTGTAAGCAATTTAAACGAACTTGGTATTGGTCGAGCTCTTCATCTGCGAGTGGCCCAACCCTTGCGGCTAGCACAAAGCGAATGAAATCAACCTCCGTCTGATCGTCCTGCATCTGAGTAAACAAATGTCGAGAATGACCGACAAATTCTTTCATCGTTAATTGGGAAATATCAATAGTTTCGTCCGGGTATTGCATAGTGAGCGAGTAGGTGCAATAACAGTGGGGGGGCAACTACCAGTCACAGTGCCACTGACGACCATATACTTATACAAGGTACGTTAGGTTGATTGACGATGGCATGATGCATGGGATTACCATTCTAGGTATGTGCTGAGTTTCAAAGGGTTCTCCCATGACTAACGTTCCGGCGCCACTTCTGAAATGTCGGTTGTCAGTGCCGAAAGTACTGCATGACAAAATCGCTAAGCAGTACTTACCATTCTGGGTATATGACGACGGAGATGAACTTAGTGGCTCTTCATTATGATTGAGCGTCTTTCGTCCGTCCCGCATTGACCTGCAGATTTCAGCAGGAAGCGAAATGGCATGAAATGTTTGCAGCGACTCCAGCGAAAGCCTAGTCGATGGTATCATGTCACTAGTAAGAAACCCGTCTTCATTCTGCGCAGCAGTCTCGACTTGCTCAGTCGATCCGATTCCGGTTCGTGTACGCTCCTGGTATTGTGAGCTTTTGGGACGAGTCCGCGTTTAAATTTCAGCTCTTCGGGATCTCTATATGTGATGAAATCTGGTGCCCGTTTCGATCGCAAGAGTGGCTGTACAAAGTTTTGCAGATTTGCATAACGGGGTCTATTGCATAAGAACAAGTGCTTCCGCTGAGACGAGATATCGTCGATACGCATTTCTTGCCTGTGCAGTCATGAGGATAATAATTTGACGTGGGAGGGGATATGCTCTGCGCTGGCCGGCAACAAGAAGAGAGGTGAAATAAACGGCAGAGGTGAAGATACAACAGTCATGCACGACCCCTCTGATGGCACCAGCATCAGCACTCCTCGATGTGGTGTCTGGTCTTTTTGATGTGTCGCAAATTTGCATCTCGCTGAGCTGGTGAGTGTCGCCTGTTGATTATTCAAACCACTCAGTGTTATTGCTAGCGAGGAAATTAGGTGACTTGATATTTCTGGGCAACGCAATCGTTTTGAGTCGAAAGGAGTACAAATAATGAGGGAGAAACGGACCGACGTAACTCAGAAGCCATTCAAGTTGGGTACAAAAAAACGTCCGGGATGTCCTGGCTCCCGACGTCACTGGCAGCTGACGAGAAACAAAGGCGTCTTATAGGAGGCTGGGGCAGTTGACGATGAAAAAGGACATTCCAAATGGCGAGATGTAGTTCTTCATGGCGCGCCAGACGCAACGTTACCAGAAGTTTGCAAAGAATGAGAGGTTTTCTTTGTCCAAGAGGCAGAGTTCCTTGACGCAGGGCATGAGATGTTGCGAAGGGACTGGTTTGCCCCGCAGATAGCCGTTTGCCGAAATGCAGACATTCCTGTAGAAGATGATGAAAAATGTATCCAACAGAAGCAAGTATCACTTACAAGTTCCCTCTATCAAGCTCCTCCACTGCGCTCTTGAAAGGAGACTTGCCATAGCACCATCTGACGTGCGATCTGCAGCGTTGTGGAGAACCTTGATGTCTCAGCCAACTGCGCCTGTGTGGTTGTCATCGCTGGGGCACCATTCGAGCCGGTTGCATGACATAGCGAGGCTAGATGACTTTCAGTGCACGGCATCTAGATTGGCGGCCAAATAAACATCCATATTCATATCTTGATATCGCTTGGCCTTCCTCCGCAACGCCTGACAGACCTTTTCGAAGCTGGACCGAGTCAAAAGACAGGGAGGAGACGGAACGTGCATGTACGTACGCTCTGTACTTGGATTCTTCATTCGAAAATCCACGGTCAATTGTGTGCTCGATCTGTCCGTTGTAGAACTGAACACTTGATAGTAAGATACAAGAGGTTTGCGTTCGCAAAATCCCAACACACATCACTGAATGGAAGGTAGCTTGCTATGACCTGACGTTGATTACATAACGTCGTCTATCTAGGCGTGGTGTACATAGCTCGACATCCCATTGTAAAGCTGAGGGCGATTTTAGTAAATTATGTTTTACATTATAGAACGCAAACTCTTAGACTATATTTCTCTCATTCTATACCTACGATTTACAAGGGACAGTCACTTTGTCACAATCGAACCACGCACTAGCTCATAGCAGAAATATTAAGTAATATGACCAGAGCTAGTGATGTTCCTAGTGCTGCCGTGGTCCGGTCCCGAACCTTGGTTCGAACCTGACCAATGGTCAGGTCCGTCCATGGTTCGGTCCATGGTTCCATATTTTGGACGGACCGAACCGAAATGAGGTTCGTGGTCCACTATTTTCTGAACGGTTCTCACATAGGTTCGGACGTTCCCGAACCGTTCTGAACCCCGAACTGAATTGTCCTCGCGATATCGGCGAGGCACACCCATGCTCACTTCGACTTCGACTTCGACTTCGACTTCTCCCCCCATGGTCATGTCGACTTCGGGGATCCTCAAGATTCGCATTGTCTTTGAATCGGACGCTCGCATCCCGCACCCCCGGTTGTCAGAAGATGCTCAAGGTATGTGAACTGCCAGTCAATAATCTCAATATATTGATTGGTATATCACATTGGTATAGATCTACTTTTTGCTTGCCCCCGGTTTCCAGGAGACGCTCGAGGTATGTCAACTGTCAATAAGCTCAATATACTGATTGATATATCATTGATATAGATTTACTGTTTGCTTGTTTCACACATAAAGGGAGCAAGCCCCACCAGGTGAGTCGTATCATTTCCTCTCGACATGTCCGAATCTGACGGATGTGCTCTCAATGCTGACGGCTCCCTCAAGGACGCCAAAGATATTGTATTTTACAATGACCCTGATGATATTATCCCACTTGGCACTCCGTCCTCTGCCCAGCCAACACTATCTACCACTCCCACAGGCTCAGACGCCTTCTCAGTGCTGCTGAAGGCTGGGCGCAAACCAGCACCGGTTACTGCAGGTGCTCGTCGCTCCATTCGGACATTCAAGCCTTCTGCTCGCCTCCGCGATGCCGACAACGCTTGCTCTCACCCATCATCCTCAAACAGCTCAACAGCCCGCAAACGTGCATTATCTAGTGCGACCGAGCGGCTAGTCAGCAAAAAGGTCGCATTGCAGCTCTCAGCCCCGTTATCTGATGATGACGACTTTCACGCGGCTGGTGCCGATACGGATACTGACACTGATCCTGGCACTGGCCACACTGGCCACTCTGAGTCAGTCGAAGATGAGGACGCACCCGAAGATGACGATGCGCCGACAGCTGAAGACGAACCTGACGACGAACCTGACGATGAACCTCAAGACTCAAACATCCGAGCCACTCTGTCAAAGAGTGAGCGCACTGCTGATGTTCGCACTGTCTTCACTCGCAATGACAAGGAATGGGTATGCAAACCTTGCAAGTGCGTATTTAGCACTACGTGTGTGGTTACTTGCTAATGTTTGATAGGGATGCTGGTGCACTCGAAAGCAAGTACACTTTTCGGGGAGGAATATCCACACTCCGCACGCATATCTGTCGGTACGTTCTCATTTTCGTCTCTCACGTCTTTGTTATTGATATATATTAGCAACAAAAACCATTTTCAACTGTACAAAACACGCTGCGGGCATCACCATGCACCCTCGAGCGGTTCCAATTGGTGAAGGTCAATGCCTGTGAGTATCGTGTTTCATGATTCGTGTTGTGTTGTGCTGATTTATGGATAGTTCAAGGCAATCCACCCTTGACAACATTCTTGTCACCAAAGCACCTACGTTTACCAAGGCAGGACTTCTCGAGTACATCATGGAGCTTATCGTGACTGAAGACGAGGCATTGCAACTTGTCGACAAACCAGCCTTCCGCGACTTGCTCCGTTATGTCCGCCCCGCCCTTGCTGAAAGTGACATCCCTCACCGCACCAAGGTGACAGAGACCATCAAAGCCCGTGCGGTAGCTGTAGTAAATGTTATTCGCGAACGTCTCGCAAAGGTGGACAGTCAAGTCTCCATGACTTTTGACTCGTGGACTTCAATCATCGGCGACCCTTTCTTCAGCGTCACAGGTCATTATATCTGGAGCCCGGATGACAAACCTCAGCAATGGGAGTTACGCCGCGAGCAACTCAGTTTTGTACACATTGAGGGCAACCATAGTGGACAGAATACCGCTCGATTGATTATTGATACCATTGACACATATGAACTACGAGATAAGGTAAAGTTTAGTCTACTACTTTACTGCGCTGAATCTAATCAGTGTGTTGTAGGTTGGATGGATGACCTCCGACAATGCCACCAACAATGATACCGCCATGAAAGCAGTTGCACACGACATCGATCCTGAGGGTACGCGGTGGGCACCTGATGCGTGCCGCATCAGGTGCCAGGAACATATATTAAACCTTGCTGCACGCCACTTTGTTGACGCCGTCGCGCCGACTCCTCAAGCCGCTCTGATGAAGAAAATTCGTCAAGCGCTTGATAACGGCAATGATGCTGATCTTGACACCTTAAACAAACAGCTTTCTTCCATGGATGTCAGCAACGACGACAACGACGACACCTTATTTGACACTGGGGATTCACTCGGCAAAGCTCTTGCCCTCATCGAGCAGGTACGTGCTATATTTGTTAGACGATTCTTTTGCTGATCGAGATCCCCAGATCCGAAAGTCCCCTCAAGCTCGCACATTTTTCCGTAAGGCTTGCAAAGAGGAAAACGTACCTGAACTAGAGTTGTTGCAATGGATCCGGACTCGCTGGGCCTCGCTATATAAATGCCTGGACCGCATGTTGCTCTTGCGTCAAGTGAGTGTTTGTTTTTCTTTCAATGTTTAAAAGTGGCCTGATTTTAATTAAATAGGCTGTAAATCGTTTCACCAACCTTGCCGACGAAAGCAATGAAGTGCCAACTCTTCGCAACAAGACTTACGACAACTTCAAGCTCGATCGAAGTGATTGGAGACTCCTCGGGCTTATTCACCGAGTCCTCAAGGAACCAGCCACGGCTCAGCAATCGTTCTCGTCAGCAAAACATCCGACCGCATGGAAAACGATCCCTACACTAGAGTGCCTCGCTGATCGATGGAAATCCATGG